CTGGATACAGATAAGGAAAAATGTTAAAGTGGAGGCCAATGTGCTAGTGGGTCTCACAGATAAGAAGGGGTTCCTCCAGTGACTGAGACTCAGTCTGTGAGGGTCCTGGGCTGCTAGAGTTTCCTAACAATAGCAGGTACTGGGGCGGAGAAAACAGATCTTCCCAAGGTCCATTAATGATCTGATTCTGGGCATGTAAAAGTGGCTCAGAGACTTGACCTGGGAAGCATCTTGTGTGCCACAGGCAAATGCAACACTCAGCAAATGCAGGTTGCCCAGCCTGGACTGCTGCTATACCTCTGTCCCCCTGCCTCCAAGGGCCTGACCCCTGGGAAGACAGGGTTCCTGTATGAAGCACCACCATCCCTGTCTGCCATCCTGTCTGTCTCTCTCACAGAAGCCAGATCGTAGCCACAGAGCCCGAGCCGCCATCATGGAGGGTCACCTGCTTGCTATAGACGCCTTCAGCCGCTGCCCTAAATCGCTCTGCTCTCCACCCTCCCCAACATTCCCTTGATCCTTTCTCCCTGTTTTCTAATTCCATCTCTTCTCCTTTTTACTTGCCCACTGTAGGGTGAGGTAAAAGGTATCAGGCTTTTCTGCCCTCCCGCCATCAGGATAGATGACGGAACCCTGCGGTCCTGAATGCATGCCTGATGGCGGGCACCTGGAGTAGGGTGTGGGCAGAGGTAGATGGGATTCACCTGGGCTAAGACCGGGCTTTTAGGGGCGGCGGGGACGCCAGCAGGAGCAGATGGAGAGCAGAGAAGCAGAGTGAACACGAGAGAAGGCCAGAGAACCCAGACAGAGTGAGGACTTGCTGGGGGCTGTGAGGCCTGCCAGCCTCCCGGCCCCCCAGCACCCCTGCCTGCTGTATACCCAGTAAATCCCAATAAAAACCTGCAAAAGCCACTGAGGGCTCCAGGACTCCTCCTTTACCCGGTCTGCTGGATCATAGAAAACCCGCCCCGTGTCCCTTCCTGCCCCTACACCCACCCTCTTGGTAAAAAGTCTCTTCAATTTTTCCTATGTGTGATGAGACACCGAAAGAAGTAAACACCTGAATTCGGGAGGCGGGACCATGGGAGCACGTTTAGTTTTCACGGTAACACCTTTTGCCGTAGTTTAAAGGTGCTTGTAGGGTAAGGTAAAAAAAAAAGTATGAGGGCGGCGGCACGGGGACAGCAGCAGAGCGCAAGGAGCAGAGAAGCAGAGGCCACGAGAGATCACCGGAGAGCCCAGAGAGAGTGAAGACTTGCCAGGGGGCTGGGACCCTGCCAGCCTCCCCACCTCTCGGCACCCCTGCCTGCCCCGCCGTGTACCTGATAAATCCCAATAAAAGCCTGCAAAAGCCACTGCGGGCGCCAGGACCCTCCTTCCCCTGTCTGCCCGGATCTTGGTGATCCTGCTCTGCGCCCATTCTGCGCTCTCAGACTTCTAAAACCAATAAAATGTTTCCCTTCTTCCTATTGCTCTCACCCTACTGCTCTTGCTTTGGGGGTGAAGGGGCAGGAGAGAAAGCCCACAGCTATAAATTGGACGTGAGTGCCAGGAGGAAGCATGGGGACTAACGGGAAAAGTCAAAAAGCGCAAGCAGTGGCTCTGAGGTGGTGCGCCCGTCCTGCATACTTTTTTTTTTTTTTTTTTTCCGGAGGAGAAATAACTCTGCCTAAGAACTTGGCTCTCTTCTTCTCTGCCTCACAGCACACATCTCACTCGAGAGAGCCAACCCGGCCACCCAGGGAGGAATGGTTTGAGAAATCTAAGAAGACAGAGCAACGAACGAATCCTCTCCTGTGGGAGAGAAGCACGTGGGTCTCCACACACTTCGTTTCTTCTCTTCCACACACCTCAATCGCTCTCACCTGCTATCCTTGGGTAGTTAAAAATGTCACCATCACCCACCCGGCACCTGCCAGAATGTTCCTGAACAGCAAGGACACTAGCATCACTTTTTCTGCTTAGTAGAAATTGTGTAAGATGGCGTCAGGATTAAATCAAATCACCCATGGGATGGATCTTGTGCTCCCCGGAGCTGAGCTGGGCGCCCGCCCATCTGGGCCAGGGGTAGCCCACCGGGAACTAGCTTGCAGATACCCAGGAACTTACTAAGGTCACAGGGACAAATAGCTTCTCCACAGCTTCATGTATGTTCTTACTTCTCCTTGGCCACTCAGGGCCACCGACGCCCAAGATCCATTCCACAGCAAGCACGTACATTCAACGCACTCGCACTGCCCCCTGTGCACCAGACCTCCCATTCTGCCTGTTGAGTTCCACCAGGCAAACTGATTGCACACCAGCTGCCATTTGACCTAACAAAAGCTCCTTGACAATTAGAGTGATTTGGAATGCTCCAGCTAGCTTCCTGAATTGATCTCTTTTGAAGTACCCATTGTTTTCCCTGCAGTCATTTTTTCCAGCAGTATTTCTTGTTTCTATGTCTTTCCCTAAATGGAAATTTCATTTACATTTGTTTTCACTTCTGAGCGTTTCTTTAAGATATTTGGTTTGCTATATATTATTTTTGCTGTGGTTTTAACAGGTTGGTCAAAACCTTTCAGTAGTATTATGCTAATTTCTAGACTATAATTGATCTTCCTGTTTTTGTTTTCTGATACTCATTTAAGTTCCCTGATTTTCAATTAAAACACCCTTTCAATTAAAACACCTACCATTGAAAGAATATTCTTGTAGTATTTGGGGGGCATTAAAGAATTTAATTTCAGTTTCTGGTTTAAGAAAACTGAACAGATAATCTTGCTACTGGAATAAGAAGTCTCTTGATGTCTGTGTATGCCTAGCATGAATAAAAATACCAAATTAAAGAAGGAAAATATGCAAGATTGGAAACGGTTCATAAAGATGTTCTGAGAACAAATCAGGTAATATTTTAAAGACGTGGCTTCAAAATCCCATAAAGATAAAGGACAATCTACTGATATGCACTGGATTATTTGGCATTTCCCTCTCTTCAGGCAGATCCAAATGAGACAGGCAAGAAAAATGTGATAGTGAGATGTGGTTAAAAATAAATGATAATGATTTGTCTTGCAGACTTGAGTTTTTCTCTCTGCCATTTGGCTGCCTTCCTCAGTAAGCAGTTGTGTGGTGAGTGAACGTGTGTGTGTGTGTGGGGCAGCCTTGTACACAATCACTCCTAAAGCCACACCCACTTCTGGGAGTGCCACCAGACCCTTGTTTCCCCAGGGTGGGGGTGGGGACGACCATATCTGGGTTCCCACCTGATGTTCCACCATTTTAAAGAATATACTGAGATATGGGGAGCCTCAAGGACTGTCGTCTGGCTTTAAAAACTGCAAAATAATAGGAGGAAAGCTTTTTCCTAGTTCCTCCACTGTCTGCTTGCATGAGAAATGTCAACTGCATGTGCCTAGTCGATGCTGGGACTACTAGGAATGACCCTTTAGCATGTTATTTCTCAGCTGACGGACATCTTCTACAGCTTTCTTTGGGCAATTTTATTTTAAGGAGGAGGACTGGAACCATATGTAGCTGGAGGAGCAAACAGTAAGTCCATTGCCCTCAAAAAAAAAAAAAAGTCATTTCAGTCTAATAACCCCCTCATGGGGCTACTCATCGATCAGCAAAGCATCACAATAAACCTGTATTTACATTGACACCTATTGTTTATTTTCATGTCCCTCTCCTGGCCTGACTGATCACTGAGCCAAGACCACACTTCACAAATAATCCATAGTTTCCATGTATACTCTCTTGTTTCTCAGGACTGAAAAAAGCTCCCGTGGATCTGAACTGGGCCAGATCAGAGGGCGCGAGGCTCCCTCCCCCCGCAGCTTGCAGAAACTAGGAAAAGGATTTCCCCGCATAGATTTAAGTCAGCCACAGAGCCCAGGTCCTTCGCTGCCGCTTCCAGGCGGTTGCCGTTGAATTTTCCTGCCCCACCGTGGGAAGGAAGCATCCCAGTGAGACAGACTCACGAGCCTGAGCTCCGACAGACACGTTATAATGGCTAACACCAGAGCAACCCAGGAGGCCTTTCGCTCCGACTGAAAAAGCCGGGTCGGTGCCAGCCTTTTCCAGTCCTAGCAGGCAGGAAAGAGCAGAGAGCTGGCAGCAGTGGGGAGCTGGGGAGAACATGAGAACGCGCTGTCCACGACCCACTTTATTTCTTGATCAAACTTCAACATTTTGGGGTTTGCTAACATCCTACCCCAAGGTACACATAAAGAAGCAGACCCCCTCGAAGTTAAGAAGTCTTTTCCAGCCACCCCTCTGCACTCCACCTCACCCTCCGTTATTATTTCTAATTAAATTAAACCAAAGCTCCCCCAAGCTGCTGGGTGCACGCACCGCGAGCGCAGCCCATTTCAGCACCGGCCTCGGGGACAGACGCCATCAGGGCGGGGGAACCACAAACCCCGCGGCTACAGCTCCAGGCTCCGTCCCGGGGTGCTGGGCAATCAAGGTTTTTTTTTTTTTTTTTTTCAGGAGCTTGCCAAAAACAGTTCCCCCAATAAAATGCTCCCCTAGGCACTCCATCCCTCACATTACGGCCCTTTCCAGCTGGGGACGTGCCCGCCAAAAGAACAGGGACCGCTCCGTGACCTACATATAGAAAAGGGGTCCGTGGAAGCCCCCCCTTGCCTCAGTGGGAGCGCCTGGGTGGCGCCGACCGCCCGGAGAAGCCCGGTTCCGAGCAGCTCGTCCAGACCTGTGCTCGGGTCTCCCCGTGATTCAACGGCGCGTCCCGGCTCCACCAGCCCCACACCTGCCACCCCGGGCGGCCGCCTCCCACCTGTGCCGGCCCCGCGAAGGCCGAGACCTCCCAGGCGGGGTCCGCGCGCTTGGCCGGACAGCGCGGGCACCCGAGGCGCCTCTCCAGCGCCGGAGACTTTCCCGCCCGACTTTCCCTTTGTTCCCGGCCCCCCGAGCCCGCCGACGGGCGCTGTGCCGTTCATTCCCGACAGACGCGCCCCGGCCGGGTCCACCCGCCCGCGCGGGGGGCGCCCACTTACCCCAGCGGGGCCGGCGGGCGAGGACGCGGCTCACGCGCGGGCTTTGTCTCCGGCGCGGCGCTCGCGGGGCTCGGGCAGACCGCGCGGCATCGCTCCCCCTGCGGGCGCGGGGCTGGGCGGGTCGGGCTTCGGCTCCACGCCCCGGTCCCGCGCGCCCGGGCGCTCAGCGGCTCGCGGTGGAAACGCTCGCCTGGCGCCCCGCGCCGCCCTCGGGGTCCCCGGGCCGCGTCACCGGCCCCGCCCCGCCCAGCGCCTCCCCGCCCCGGCCGGGGACAGACTACGCGAGGCGGGGGGTGGGGGAGCAGGTGGCCGGGGCGCGCCTCGCTCGCGCGCGCGGTCACCCCGACGCACTGGACTTCGCGCGCTCGGGCCCCGGCGCTGGGCTCCAGGGGTGCGCTCAGGCCCGCGCGGGGGGTGGGGAACGGAGTGCGAGACCCCCGTGTCAGGCGGTCCAAGTTGGTCGCGCCCACTCCGCCGCGGGGTCCGTCTGGCGCCAGGGAGGGCCCGGGAAATCCCGCCCGCCGTCACGTCACTGGTGCGTCACCGGGGCTCCCGCGCCGGGGCTCCGCGCGCTGCCCGCACCCCGGGCTCCCCCTCCCCCACCCCACGCCCCGCGCGGAACTCCGCGCGCTCCCGCCTAGGCCCGCGCCCCCCGCGCGGGGACGCGCCCCCAGCCCGGCCTATTGCTACGCCCGGGGCGCGTGTTGCCCAGGGGCTGGGGGCGGGGGAGAGGGAAGGTGGAGGTGGGCTCCCGGGGTACTGTCCTCCCGGGGTTCCCCGACCTGTGCCTCCGGCCTCCGCGCCCATTCCAGGGGCGGAGATCTAGGGACAGGCCAGGCAAGGCGCGGGGAGTTCCCATTTACCAGCACCCCAAAATACACAATGTCCACCCGCTCCGGAGGGGTGCGGTTAATGGAGAAATGGTGAATACCTGGAAAAATTCTCGGGGCATTGTCTCCTCGTCCAGGGCGAAGGTTAACGCACGTTGCTAGGTGACGAGACACGAAGGCGCTGCCCAGCCCGGCCAGCACAGGGCAGTGAGGGCGAGGCGGGCGCTGTGGGGAGGCTGGTCAGCCACCAAGAAGGCGGGAACAAATTCCCAATTTTCGTGGACAGCAGAAACTGTTTCCACGGGGAAATCTTTGGCTGTCCCGGCCCCTTTTGAGCTGTAAGGCTTTTTGCAACATAGAGAGATATTTTGAAAAACCTCTTAATTATTATAGTCTTCTTCCCTTAGGGAAAAACCCGCTTCAGTGCGGTCCATTTTTCCAATGCCTGGTGAAACAAGAGGATACCTTCGGGCTAGAGAAGCAGCAAAAAAGGTTCAAGCGGTGTTAGCAAGATTGGCAGGAAAAGGAAGCCAGTAATGTCGATTCGTGGCTGTTAATTAGGAGATATTTCTTGAAAATCTGCATTCTCGGTCCTCATCCAGCATCAGCAGCCATGCCTTGCCATGAAAGACACATTTGTTTTGCAGATCTCTGATCTCCATGACTCGACATCTGCCCCAGACAAATGTCCACCTTTGCTGACTCCGAGTGTCTGAAAATGCAAATGCAGAGTTCAGAAAGGTCCACCTCGGACCAGCAAACATATCAATTGGATTTTTTATACAGCTAGCAAGTGTCAAAGGCGCAGAATTGAACGATGATAAAAATGACTAAGGAGCAAGAATGTCCACACACAGACCGTAAAAAAGAAAGGTATATGGGGGCTGCATTAAAATTCAACAAATACCAAACTGGGCTCATTATTTCCACCCCCACATCTATTTTTTTTTTCTGTATTCCTGCTTCAATAGAGCCTCCCTACCCCCTCCAATTGGTTACCCGAGGTACTCGATTTCCTATTATTCCAACTTCCATCCCAATCCATCCTACTTAATCAATTGCAAGGGAAATCAATATATGCACATCCAGGTATACCTCATTTCCTTCTTTTATCTTATTACATTATCCCTTAAATTAGGATTATGTCCGTTTTAAAGATACAGAAGGGTCTAAACTAGTCTAAACCAGGGGATGCTAAGACCAGCCATATCAGTATCATCTGGGAACTTGTTAGAAATGCAAATTCTCAGGACCTAGGACAGCCCTATTGAATTAGAAACTCTGGGGATTTATTTAACACAACAATCTGTGTTTTAAGCTCTCCAGGGCATTCGGATTCTGTCCATCACCCAGGACTCTGGACATGGGTTTTCCTTCCTTTGTCCCTGGAAATAGTCCTTGTTCTGAAGTCTTTGTCTGATATCAGTATAGTCACAGCAGAGTTCTCATGTAAGTTTTTTGCATGATGCATTTTTCTCATCCTTTGATGCTTAGCTAGCTGTGCCTTTATTTTACATTCTGCAAGTGGGATTCTCTACTCTTGTACAATGTAGGGTGGGATCTAGCTTTTTTATTCAGCCTGACAAACTCTATTAATTGGAGTGTTTAGGTCACTTACTTCTTGTGTCATTATCATGTGTGTGGGTTTGAATCTACAATCTTGCTATTTGTTTGCTTTCTATTAGTTGTATTTTTCATTCTTTTTTTTCCTTCCTCCTTTAGGATTGACTGAGTATACTTTACCTGAGGTACTGACTGAGGTAAATCATCTGGCATTTGGTATTTCTCCTTGTTGTTGGCTTTATAATATGCATCTTTACCAGTCTGTCTTCAACTGACATGATACTACTACTTATTTACTCTAAAATCTTGCCAATAGTATGCTTCACTTTCTCCCTTCCGTCCTTTGGGCTATACTTGTCATTGTTTTTTATATGCAAAATCTCCTAGCATTATTTTCCTTTAAACTGTCAATTTTCTTTAAGAAATTTTGATTTTTAAGGTCTTTTTATATTTATCATTTCTGATGTTCTTCATTCATTTATAAAGATCCAAATTTCTATTGCTATCACTTCCTGCTGCTTGAAGAGTATCTCCTTTAACATTTCTTGTAATATAGATCTGCTGGTTACAAATCATTTCAAATTTTGTCTGAATCTTTATTTTGTCTTCATTTCTGAGGGATCTTTTTCTAGGTTGATAGTTTGAGGCCATTGAAAGACATCAGTCTATTGTACTTGCATAGTTTCTCATAAGAAACCTGCAGTTATTATCCTTGTTCCTTGGCATGTATTTCTTTTCCTATGTCTGCTTATAAGATTTTCTCTTTGTCATTGGTTTTCAACAGAGTGATTATGAAATGATTTGGTGTTGTTCTCTTTGTATTTATTCTGCATGGTATTTAGAGGATTTCTTGGCCCTGTAGGTTTATGATTTTATCAAATTTCAAAATTTTACACCCACTATTTATTTAAAAAATTTCCTGGTTCCAAGATTAATTATAATAAAGTGAAAAATCAAAATCAATAAGCAACTATAAACCAGAGACACACTACGGGGGGAGGGGAGAAGAGGGATTAGGGTCAAAATAAGGAGGGTGGGAATTGTATGGGGAATATAACCAAGATGAAAATGCATACATTGTGCAAAAATGAAAAATGATGTAAAAAACATATAAAATTAAAAAAAAATTTCCTGGTTCCTTAATTTCTCTTCCCTATTAAGACTCCAATCACATATATGGTAGAAGCTATGTTTTAAATTATTTTTTATTTTTGGGCAGTTTCTGCTGTTATGTCATCAGATTCACTGTCTTTCTTTTTCCTTTTGAAGTGTCAACACACATTTTGATTTTAATTGTATTATTTTTATTAAGGTAATTTCGGTTTATAGCACTGTACATACAGAGGACACCACACGTAGCACCAAGGCTCCTATAATCACCCAGCATAGTCCATTGCGCCCCCTAGTCCCTTTCCATCTCTCTCTGGTAGCCTCAGGTCTACAGTCATATTTTCAGGGCTGGTTTGGTTTAGTATTGACTGTTCCTTTGTTTTGTTTCTCTATATTCCACATGAATTTGGTGCAGATCTCTTTGGATTCACATTCTTTGGTACACATAGGCTTTCTGAATTTGGAAGTCAATTTCTTTTTCCCAGGGTAGGGAATTTTCAGTCATTATTTATTCAAATAAGTTTTTTGCCTTGATTTCTTTCCTCTTTCTGGAACCCATGTAATGTGAACACTGGTCCTATCTTGTGAATATGTTGTCCCATAAGTACCTTGAATTCTTCATTCTTTTCTCTTTTTTGCTGCTCTGATTGGATGAATTCCTCGTTCTGTCTTTTGAAATCACTGATTAATTTTTCTGCTTCATTTAGTATGCTGTTAAGTCCTTTATTGTATTTTTCGATTGAGTTATTGTAGTTTCATCTCTGTAATTTTTGTTTCATAATTTATTGTTATCATTTTTCATCTCTGTGAAAATTCTCACTATTCAGTGAGCGTTGTTATGATTGTTACTTTGAACTCTTTATCAGGTAAACAACTTTTTTCATTAAGGTCTCTTTCTGAGGCTTTATCTTCTTTTATTTGGAACATATTCCTCTGTCTTCATTTTCCTTGACTCAATTTTTGTTTCTCTGCATTAGATAAAATGGCTAACTCTTCCAGTCTTGAAGGAGTGGTCTCAAGTAGAAGATAAAACTTAGTGTTTAAATCTTGCCCTATCAATAAATGGTGCTGGGAAAACTGGGTTGCTACATGCAAAAGAATGAAGCTTGACCACTACCTCACACCATACACAAAAATCAACTCAAAATGGATTAAAGAACTAGACATAAGACCTGAAACCATAAAATACATAGAAGGAAATATAGGTGAAGCACTACGTGATTTGCATATCAAAGACATCTTTACAGACACATCACCCAAAGCAGTGATAGTGAAGGCAAAGATAAACAGCTGGGACTACATCAAATTAAAGAGCTTCTGCACAGCAAAAGAGACAATAACAAAAACAAAGAGAAACCCCACCAACTGGGAGAACATTTTTGCACCCAACACTAATGATAAAGGACTGATCACAAAAATCTGCAAAGAGCTGATGAGACTCAACAACAACAAAGAAAATATCCCAGTCAAAAAATGGGCAGAAGAGCTAAAAAGAAACTTCTCTGAAGAGGAAATGCAAATGGCCAACAGACATATGAAAAAATGTTCAACATCACTTGTAATCAGAGAAATGCAAATCAAAACTACCATGAGATACCATCTTACACCAGTGAGAATGGCACATATTAAAAAAACTAGCAACAACAAATGTTGGCGAGGTTGTGGAGAAAAAGGAACTCTTCTGCACTGTTGGTGGGAGTGCAAACTGGTCCAACCACTATGGAGAGCTGTATGGAGATTTCTGGACCTACTAAACATAGAGCTTCCATATGACCCAGCAATTCCACTCCTAGGTATTTACCCAAAGGACACAGAAACATCAATTCCAAAGAGCACCTGCACCCCTATGTTTATAGCAGCACTGTTTACAATAGCTAAGCTTTGGAAACAGCCCAAATGCCCAAAAATAGATGACTGGATCAAGAAGATGTGGTCCATATACACCATGGAATATTACTCAGCATTCAAAAAAGATAAACACATGCAATTTGCAGCAACATGGATGGCGCTGGAAGGGATCATGCTCAGAGAAATAAGCCAAAAAGAAAAAGAAAAATACCGGATGGTCTCACTCATAGCAGGAATCTAGAAAACTTAAATAAGGGACCAGGAAAATGAATAACTATAAGAAAGTGAAAATCAAAATCAACAAACAACTATGAACCAGAGACACTTTTTGGGGGGTGGGGGGCGGGAGGGGAGGGATTGGGGTCAGAATGGGGCATGTGCAGTTGTATGGGGGAATATAAAAATAAAATTTATTATTTAAAAAAAAATAAATCTTGCCCTATTTCTGTTCTCTCTCAAACCTTTGAGATTGAGCAGCCTACCTCTTTTTAGTGACTCCTAATAATTGAGGGTGTGCCAAAGCCTGTTACTGTCCCAAAGGGGAGGGACACTTAGATCTAGGCTGCTTGGAAGTTGAATACTTAGGGAACAGCTTTTAAGGCAACAAATACACCTCTTTTTTTTTTTTTTTTAAAGATTTATTTATGCATACAAGAGCTGGGGTACAGGCCAGAGATGTAGGGGGTGAGAGAATTCACCAGAGGCAGAGTGGGGAACAGAACAGGCAGACCGACTGAAATACACTGCTGAGAGGAGCAGCAGGTGAGACAGGAGAGGTCTGCTGCGCCATGTGGGTTGCTCCCTGGCTGGCTGGGATTGAACTTGTGCTGCAGAGGCTGCGGATTGCTTCATAGTGAGGTGCTTAACCCCTTGCACCACCAGGGAGGCCCAACAAATACATCTTTTTCAGAGGCATTATGAGATGAGCATTTCTGTGGGCTCTCTGCACTGAGCCCTGGGGTAATAGCCAGTTAAGAACTGTTTGTTTAAACTATGAACCAGAGACACACTTTGTGGGGGGGTGGGGTGGGGAAAGGAGGGATTGGGGTCAAAATCAGGAGGTTGCAATTGTATGGGGAATAAAAAAAAAAAGAACTGTTTACTACATGAGCTCTCATTGAACCCATGGATATAAGCCCCTTTGGCTACCAGAATCATGCTATCAAGTAATGTCACCTGAGTAGCAGTCACTAAAGCCAGGACACTAGAAATGGTAATGAACTCCTTTCTGGGAGATAACGGTGACATGGAGTGAGAGGGAGAACATGAAGATGGCAACCTGCTAGCCTCAACAGACTTTGGAGAGTATTTCAGTCATTCCCTAGTTGTGTAAATTACATGCCTATTCCCCAGGCCAAAGCTGTAAAGATAAGCAAATAGTCCTTCCCAATAGAGACTGGGTACATTTAGAACACATGCCTCTGTGTTGTGCCCTAATGCTTAGCCATTGAGAGTCTGAGAGCCCTTTAAGAATTCTCAATTTGCTACATGGCTTCATTGGTCTTGCAGATAAAAATTCCCAAAGTTTTCAAATCTAGATATGTTAGGACCACTTCTGAGGCATATATTTTAAAAGCTGAGATGCCACATGTAGGGTTCAAACCCTTTGCTCCTCAGGGAGAAGCTGGAATTTGTGGGTTCTTTGCATATTATGGGTTATTGTGCCAATGGTGATATTTGTGGTAATACCATGCCTCAGTTTCTCCTATCCACTTTGGTGTGAGCTTTCTCTCTTTTGTCCAATGGTTCAGAGGTAATTTTTCTCTATGTAGCTATAGATTCAGTGTGTCCATGGAAGGAAATGAGTTAAGGATCCTCCTGTGCTACCGTCATGAACTGGAACTCCCTGGAGTTCCCTTTTTTTTTTAAGATTTATTTTATTTATTTATGAATATAAGAGCTGGGGTGTAGGCCAGAGGTGTGGGGTGGTCGGAGGTGAGAGCATTCACCAGAGACAGAGTGGGGAGCAGAATAGGCAGATCTACTGAAATACACTGCTGAGGGGAGCAGCGGGCCAGTCAGGAGAGGTCTGCTGCACCATGTGGGTAGCTCCCTGGCCTACCAGGGAGCAAACTCATGCTGCAGTGGCTGCGGGTAGCTTCATAGTGCTGAGACTTAACCCGTTGTGCCATCAGGAAGGCCCCTGGAGTTCTTTTTATGGTTGAAAACATTAGCAAGTCATTCATAATAGTGAGAAACAGAGAGCCAGTTACGAATTCTGAAGAGCTGGAAAGAACTTCTCCTTCCTTACCCTATTCCATCACCTAGGACTGGGTATGAACATAATTCACATTCAGTGAATGATGTTGGAAGGAAGTCAATTTGAGATTTGCAGTAAAGAGGGAATCTATTTAGGTTGACAGGCATCTCCTGATAAATGCTACTCCTGAGTTCTTTTCAGGACAGAGACCTAGAAACAAATGTGTTCTAATCTTGAAAACCCTGAAACCACCACACGTGCAAAGGAGAAAAAGCAATTCTGGGTTACCTTACCTTCCGTCTTCCAATGTCCAACAGAGAAGCTCAAGTGTGCATAAAATGCCTTTCCTTCAGTGGGCCTTTGTTCACTGATGTTCCTGCCTAAGGCCTTTGCAAATGTATTGCCTGGAACACATTCACCCATTTTCACCCGTCAAATTTCTATTTACACAAATTTTACTTTCTCAAAGACCTTTCCTAGATTCTCTTGTTATAAATAGAATTCTCCCTGTTCTATTCTCCCAGAGGGCCCTATACTCTACCTTCACAGCACTGACCCCATTTTAAAACTATATACATTGTAAGGTATTGATGGGATGTTCTTTTCTCCACCAGCCTGTTGCCTCCAGGAGTGCAGGGAACAAGAGTAGTGCCTGGTACAAAGCAGGGTCCCAATATAGATCCGCCTCAGGGCAGGGGCAGATGTCCTTTTCTTCAAAATGAGGGGTTTCACCTTGGGACTACTGTTTAAACTCCCCTTTAGGGCAGTAAAGTTTGAAATCTAAAATTTCTCACTGAAGTCACAACTAAGAAAGCAAGATGACAATTTCCTAATGACATAAGTTTTAGGGAAGCTACATAGAGAACCAAGGTGGGTTACAATGCCACCTATTTGAGGTCTGAGTTTGAGATTTGAGGCCATAATATAGAAACTGTATAAAGAAGAGATCTTTAAACCTATTTTTATGAAATTTATTCCCAATTTGAAATGGCAGTGTATACAAAGATAACAGCTTATGGTAATTTACATAAAGTTTGCTATAACATGCACTTTATGAAGTGTTTCAAACATATACATATTGTTTCATGCTGAATAAATAATCCCCCCAAATTTATTTTTATTTTTACATAAAAATATAATATTGCACTCTTAACAAGACCAGTTATTTTGCATATTTTCTCTTAAGATAAATGATGAAATTAGGCCTTAAAAAAACTGAGTAGTAACCCTATTCTAATAGGGAACTAATTTAAAGTTCTCAGTAGAAAAATGAAGATAGACAATAGCTGCAATTTTTTTTAAACAAAGCAAATCACTTCAACGTGAATAGGAATAATCTCATCTCTGCACCTACTTGGACCTCAGAATACCTGGTCTGTGAAAACCATACTCTAAATGCAGCTGAGAAGTGTACTTATGTATGCAGTTTAAATAATGAGCATACATGACCCCTTGCTTCCTCTTATTTATCTTGACAGCAGAGACTTTGGAATTGATTTAGATAGTTTTTAAGCAGAATGTTTTAGAAAGTCTGAAAGTTACAAAAGTAGTTCTGTAAACACCATATGAATTAAATTTTCATAATAAATGCACAAGAATACATACTTTTATCCCACAGTAACATATTACTGAGCTTATTTTACAGGGTTTTTGAAGCAAATAAAGCAGCACCCCAAGTAAAAATATAGGCATAATATCACGGTAAAAATAGACTATTCCAAGATTTTTAGGAATTCTGTGTTTGTGGCATGTAAATTTGGTGTGGAGACACTTAGATTTTTTCTGTTCCTAGAATTCTGGGGGATGGGTGAGTGGGTGTGTACTAGGTTAGTAGAAAGAGTGGAAACTGTTTCCTCGAAGTATCTACTTCCTGTTTAAAACAAAGCAAACTATCTTTGCTTTTGTAATTCTTTCACTGTACATTAAATGCCTGATCTAGACTATGCTATTAATACTGGTGCAAACTCCTGCATTGTGGAGGCTTTCTACTGTAGATTGGTAAGTATCCAATGTTCCGTAAATGGCAGATATTAAGAGAATGATCACGGTCTTTAAATCTTAGTGACTCAAAGATATTAAGTATCTAGCGTTATGGATTTTAAGGAGGATTTTTATGAAGAAACAGAATGTGTATGAAAAAAAAAATACCTGTGTTGTTTGTGACTGTGAAAGAGATTTTAGGTTTACTTTGAGCTAAGAAGGCAACTGGAAAAATCTGCCTACCATTGAGATTCACCGGTAATTTGTTTTTAGTATTCAGATATTCCATGAAATGTTTGGTATAGAGGCACCTACCAGATTACTTACTTCTCAGAGAGAGCAGTTATTGAGGCCTGAGTTCATAATCATTTTCTTTCCTTTTTTTGGGGGGGTTGGGGGTGGTATTGTCACATAACATTTGGAAAATATTATTATTTTAAAGAGTATTTTATATAAATAATTATATAGCTAATAGAAAAAGGAGAGACCCTAATTTTTTCTTTAGAATGGCCTTGTGGGAAAAAACTTTAAGAATGTTTTTAATCTACCATGTAAGACTTAAATCTTGTTGGTTAGAGAATGCTAACAGAACTGTCCAGATTATCACTAAATTATAACAAAACTTTCCTCTTAGAACCTTGAGAATGCAGAATTTTGTGCAGATGAACAGATTTTATCATCATTTGGATGATTTTTTTTTTTGGTCATCCATTTCTTTAGGTTCAACCTCCTAAAACTGGTGAAGTCAACAAATCTAGTTCAGAATTAAAGTGCTTTGGAGAATGCAAAGTTCTCTTTCATCCCGCTGCATAGCTGCTAAGGAAAGAATAGAACATCGGCTGTTTCAAGCGCTGCTGATCCTTCCGACACCAGGCAATCACGGTCCCATCGCTGTTTGCTGTGTACAAATGGTGGCCGTCACAGGAATATGTAAGGCTATAAAAGAAAAGAATCTCATTGTACACGATAGCCCTTAAAATTCTACTAGAATATTGGGGGTCATAGAGAAATTAGAATATATGTTAAATCTTTATACATAGTTTGAATCACCCAGCTGGTAAGTTTGTGGCTCTCATTTTATTTTTATTAAATTTATTTTCTTACATTGTTGGCCATTTTTGGACAATATTTGTTTTCGGCCCTCAGGTGTAGTCCCTGTTGTTCTCTGACCATCATAGCACCTGTTATCCATCATCACAGTCCTTTGTGCTCTTCCCTTCCCTGTTTTGACAGTATGTCTCAGACCTATGATCAGCTTGCAAGTTTTGTCTTTTTCTTCACCCTTTGTTCGCTTTCTCTATATTCCACATATAAATGAATCCAATATTTATCTTTTTCCTTCTGACTTGTCACTCAGCATAATCTTTTCCAGCTGTGGAGCTCTGGTGATATAGAATAAAACCAGGAGCAAAAAGATCACTATCTTTTGTTCCTTCTTTACATATTTTCTTTTTCTATCTTTATTACTTAAGGAACAAATACTTGGGAATGGAACACTTTTGAAAAATATAATACATTTTCTCTTTATAAAAATAAATGATACTTTTTACTACATTAAAAAGAAATTTATTTTAATAAAGTATAATTTGAGTCACTCCCAGTTGAATTTTTAAAATCAAATTTGTCAATGAAGCAAAGGGTAAATGGGTGTTCATCAATCTTGTCAACCACAGTCCTGCAGCTAACAGCCATCATTATGGTATTTTCACCGTTTCTATTATTCAAGAGGCCTTCCCTGGGCACTACCGCTGAATGACTTCTTGCTAGACTCTAAGTCCCTGACTCAGATTTTTTTTTTTTAAATTTTTGTTGTGATTTCTTTCTTTCTTTCTTTCTTTTTTTTAAAGATTTTATTTATTAATTTATACAAGCACTGGGTACAGTCAGAAGTGCGGGAGGGTGAGAGAATTCACCAGAGCAGAACAGTCCGACTGAGGAAATAAATACACTGCTGAGGGGAGCAGCGGGCATGGCAGGAGAGGTCTGCGCCCATGTGGGGTCCCATGTGGGACCCTTGCCGGCGGCTGGGGATCGAACCAGCGCTGCAGAGGCTGCGGGCAGCTTCGCAGCCCAGCGCTCAACCCCTGCGCCACCAGGGAGGCCCCCTGACTCAGATTTTAAACTCCATGCAGACAACCGCTCTTCTTGCCATGGTCCTAGACAGCCTGGCACAGCATGTCCTCCAATAATGCTGTTTCATTATAATGTTGATGAGGAAAAACAAATCCCAGTCAATATTGAAACAAATGATGCACAAGGACCTTCACTATACCTCATTTTGCTTAAAGTCAGAATTTTCAAGAACCTATTGATAGAAGTGAGGAATTCTAGGTTTGATAAAATAGTTGTTTATAATGACTATCATCACATATTTCTTTTGGTGTGTGTGCTTTATTGTCTCTATAATAAAAATACAGTTCCCAAGTAATAAAGGAGGAAAGATTTTTACCTTACAATTGGCTTATTTGATTTAGGAAATGTAATTTCTCGTACAGGTTTTAGGTCCCAGGTACTCCATAATCTAGAAGGGAAAAAAATCATCATCTAATTATGCAAACTAAAATTTGCTTCATTAAAAAATCCTACCTATTTGTTAAACAACATCTGGAAGGAAACAATAATTAATAGCAGTTGCTTTTGGGAAATTTGCTGGAAATTGCCACACACATGTTGGAGTAAGAAAATGTAACTTTGTTGTAAACAGGCACACCTCTGAGATATTGCAGGTTGGGTTCCCAATCACCTCAATAAAGCTATTATTTCAACAAAGTGAGTCACATGAATTTTCTGGTTTCCCAGTGCATACAGAAGTTATTTTTTACACTATAATGTAGTCTATTAAGTGTGCAGTATAATGTCTGAAAAATGTATATACCTGCATTAAAAAATACTCTTGCTGAAAAATGCTAACCATCATTTGAGTTGTTGGGAAAAGGCACCAACAGATTTGGGAGACACAAGTTGCCACAAATCTTCCATTTGTAAAAAATGCAATATCCTTAAGGCTTAAGAAAAGCACAAACACAATAAAAGAAGGTATGTCTGCAGTTTCATTTTGCTAATCTTTCATAGTTAAGAACAATGTAAAATTTCAAAATTGTACAATCTTTTTAGGAATATAACAGAAATAAATGAAGAACCTATATCCAAAGGTAATTTTAAATGTTTAAATATTAAATATTAATATACCTAGATATTAAAAACTAAACCTTGAAACTGCTGTGTCCTTATGAACTAACGCAAACAAAGAGAATAAAAATTCAGCTTACCTTACAATTCCATTTTCTAATCCCCCAGCAATCACATTGATAGATACTCCCTCAGGTTGGTTAGAGAAAGCAACGGAACAAATGTTTTCCCTGCAGTGGACATGTCCAACAAGATCCCCATTCACTGTCCAGAGTCTGAGGTCACTGCCTCCACCAGCTAAAACAGCAAAATCATGCCACAGGTCACTAAAGTGTGGCAGCTCAGAGCCCACCCACCACTGTTTTAGTGATGATTGTCATAGGCTACTCATGACTGAAAACTGTACAAATGAACTTACTACATTGCAAGTCACACAGACCTCCTATTTGTCTAGAGACAATTACCATGAAAAAAAATATATAAATTATTCTACAATGTAGTACAACAAGGTAAATTAAACATGTCTTTATGTAATTATAATATTTCAGGATATGAACAGCTAAATCTGAATTTGAAAGTACTTAGAAAGCTAAACAGTCTCCAAAATGAGAAGAAAATATTCACCAAAACCATCTATAATAAATGATTTATGTGACTTCTAGAGAAAATTTACAGTAAAAATTAGATGAGTTAAAAACTATTAAAAAAATTCTTCCAAATGTTTTAAGATTGAATCTTACAAATTAACCTCTTACTAAATGAACTTTTTATTTGAAAACCACAAGTAGCCAACTTCTCTTTGTAGTTTTTCAAGGGGTGGAGGAGGCAATAGTTGCTTGCCATCCTCTATAAATTGGGGTTGGTGATTTGGGGCATCATGATGGTGTGCCCAGCCTTCTTTAGAGAAATATTCTCATGTTGATAAAGAGAGAGGATAAAGGCATGATTAAGTTTGGATGACAAAGCTTATCATACTTAATTTTATCTCTTCATGAGACCTAACAACTCCAACTAACTAAAAGTAGAGAATCTGTTTCTATCCTTATTAAAGCAATGAAAAGATTTCATATTTTATAGCAAAGGAGTAAATATAGGAAATATTTAATATTTAAATATTAAATATTTAATATAATATAAATAAATATTCTTTATTTAAAGGTATTCTAAAGTCCTTCAGATATCACAAACCAAAAAGCCCAGTACATCTCAGAATTCACAGTGGGCAAAGGTGGAACTAACTGTCCACCAACAAATGAATGGATATAACAAGTATGGTATATCTATACAATGGAATATTATTTAGTCATAAAAAATAATGACATCATGACATATTACAATATGGATGAATCTGAAAACATGGTAAGTGAAATACATCAGACAAAAAGGACAAATATATGATTCCACTTATATCACACACAGAGTTTAAAATGACCAGTGCTTTACTGAGATTTCTCATTATAGAATATTGATTAGGAGAGATTACCTAAATAAAATATCATGATGTTGGAGACTCAATATGCTGAAGAAATATAATTATATATAATAAATTAATCTTTTCTATGGGTAGGCTATATTTTAGTATTTATTTTGAATTTAATATGTGATAAAACATTTTAAAAATACATAAGCTAATCATATGTGTACCAGGCTAGTAAGGCTAAGAAAGCTTATTAAGATTATTGGATACATCTATAAAAGACATTGATGTAAGGGTTGGTCATAAAAACCATAGCTACTGCATGGCTAAGTCCTTCAAAATAAAAAATCTAAATATGGTCTTGGACTCTTTGAACTTAATAGAGAAATAATTACCTAGCTATTCATCCAGTAAGTTGGGTTACCACAAAACCAATTTACTCATCTGTCTAAGACTACAAATGTCAAAAATTTAGCTTTCACTCAACATAAGATTGCCTTTATGCATAATTTAACATATTCACTAAAAGTCAGAAAGTTGACCATTCCTGAAAACATTCTCTATTTTTCATATACATCTTCATTGACATTAAAGTAAATTAGAAAACCACCCTCTACTCTGAATCTTAGACTATTATATTAACTTTACAATGCCATTGGCTACACATGACCTGCCTATAAACCCTAAAAAATAATGAAAATAAAAATTCATTATTTTTCTAATGTTTTGTATATACCAAATGCTCTTCATGATTTCTCTATATATCAACATGACTTAAAAAAAGTTGTCAAGACCTTTTTATTCAAATGGCCATATATTTTGATCTAGTGGTAGAATGATTTAAAAAATGCACAAACCATCTATTATAAAATTTGCATAGTTTAATGCATTTCACATTTTATTACTATAAAAAAAACCACATCTTAATAAGCAAAGGGGAATTATGATCCAGAGGAAAGAGTTTGCCAGAATATTTATATTAATATTTATATATTCATTTATTTTTAATTTTGACTTTAAGATTACTTAGATGGTACTCCTTAAGGGGTCAAGATTTTTGTTAAATCTGATAACTTCTTCACTTCTTGGACTGTAAGAACAGGAAGATGAACTCTAGTATGGGTCACTAAACATAAATTTGGCCTCTCTTTTTTTTTTTTTAAAGATTTATTTATATAAGAACCAGGGTACAGGCCAGATGCACGGGAGGGTGAGAGGATTCATCAGAGACAGAGCGGGGAACAGAACAGGCAGACTGAGGAAATACACTGCTGAGGGGAGCCGCGGGCAAGACAGGAGAGGTCTGCTGTGCCATGTGAGATCCTTGCCCGCCGGCCAGCCGGCCAGGATCAAACCAGCACTGCAGAGGCTGTGGACAGCTTCACAGCGCGGCGCTCAACCGTCTGTGCCACCAGGGGAGGCCCTTGGTCTCTCTTTTAAAAAATAATTATCTTTATTATGTTCTCTATATACCAAATGCTCTTTATGACTGCTCTTATATATGTATCAAGAGGCCTAAAAAAGTTAAGAATGCTTTTTTGATCAAACTGGAAAAAAAAGTTCTAGCTATTACTCTATTAAACTGTACTACCTAGGGATACCGGAATACCCTACTACTGAGTAGGTAGGTAATTGCAGCAAAGGTAATTTTGTTTCTTGTTCCCATATGACTACTGATATAATATCACAGATATAAATCACTACTGGCAGCAGCAAAGTAATTAACTTTACAAAATTCAGGTCCCTCAGGATCAGTTCTAACTTTCAAAATGTTGCCGAAACAAGAAAGTTGAGAACCCTATATAAATAATCATTATGCTAGCCCTCCAGATTTCTTCTTGATGTGACATACTAAAAGCTGTACATGTACAAATCAAGGAAGCACAATTAGTAAAGTCATCAATCATCTGCCCACAATTGTATTAAAGTCAGGTGTTTAAGATATTTTCTCTTAGCTATGATGATTAGGGAATAAAAATGTTTTGATGATATTATTTTATGACTGGGGCTACAGTTGACAAATACTTCAAATCTCAAATCTTTAATCATGACTGCATTTACTTTTCTTGAATGTAAGAATGAATGAACATTTGTAAAAACAATAAAACTCCAAGAGCTATCTATGAATATATATAAAAAAAGTGTTTCTGTCTTAGATCCCTGGAACAGAGCTCACAGACCCTTGTAATTTATTGTCTTTTCTATGCTAAAAGATGACTCTTGGTGGGGAGGCCCTAGAGAGCTTCAGGATGGCGGTGCTGGTCACCAGAAAACCAATCATGTGACTAGAGGATTAAAACTTACACCTTTCTACCTCCAGGGAGTCGAGAAACTGGAGTTTGAGCTCAACCGCCAAAGGCCAACCATTGGGTTGTAGGTCAACCATTGCTATACAATGAAAACTCCAAAAAAACCCACTAACATAGACAGATGAATTTCTGAATTGTGAACACATTCATGTGCCAGGAGGGTGGTGAACTCTGTCTCCACAGGAACAGATCCTCTGGATCTCCCCTTATGAAACTCTTCATCTGGCTATTCAGTCTGTTATAATAAACTACAGTAGTAATGAGTCCCAAGGCAAGTTAGGGTTAATTAAACAGCTTCAGGGACAGTGCAGGCAAGGGAGAGTTAAAGAGGCTTCTGAGATAAGGACAGTAAATTCTAAGAAGTGCTAACCGAAACATACTCTAGAGATGAGGCCAGAAAGTCCAGTAGGACTAAACAGAGACAGTAAAACTTGAGAGAATAAAACTTTGGACAGGGGAGGTAAACTCTAAGATAAGAGCTGGGACTAGGAGAAAGAGACAATCACAAAATAGGATGGTGAGATTTTAGTATAGAGAAAAAAGGTTTAAATATCCCTAGACACGGGCCCATAAGGACTTCCTTGCCCCTCCCAAGTACAGCATGGGAGTCTTTCTTTCTTTAAATAAACTTTACTTTCTTAAACAAAGTTTGTATCTAAAATGTCTGCAAATTCCTTTTTATGGCTTCATGAGACAAGAACCTGTGGTGATTTAAGGGCTAAATTAACAGCGCACACCAGCATCAGCAAGTATAGTGTTTTAGTAAGTTCTGTTGGTCATGCTAACAAATTATTGAATGTGATCGGGAGCTTCTGGTGAAATGGTGGTGCTTATAGTGGTATTTCCCTGTTTCTGCTTATCTTGCAAGAATAGGGGGCAGGCAGGGGTGTGACAGTGAAACAATGGGACAAAAATGCCCCTACTCATTTTAAGTGGGGAATACAAATTTTTCATAAGTTGCTGAAAACCCAAATTTTTCATTTGTTCCAGATGCTATCCTTGAGGTGACCTCTTACTACTTGGGCTGAAAAATAGCCATGGAAAATGGAATTAAGATGGCTGGCTCATGGTTAAACAGACAACAGTCAAGAATAAGGGGTACTCAGTTTTGTTGTAGTTCTAGACCAAATTCAAGTTACACCATGATTCAGCAAAAAGCAACTATCAGACTCTACCAATTTACACTTTGTTTTGCAACTCCTTAAATATTGCCCAAAGCCCCATCCTCAGGGAAGCAAATTTGAAGTTTTCCTCTTGTCTTCTTGCAAGCTCTTTCTTTTCTCAAACCCTGGTGTCATAATAATAATTAGTTTCTATGCACATCAGTCAAGAGCCCACTGCATGGTAACACTGGAACTTCCAAATTTGCTACAAGTATTTAATGTTAGAATTGAATCACATTGTTCAACACCCAGCTAGTGTCATAGAGCTGGAGAAATGCTTGGTGTTTGGAAAGACAGTACAAATTTGGTATCATAAGAAACAAAACCAAGAAAACAACAATGCAAAAATTTAGAAAAGAGAAGAGGATCGCCAACCTCGGAATATCAAAGATAGTCTATTCTGAGTAGACAAGAAAAAAAGTTTTTCAAAGGATCCTTTCACCTTTAAGATTCTTAAGAACATAAATGCAAACAGAAAATTTATGAATTTTCTAATTGTCATTTCAACAATTTTTTTTTTAAAGATTTATTTATTTATTTACACAAGCACTGGGTACAGTCAGAAGCACAGGAGGGTGAGAGAATTCACCAGAGCCAGAGCGGGGAGCAGAGCAGGCAGAGTGAAGAAGTACACTGCTGAGGGGAGCAGCGGGCGGCAGGAGTGGTCTGTGCGCCATGTGGGACCTTCCTCCGGTGGCCAGGGAGCAGCCGGGGATCGAACCGGGGCTGCAGAGGCTGCGGGCAGCTTCGCAACCCAGCGCTCAACCGCTGAGGCCACTGGGGAGGCCCGCATTTCAACAATTTTTAAATATATTTACATAAAAAAACAACCCAAACAAGACCTTTGATTAGGTGGTCTGTCTTTGTCATATACATTTCAAGGCAAATTATACATCCATTTTCTCTACCACTCTTCCATCTTAGGAACTGGAAGAAATATATTGAAAGTTGGTCATCCGCTAATGTTTTTCATTTAGTCAGAAGGAAGATAGCAAAGTTAATAGTTAAAAAGCAGAATTAAAAAGGAAAGAGGGCCTCCCTGGTGGCACAGGGGCTAAAGACAACACTATCAAGCTATTGTGAGCCACTGCAGGGAGCAACCCACATGACTCATCAAACCTGTCCTGTCACCCCCCCCCCCCCCCCCCCCCGCTGTTCCCTTCAGCAGCATATTGCAGTAGATCTGCCTGTTCTGCTCCCCACTCTCTCTGGTGAATCCTCTCATCATCTCCCCACCTCTGGCTTACAGCCCAGTTCTTGTATGCATAAATAAATAAATCTTTAAAAAAAATAAAAATAAAAAAGGAAAGAACCCAAGAAAATTCCAATAATTATATAACAATATAATGTTCTGTTTATAACTATACTTATAGTTATACTGTAAATTAACATTTATAATTATAAATAGTAAATTATAATAATGCTTAACTTGTATGTGCTCAAATGCACATGATTATTTTATATCAAGCAAAATGAGGACAAAACTAATGTTTGAATAAGTTAACAATAATTTAATAATAATAAGTTATTATTATTAATAACTTAATAATAAGTTATTATTATAACTTATAATAATAATAAGTTAATAATAAGTTAATAATAAATTGATGAACTCTTGTAAGTTACTGTATTTTAGTTGCACATTCATGATATTACCAAAGCATTAAAAATTGGCAGGGTCTGAGAAACGCAATCCAACTGTTAACCCATCATGTAGCCAGCTGGCTGAAAGCATGGTTAGCACAATGACCTTGTGATTTGGTTTTGTTGTTAACTGACCTGAATCACACACAGTGGCAATATCACCTGTAGTTTCACTGGCAGAGACAGCTGTGACAGGACTTTTGTGTCCTGCTAGACTCTGTACATAGCACAATCTGAAAGACCAAAGACATGAATTTGCAAATGATCATTAAATATAATTATGTTCTCTTCTTTACATAATTCTTTTCCTTAGTACATATACCTATCATTCATAAGATATTTGTAACTGTATTCCTGATTGATCTTTTGACTGCAATAGGATTATAAAGGTAAAGATTGTTTTCAGTCTTAAAATTTAAGATTATTAGAAAGCAAAGACATTATTTTGGTACACCTATTTCATACATTAAGATTTGAAATATTACAAGCAACTATGTTTGAATTGGAGGCTTTCTGTACCTGTTTAAATCCCATATGATGCAGGTTCCATCTCTGCTCACACTTATCATTATACTGTAAGGTTTGCAAACAAATAAGCTGGTAATCTCTTCTGTGTGCCCATAGAGATGTATCTGAGACTCCATTTCTATCTCTGATGGCTGAAATTTAAAAATTAAGTATAAGATAAAAACGATGACAAGAAGTATCTGAGTATTGTACATAGAAAATAAGAACAACCTAAGTGACTCAAACATTCTCATATTTTTCAATCAGTTCAACTTTATTTATTTGTTTGTTTGTTTGTTTGTTTATTTATACAAGCACTGGGTACAGTGGGAGGGTGAGAGAATTCACCAGAGCCAGAGCGAGGAGCAGGGCAGGCAGAAGGACCGAAGTACACTGCTGAGGGGAGCAGTGGGCGGCAGGAGAGGTCTGCGCGCCATGTGGGACCCTCCTCCGGTGGCCGGGGAGCAGCCGGGGAACGAACCGGCACTGCAGAGGCTGCGGGCAGCTTCATAACCCGGTGCTCAACCGCTGCGCCACCGGGGAGGCCCAGTTCAACTTTTTTTAAAGAGGAAAACAAAATAAACATTAAAGAAAATTTTAATTGCTCATAATTTAATCAACAAACATACTGTTCATTTTTATTTATTCTTACCCAGTTTTTGTCCAAATACACAGGTATTGTTATAATTGTGATTTTTGCATACAAATAATTTTCTGTTTTACACATCCTGCCATAAGCATTTTCCATTTTTGACATTGTCTTTAAAATGATTCTTAATAGTATTTTAATATTATATACAATTAGCATACCATTTATATACTTGAGCATTTTTTTATTGATAGACATTCAAAATTAATTCCATTTTTTTTCAAGATTATAGAAGCCATAATTAAATTCTTCACGTATATAAGTTTTTTCTTTCTCTGAATTATTTCCTTAGAACAAATTTCCAGAATCCTACTAGGAGGTCAGTGAATAATAATTATTTTATTGTTCTTGAAAGCATGCTTTTCAAAGGCATTACACCAATCTGTAATGCACCAATGATGATGTATAGCAGCTATAAACTGACATTTTAAAGGTTACAAACTGTTGTTCCAAGGTCCATATTGACTCACAGATGCCAGATGTCCATACAAGGTTTGACTTGTTTTCATTATGTAAGAAGAACAACCTCTGAGCCAATGTGTGGCACTCATAGCTAATCCGATGGTAAAAGGTGCTTTCCAGACTCAAGCCCCTGAATGGGGGATGACAGGAAACATGCAGACCTGGAGCTTTTGGCAGCGTAATTGCCTGGGCTTTGGCAGTTAAACTGCTGAGCCTTCAGCAGTTAAATTACTGGCAAGGAGTGATGTCAATGGAGAAGCCCCTCCATGTGTGGCTTCAGCTTGGTCCTTGGTCCCTGCTCAGCAGATGCTATCTGGAGTAGGACAGATGGCTTCTGAGGAAGTGCCAGCCTGTAAATTTGTTCTCTTTTTTTCTTAGCTTTCCCTTTTCACTCCCTATGTAAATAAGTCCAGTTATTGTTGATTCTCCCTGAGTGTCTATTTTTGGGTGTTGGTCTGTTGGTCTTATGTGCACTCTCACAACCTGGGTCAACACCTTCCCCCTAGGATTACTCTGTAACAATTAGACTAGCTGTTTACTATGATAAAGTATTTTAAAATTTCTACTTCAAAGGACATAGAAAAGTAGAAAGAATAAGTGTTACATACACCTATATGCTTACCATTCAGTTAATTCTAACATTTGATATCACTTTATTTTTTTAAATAACAAAAACATTAAACATTACAGTTTGTGTATACTTCTATATCTTATTTCTTCTCACTTGTCAGAAATTATTATCTTGTGTTTATGTTTCTGATGTGTGTAGAATGTATGTTTTACTATTTGTTAATATAATGATGAACAATGTGTTGTGTTACTTGGCATGTTGATAAACTTTATATATATGGTATTATTCTTAGGTCTGCAGCTTGACTTCTTTTCCCTACTGTTTTTGAAATATGTTGATATTTTAGCTGTAGCTCATCTATTTTACATTCTTCATAGTCCAGTGTTTTGGTCACATTAAAATATATACATTTAACACTTAAAGAATCAACCAACCAGGCAATACCAGACTCACATTCTTCCTTACAACAAATGGCTTGAGCTATATAGTAATTGCTTCTATATAGCCAGGACATATGATCTTCAGTTGAATTAATCAAAGGGATCAAGTGTACTTTTGGGTTTTCAACAAGTACACGACTCCTGGGCTTGGGTCCCTTTTGGGTTTCCTCTGACTGCAGCTCTCCGCACAGAACCAGAAGTCTGCGAGAACAGAATGTGCCCAGAATGCTTTCAGACTATGCTTCAATTACTGGAATTGAGGAATTCCCTGCCCCAAAGGTCCTGAGTCCCTTCCTTCCCTGCTTTAGCTCTGTAGCATTTGAGTTTGTAACACACCTCTCATTCTAAGTTTTTGAAAATTTCCCAAGTTCTAAATGGTAGAAGGTTGCTTCAAATTGTGTTTCTTTTATTATAATCAAGTTTTATTTTTTCACATATTCATTTTTTTATCTCTAAACTTGTGTGCCTGGTTTTATTTATTTGTTACTAAAAAAAAATTTGTAACAATTTCTCTATTTGCAGAAAATAACACAAGAATCTTCTTTGTTTCTGCCAGACAACCTGTACCCCATACCAGTCTAGGGAAGTCTTATTCAAAGTCAAATCTTGAGGATCCTAGAAACACCCAGGGAATCTCGATCCAGGTTATAACTCCATGCAAAAGTCGATCAGTTCCCATCCGACTCACCCTCCTTCCTAGGGTGTAGTCATTTAGGAACCATCCTTTGGAAAAGGCCCTTTTTGGGATTTTCTAGCTTGCTCAATACCTAAGTCTTTTCTAGTCTTCCCTCAAAGGTCATCTAAAGGCAATGGATGACAAATGACCTCAAAGCTAAAGCTCCTTTCCTGTTTATTTACTTCTCTGATTTGGTAGTTCCCCTACTAGTTTGTCAGCTCTTTGGTATACATACTCACACACATATACACAGGCACACATACATACATATATACATACACACGAACATGTATATATGCATGTATATTTTCATGCCATACTCATGAATATTTATGTGGTAAATACGAAATAGGGCCTGATAATTTTATAGCCTATACTTTAAAATGACTGCAAGTGTTAGTGTTACTAGATGATTCCCTGGATAATTTCCATGGATAGAACAGAAATCTTATGCTGGCCTCCTTTTTAAAATTGCTTTTGAATGCCATAATACTATCTTGGATAAGTTACATATATATTCTCCTATGACTACCACCAATTTAGATAATAGAAATACAGGTGTTCACTTATATGAAGCTGATGCAGCCATAATATTTTGTTAGTAAAAAAATAACTACGGGAGAACAAAAACCTCATGTGAACATGAGGTGCCTCCTGTTGACTTCCCAGGCACACGGTCACATCAGCAACTACAGTGACACCAAAATGGTGAGATAGTCTCTGAGAAAAGGCAACTAGAACAATGCCTTAAAAAACCTAAGTAACCTCCCCTCAAATTAAACAATGATAAAACCACATAGCTAAGATGCATTTTTGGAAACAGTTTAAATAGTGACGGTTAATCTCATGACTTGATTACTTAATACTATTATTACTTAGGAGAAAAATAAAACCCTTATAAATAGACTGAAAATTTTGTTTTCAGCCAAATATATAACTGAGGAAAGGTAAACAATATGACTTAATAAGCCCACCATGACTTGAACACAAGAAGCAAATGTCTTGCTGTAGCCAAATTATCATAGCTATACTTTAGATCTGCTATATTCAAATCACTTCTCTGCATAATTACTCCTATACTGACAACTTTATCTTTTTTAAATTTAAACTACATACATGTTAGTATACAATTAAACATTTGAACTATAGAAGGGAAGCTAAGAACGCGACTCTTAAAATGTTGGGAAAAGCAAGAGGAAATAAAAAATAAAAGATGAAACTAGTTTTAAAATAGGTATCTGTAGCATGGTTCAAAATATCTAAGAATAAAATATCTAACAACTCTCTATGCAGACAACTGCCTTAGAAGGAGTGATTAAAATATATTTGTAGGAAAAAAGAAATAGAAAGATGAGCTCGGAAGACAAAAGCTGATGGCAGTTGTAAATACCAGAGACTATGAAATTTTAGGACTGCCTTTTGGGAATAAAAGGAGGAAAAAGCAGACATTCCAAAAGTTATGACACTTCTTCATTTAGACTCCTTAACATTCTTTTTATTGTGCTACATATGAGCCTTCTATCAACCCTCTTTTGTACCTCTCTCCCACATCATACTCTAAACTACACATAAAACTTATTTGCCTCCCCCAAATTATTATCCCTTTGATTCTATGCTTTGGTTTCCTTTGCCTGAAATAGTCTTTCCTTTTTTTTCTTCTTAGTAAAATGATCCTTAAGATCCAGTTCAATTGAAACTCCAGGCTCCCTGACATTTGTAGATCCCTGTTGTGTGTTTTTCTAACTGTGTGTGGATATTTCTGAGCGGACACACTTAATGTCCTGCAGCAATTTGCACGTGCCTCTCTTCTGCTGAGGAGCCCTTCATCATTTTCTGTGTCACCGGAAGAGCCTCCTCACAGGGATTCTTGCCTTGAGTCTCATCCCCGTTTATGGGACATTTCATGTGTTTCTCCTTGCAGGCTACATGGAGGCCTTCCTAAAATGCTGACTGCTTAAAACATTCCTTCTGCTTAAAATATTCTAATGGTTCTTTAGACTAAGAGACAGAAAGAATATTATGGTCACATATATACCCTAAGGATCATGGCAACGAACTTTAAAAAGGATTTAAAAGGGAAAAAACTTGACAGACATGTAAGAGGAACCCTGCGCTGGGAATACAGTTACATCTGTAAAACATATTTAATAATATAGTAGAGAAACTTATAATGGGAAAAAATGTAAAAGTACTATATTAGAATAATTACTGTTTTTTTAATATGATTTTTGGACATTATGTGATTTCTCCTCTTAGGTGTGGTCATTATAGTTCTCCCACTACCAAAGCACCCATACTCCATCACCATATTCCCTTGTGCTCCCCACCCCTGGCTGCCGTCACCTCACCTCACCCCTCATCCTCACCCTCCCCTCATGAATGTCTCACATCCATGATCAGTTTTCATAGTTTGTCTTTGACCTTTTGTTTTTTCTATATTCCACCTATAAGTGAAGTCATCTGATATTTGTCTTTTTCCTTCTGACTTAATTCACTTAGCATCAACCCTTCCAGCAAATGGCACAAGTCTATCTTTTTTGATCACCGAATAGTATTCCATTGTGTATTTACTACATCTTCTTGATCTACTCATAAGTTTTTGGGCATTTAGGTTGTTTCCACACCTTGGCTACTGGAAATAGTGCTACAATAAACACAGCAGTGCATGTTTCCTCCCAAATTGGTGTTTTTGTGTTCTTTGGGTAGATTCCTAGGAGTGGAACAGCTGGGTTGTATGGCACATCCATTTCTAGTGTTTTGAGGAACAACCTTCCATAGTGACTGGACTAGTTTACATTCCCAGCAGTAGTGTAAGAGGGTTCCTTTTTCTCTACATCCTTGCTAGCACTTGTTGTTCCTGTTTTTTTTTTTAATTTAAAATTTTTTTTAATGTGGACCATTCTCACAGGTATGAGATGGACTCTCATTGTGGTTTTGATTTTCATTTCCCTGATAACAAGTGATGATGAACATTTTTTCATATGCCTATTGGTCATCTGTTGGAAAAGTGTCTATGTAGCTCTTCAGATAATTACTGTATTATCACTTTAAACTTGCCACTTAGCCTCAATGGTACTATAGTTCCTCAAGAAAGGAGAGAGTAAATTAAAGGAAGTATTGCATGTGTCTTATTTTCTTCACTAGATTAAATTCTCAAATTCTGAAGTGTGTTTTAGCAACTAGTAGAAATCAAGATGTCCTACTTAGTTTCATTATTATTTAATTTACCCAGAGAGAATAGGAATGTTGAACATAAAAGGCTGTAAGTGTCCACATTTTGTAGAATCTTGTGGTATACTCCTAAGCATTTAGGTCAACACTGAGAATGCAGGCAAATAAGCATCAAAATGTGTTGAAATATAAAACAGGTCACAAAGTAAAATACTATCTGTTTCTGAAAGTGAAAAATAAGACTTTTATAATTATTTCCAAAATTCTTCATGATCCTAACAGACCCAGCACTAAAGAGTTGGATATGTAACCTTCCACATTTTAAGAGCTTAAGCGGAGGAAAGATTAAGGTACAAAAGATTAAAGTGCAGAAATTTTAAGTTATTCTTACATAAAATGAACTGCACTTCATAAAAATTCTCTTCCCTTCCCTGTCATGAAAATCCCAAACTACCCATAAAATGAGCCTAGGACCTACCGTGCTGCTCGTAAATCTGTTCGTGTAGGCTGTGATGACACCACACTTGCTCCCGGTGAACAGCTGACAACTGTCAGGTACCCAGGCACAGCTAGTCACCTTTGAAAAAGGACAAATCAGAGATTATCATCTTTGAAAAGCATGAGAAATACTTCTATTTTTCTGACAACTATTTAAAAAATATATGATCACAAAATTTAAGTTAAACACTTAAAATGATTAGAATGGTGCCTGATGTGATATTTTTATAACTTTTAGTCAGATGTCTAAAAACCATTGGTTTCCTAATTAAAATGTATTACAGTGCATTGTCTATGATTTTACATTTTTCAGTGTATACACACACATACACACACACTGTCATTTGTTTCTCAGAAATTTAAACAAAATGATCCAGAATTATACTACATTCAAGGTTAAGTGTGTATGCATCTATGTTTTACACATTTACCTGATTTTTGCTTTCTTTTTTCTGTTTTCGGTGGGAAAACAGGGTCCATAAAAATAGAGGCATTGCTACTAGCAGTTCTAAAGATTGTTAAATAGGAGATGGAAAGATAACTCTGAGATTATTCCTTTGGGACCATAAACCCTTCATTCTTAACCATGGAGGAACTATTCAAGGTCAGCACAACTCTGCTCATCCTGACAGGGTCTTCCTCTAGTCACCAGTTGACCCCACACTGTCATATCCACAGAGTTGCTGTGCTCTCTTTGTAGCTCTTCTCCAGTTTCACCTCTTTCACAGTGCCCTCACACTTCACCCTTAAAGAAAACAGGTCATCAGCCAAGGGCTCATTCTCTTCCCTCCCTCGTGCATCAAAAAGTCTCAGTGTCTTCTGATGGAGCCGAGGAAACCCCTTTTGTTTTCAAGGCCAGCAGCAACCCTACCTCTCAAAGTTCCTCAGAATCCTGTCCTTTCTCTTAGAATTTCAAACAGTTTTTTCCTGGCTTCTTCTTCTGAGCCTACAAATACGCTCAAGTATCGATGACCTTAGAAAATATCTTCCTTTCATCCTGGCTCTTCTTAACTCTGTACATCATTACAGTCTGTTGGATCTAGTTTTGGTTTTTTCAGTTTCTTTTTTGAATAGTTCTATTGCTAAGGATTGACATTTAATAATTTTTATATTTCCTTAGAGGTCCAAAGAACAAAGAAAAAATATTTATTTTTTATATACAGAAAAAACCTCTTTCTTGTAACCACTGAATAGGTCTACAGAACTCTTTTATAAACCTGTTATATTATGGGATTTTGAAAAACTTACTTTTTTCTGTTCTATCTTGATACATTTTGCTATTTTATGATTCTATGACTTATTTCATCATTACTCACTGATTATTACCAACCATGCTAAAGCAAAACAAAAAAAGAAAATGAAGAATGATGGGTGTCCTGGAAGAATAATGTATCAATAAGATGTAAAATAAATTGTCTTTTGGTTTTCTTATTATATTGTTCAAAGAATGATGTGATCTTTCAAGAAAATATAAAAGAAAACTGGAGACACGATTCCTGGAGTCTGCTTTTAACTTTAATTGAATATATGTGAAAATTCAATTTTTTTCATTTTCTCCCAATAATAGAAAAGAGAAGAAAATTGATAGGAGTATGTTTCACAATTATAAGGTTGATCCAAAAATGAAGGCAAAGAAATGGCTGTCCCCTAATCTCTAATAATAAGGAAATTGATTATATAAATGAAATCTCAAAGTGTGAGTCTTCAATATGATAATACCCTAGATGAATTTTCTCAAACTAAAGAACTAATGAGTAAATAATAGGTTTTTAAGGATGAAAAGGAAATACGATATTCCCATACAGTTAGTCATTTGACTAGAAATACAGTATTTAGCAAAAAGAATATGAACCATGCCATTCTGCTAAAAGGACTTGAGAGTATTCTTTCATTTTTTTTATGTTTGTGTACAAAGCTTTACATGATAAAAATAATTTGCAATGCTTAACTAATTAAAAATTCTAGTAAGTTTATTTTTTACTTTTTATTTTTACCTTTGTTTTTGTTAGTCTACTGCTAAGTCAGATAACAAAAGGCAATGACTTTTTTTCAGATATACAGAAGATTAAGCAAATAAGTCATTGTTCTCCTTTCTTTCACTGCCAATATTTCCCAAAAGCAGCTTATTCCATTTTGAAAGAGCTCAGGGAAAGACAGGAAAAGAAAGATTTTGTAATACAATTTATTTTTTTAAAGATTTATTTATTTATGCATACAAGAGCTGGGGTACAGGCTAGAAGTGTGGGGGGTGAGAGGATTCACCAGTGACAGAGTGGGGAACAGAACATGCAGACTGACTGAAATACACTGCTGAGGGGAACAGCAGGCAAGACAGGAGAGGTCTGCTGCACCATGCTGGTAGATGGGGATCCAACTGGGGATCCCTGGCTGGGGATCCAACTCATGCTGCAGAGGCTGTGGGTAGCTTCACAGGTTGTTAAGACATTAACCCCTTGCACCAGGGAGGCCCCTTGTAATACAAGTTAGTACCTGGAGAGGGTACTGGCAGATTCTCTCTCTCTCTCTCTCTGTGTGTGTGTGTGTGTGTGTGTGTGTGTGTGTGTAGTGTTTAATAGTTTACAAAGTGCTTTTCCATTTAGGAAAAATGAGGCATAGAAGATAGCACTACAGTTATAGAAAATGACAATGTGACAAAAGTGACTTAGAAGAGGGGCCTCCCCGGTGGTGCAGCGGTTGAGCGCCGGGTTGCGAAGCTGCCGCAGCCTCTGGAGCACCGGTTTGATCCCCGGCTGCTCCCCGGCCACCGGAGGAGGGTCCCACATGGCTCGCAGACCTCTCCTGCCGCCCGCTGCTCCCCTTAGCAGTGTGCTTCGGTCCTTCTGCCTGCTCTGCTCCCCGCTCTGGTGAATTCTCTCACCCTCCCGCGCTTCTGACTGTACCCAGTGCTTGTATAAATAAATAAATAAAAATAAATCTTTAAAAAAAAAGTGACTTAGAAGAAAGTAATGCTGATTTCATTCTAATACTCTGCCATTACCTAATGCTAAACAGATTATAATAGTGTATCAACAGGAGAGAGCGGATGACTTCTTACCCTCAAGAAGAGGATAGAAGACAATTTTGGGGACACAGAAGAATAGTGGTGGTTAGGCAGATGGTTAGCACTGTTAAGAAGGCAAAACATTCAGTGCCATTAGCTTCTTGATTGGATATTAAAGTCAGGAATATTAAAGACTAGCAGTAGTCCCACTCCATTTAAATCACTGTATTTAATTATTATAAAGTATTTAATAGAAAATTTTACCTGATACTGTTGTGAACTTTGTATAAAGTTTATTGGAGGTTCACTTTGTTTACTCTTCAACCTTAAAATGTTATCAGCATATCCCCAGCTCAGGATGGCTGACCACTGAATGTCAGTACTGTTCATGCTTCTCACACCTCAAGGAGAAGGAGAAAGTATTAGATTGTCACTGCTCAATTGTTATTTGACAGCCCCCCAAAATATCAGGTTAAAGGCTTGAGTTTAATAAAACAGTATCATTCTAGCGCAAAATGACCATTATAGCTATAACATGAACCAATTTATGTTAGTTTTATTCCTTTAATGCTAAGAGAATTTGAAGGCTAGAACTATATTCTTTTTTCATTTGTGGGGCTTCGGTTGCTACTTGACTTAGAACTAAAACTTCTGGTAAGAAATTTTGTATAGAACATAACAGCAGTCAAGCTTACTCTGTTCGTGTTCTGAGACACCTTTTTAAAAATAAATATGAACTAGATATTGTTTTAATAACTTTCTAGACACTTCCTGCTGAAGAATCAGTATGGGCAACTACTAACATCAGAAAGAGAACATCGCTACAGTAGAAGCAATACCTACCCTGGAAGGATAATTTAATCCTGTCTACCGCAAGGGTTCTATATGGTAGAACTCATTTAGTGAGGTTGTGTTCTCTCTCAGAACACAGTATTATGTCCTTTTATATAAAGATTTGGAGATTTTGATGTTCTTTTTCACTACTATTCATTACCTATGCCAAATATGACTAGTACACATAAATGCCATAAGTGGTACTGCTCTTGAAACTTGGAACACCATTAAGTTCCTTGAGGAGAGAGAATGTATTGTATTTATTCCAGCATTTAGCATAATATCCAGCATCTAGCATAATAAAACAAGTAAATATTGTTGAATGAATCAATAGTGCAGTGAAAATGTAATACACTGGCTTCTTTTCATTTTCTTGAGTATAATAATAAATGTTGACAACGGTTTTACAATAAAGGAATTAGGATATACTGAAAACAATCTATTCTAAATATAAACTGCTAGGGACAGGTACCACATTTCATGAGTCTCAGAACCTCTCAATTTTTACCAAAATGCCTGGCAATGTGGTAGGTGCTCAATAAATCAAGAGCTTAATGATCCAAATATATGAAATAACTGTTCCAAGTTTCTCATTATGGTAAGACAAAATGAATCAAAGTTTTTTTTTTTTTTTCTTTTAAAGAGAAATACTTTTCGTTTACCTACTAGAGCAGTGGATCTTAGGTAGGACTTCGTAAGAAAATTGCTTTTTCAGCATTTATAGACTTGGACTCATGCCCCAGAGATTCTGATACAGGTGTCCAAATGGTATCTAAGCAAGTATATTTTGTAAAAATAAACAACGAAAAATTCCAAACACCTCAGGCAATTCTGAGGCAGTCAATTCTGAAATAACTGGCCTCTACTGGGCTTATTAAGATCATTAACTATCTCGGTGTACTTGTCACATTATGTTATGCATATATTACTAAGCAAAACCACACAGTTATTTGATATAACAGTGCTCAGCACCTTGCAGCTGTTACACGTGACCTAACTTTCATCTGCAAGTCTCACTCTCACTCATTCAAGGTCTCCATGGAATGCTCATGTGGACTGTTAGGAGCTTAATATGGCAGTGAAGCTTACACAGTATGTAGCTCCAGGGTGCTTATAATCCAGTGGACAGTTAGTAACTACTTATAATGAGTCAGGCACTGTCCTAATCATTACCTACATTATTTCATTTAATCCTTACAAGTAAATTACTCAGTGAGGCAAATCCTTTTGTTATTCCCATTTTATAGATCAAAAACCATGATTTGGAATGTTTAAGTACTTTTCTGAATGTCATGAAGTGCTTAAGTAGCAGGCTTAGGAAGCAAATTCAGGCACTGTGCCTCCTGAAGCCACAGCCATTTCTGTTGTATTACACCACCTGCCTGGACACACCTTGATTTTGACATATCCCAAATACATTCTATGGAGAAATAATATGTAATTTGAATGAACACAGATATTAAGGGTGTTCTAAGGACTTGTGACTAATGGCATGAATAAGATAGGTAGACAATTAGAGTTAATCTTTTTCAGTCCATCATACTATCATAAGACCTGTCATGACAATACGTATCAGTATCAGTCTATCTTCCTCTTCTTAAGAGAGATAGAACTTCATTCCACTCTAACTTTTTAGAGGTAAATTATTTAAACATTTGAGTGCACTTTAAGTATTATTATTTAAGCAAATTACTTGTGACACATCTCACAACTAAATGCAAGATACAAGTGAGAATGAATCACATAATTAAGATTAAATAGATTTACTTTATCCTCTTTTCTAAGCTTAGATGAAATGGTATTTTTAAAAAAATATTTATTTATTCATGTATACAAGAACCAGGGTACAGGCCAGATATGCGGGAAGGTGAGAGGATTCATCAGAGACAGAGCGGGGAACAGAGCAGGCAGACTGACTGAAATACACTGCTGAGGGGAGCAGTGGGTGAGACAGGAGAGGTCTGCCGAGCCATGTGGGTATCTCCCTGGCTGGCCGGGATCTAACTCACGCTGCAGAGGCTGTAGGCAGCTTCACAGCGCAGCACTCAACAGCCTGCACCACCAGGGAGGCCCCTGAAATGGTATTATTTTTAATGATAAAGATAATCATTCATTTCATGATAGAATTAAGAGTGAGTCTAAAGAATTGTGGCCCAGCCGGCATACAACTTCTCCAAGTGATTGATATTTGAAACAAATACTGGCCTTCTTGTACTGTGGTGCTACATACTGTGGAAGGCTTTATGGACCCCAAGGAGCACAGAGCATAGAAAGTGTCACGCTAAACACTGACAGAATGGACCGCTGAGAGGCATACATCTAGTCCATGTGCTGGCTGTCAGGTAAAGCTACACATTCCTAATAGAACAGATGAGTGCTCTCAGTCATTTACTTCAGTGTCCAGAGCCCAAGTCTCATAAGCAGAGAAGAGTTCTTTTCAATTTATCATGGTCAGTTTAGAAGTGATGAGGGATTACTTGAATGGAAAATATCCTCAGTTTTCCAGTGTCTAGGTGACATTTAAAAATACAGAGGAACCTCTATAGCACTTTTCATGTACTCACGTGCTGCTTCTGGTGAGTCAGTACATAGGCAGTGAGAAACAAAATGTCTTTTCATCTTTTAAAAATTACTTTTAAGGCTGACATGACCCGTTTGTTTCAATCCCATGACTATCATTTGAGGTATTAGATTTATTGGTCAAATAAGTCTGTCTACTCTGGGATTCAAGAACCTCAAAGTGAATATTCCTATCAAAACAATAAAGTTTTCACATTTTGAGCATAAACATTTATTTTTGTCTCCTTCAAAATACTCTCATTTCAAATGGCACTGCATTTAATTCCCATATTTTGCATATAGCATGTTGTCATTCCTACTTTGCACCAAATAACCACAAATTTGAGCAGTTTTTTTGCCATGGACTCAGAAAATTTAGAAATAAAACAAAATAGCACACATGAGCTGGAAGAATCCAAAACTCATGAAAGATATGCCTGGAATAATTTTCGCTATGTTTTATTTTACCTTTTTCTTTGCTGTATGTCATCAGAAGACAGAAATTTCGGGACAAGCCACAGATTGCTCTGGTGGGCAGAGCCTGGAGAGAACCAAATCTTTCTCCGTGGGGCTGGCTGAAGCAGACCACAGGTACTGGAGCACTTGGGGAACCTACAAACTCTCCCCACTTTAGGCCTTTTATCCATGATAAAGGACTCTAAAATCAAGGAAAGAAAAAAGTATAGTTTTTTTTATAAAGGTAGTAAACACAGATTTACTTCTAATATAAATCTAAACCAAGCAAGAGAAAGCATTAGGCAAAATTTTATATGGTTTTACTTCCCCCATGCTTAGCATATAGAGACATGTGTTTCTTATTCAATTTTATCTTAGTATTCTGGCCTAGTTTACAGGAAAATGTCTACAGGAAAATAATTCAAACTCCCTTGAAATATGACTAGAGAAAAAAACATTTACTAAGTATATTTCTTTCAGTCTAGCTGAAATATCTAAAGTTCAGCCCTATAGGAGGAGGATTATCATTGGGGTGTGTGTGAGTGTGTGTATACATACATACACAACATGTACATATGCACACATACATACACAGTAATTGAAAATCAAGACCACAAGTAGCACAGAAAACCTTAGAGATATATGAGCCCCTTGAAGACAGGGAACACCTGTGTTTTCACTTTCTTGATTTCCTTCTCTAAACCTTTATAAAAACTTTACAATCATAGTCTCCCATCTTACATTGCTTTTATAATGATGAATTCAATTGAAGGTTAGAATCCATTTTATTTTTAGGTTTGCTTGATTTATTTTTCTATTTCAAAGTAAAAATTATTCCTACTATCTATTTGAAGAGGCAGTATTTTTGAACATTACAATCTTGGGAGGGCAGAAATATGTAATGTCCCCTCCAAGACATAAGCCAAGACATTCAGCTTTTGGTCAGTACTTACGGAGGAAGATGACAACCAGGACCATGCTACTCATGTTTACACTGACGTACCTACTGCTCAAACTGTTTTCCAGTCCTCTCTTCTCATCTGCAAATTTCTGTTATGTCACTGAATTGTGAGGCTTGCTCAGGTAAAAACCCACAGAGAGGCTGCTATTTGACCTGAGCTCCCTGAAACAATCTTTTCATATACAGAAGACACCTGTTAACTAAGCATCAGTCATTGGCTGGTGCATACTTTGAGGCTGGGACCATCCTGTTCATTTTGGTCTGGAACAGGGCCTGATAAATCTCACGAGTTGAATAAGTTTTTGCTGAATTCTACTGAAATCCAAACAACATACCGGGTAGGTAATTTCTTTGACCTGCTCTCGGGTTTCCCTGAAAGCAAACTGCACTAACAATCCCACGGCAGTAGGAAACTCTCCTTCAATGTTGAGCTTGGATCCAGGTCTGCTGGCATGCGCTGACTGGAACAACTGACGAGGGGTTTGACCATAGGTTTTTATCATGGTTTCTAGTGCACGTCTCTGAACTGGATCTTCAACTGCAGAGACATCCATTCCAAAATATGTCTGATGAGTAAAAGAGAACAAGAGGTATATGAAAAGTAAGACTTGGCAATAACACCAAAAGGGAAAATAACAACTTAATTTATTCTCTCAGCAAAAGTTTACTCTTCTTTATATAAAAAGGAAATAATTTTTATTTTATTTATTTATTTTTTTAAATAGAGGCATGTTTTTATTTATTTATTTGTTTGTTTGTTTGTTTGTTTTGTTTATACATGCACTGGGCACAGTCAGAAGCGCGGGAGGGTGAGAGAATTCACCAGAGCCAGAGCGGGGAGCAGAGCAGGCAGAAGGACCGAAGTACACTGCTGAGGGGAGCAGCGGGCGGCAGGAGAGGTCTGCACGCCATGTGGGACCCTCCTCTGGTGGCCGGGGAGCAGCCGGGGATAGAACCGGCGCCGCAGAGGCCGCGGGCAGCTTCGCAACCCAGCGCTCAACCGCTGCGCCACCGGGGAGGCCCCGGAAATAATTTTTAAATGCTTTGGATCGAGTTAATAATCATGAAAGGTCTTACAGAGATCAGAATAAAAGAAATCAATGTTTCTGAGTGGGTGAATGCAAGGATGTATCTTGACTGATTTGCTGTTAATTAGGTAAGTTTAAACAACTGGTGTCTTTTTTTTTTTAATAAATTTTATTTTTATATTCCCCATACAATTGCAATCCCCTTATTTTGACCCCAATCCCTCCGCTCCCCACCCCTCACCCTCCATAAAGTGTCTCTGTAAACAACTGTTTTTTTTTTTTTTTTAAAGATTTATTTATTTATTTATTTATACAAGCACTGGGTACAGTCAGAAGCGCGGGAGGGTGAGAGAATTCACCAGAGCCAGAGGGGGGAGCAGAGCAGGCAGAAGGATGGAAGTGCACTGCTGAGGGGAGCAGCGGGCGGCAGGAGAGGTCTGCGCGCCATGTGGGACCCTCCTCCAGTGGCCGGGGAGCAGCCGGGGATCGAACCGGAGCTGCAGAGGCTGTGGGCAGCTTCGCAACCCAGCGCTCAACCGCTACGCCACCGGGGAGGCCCCAACAACTGGTTTTTAATTTAAGACCAGAAAATATCATAGAAGACTTCATATATAATACTAAATTATTAAAAAGTCACTTGTACAAAGTGATATCTAGAAAAAGCAAAAATAAAGTTAAGATAGACCCATGTTGGTAAGTAGTTCAAGAAAGTATTATTTAGGCTCTAATGCAAATTCTAAGTGAATATGAAAGTGTAGCAGTGAAAATTGCAAGCTCTTTAATGTAAAGGGTGTAATTACACTTTTCTTTTTAGTGTTGTCATCCCTCAAGTCAGTTGGAGAGCAATATGCATTTACTTTGTTATTTCTAAAACTAGCCATCCAGTAGCTGGGTGCAGAACTGTTATGTTTTGTGCACACTCACGTCTACAATTTGGGTTTTGGTATTTAATCAGTCATACAAATTTCATATACATATCTAGATATAACATTTCTGTAAGTGCCAAAATAAAAAAATATTCTTCAGAAGTTAAATCTTTAAATTATTTCCCTCACCAACAACTCCACAATGGATCAAATACTTATTATAAATTGTAGCTAGGAAGGTCATTCTTTTTTAAAATTATTATTATTTTTTATACCGGATGGTCTCACTCATAGCAGGAATCTAGAAAACTTAAATAAGGGACCAGGAAAATGAATAACTATAAGAAAGTGAAAATCAAAATCAACAAAAAACTATGAACCAGAGACACTTTTAGGGGGGCAGGGGCGGGAGGGGAGGGATTGGGGTCAGAATGGGGGCGCTGCAATTGTATGGGGAATATAACAATAAAATTTATTATCTAATAAAAAAAAAAAAGAAAAAAAATAAAATTATTATTATTTTTTAAAGATTTATTTATTTATTTATACAAGCACTGAGTACTGTCAGAAGCGCGGGAGGGTGGTAGAATTCACCAGAGCCAGAGGGGAGAGCAGAGCAGGCAGACTGACGAAATACACTGCTGAGGGGAGCAGCGGGCAGCAGGAGAGGTCTGCGTGCCATGTGGACCCTCGCCCGGTGGCCAGGGATCGAACTGGCGCTGCAGAGGCTGCGGGCAGCTTCACAACCCAGCGCTCAACTGCTGCGCCACCGGGGAGACCCTCTTTTTAAAAATTAATTAATTAATTAACTTACACTGCTGTTAATTTTGTACAGTATTTGATTTCTCCCCTCAGGTGTAGTCCCCAGGTTTCTCCCATCATCATAGCACCTGAGATCCATCTCCCCCCTTCCTTATGCTCTTCCATCCCTCTATTGGCCCCTCACTCTCCCCCTCCCCTACTGTATGCCTCAGATCTATGGTCAGCTTGCAAGTTTTGTCTTTTTCCTGACCCTTTGTTCTGTTTATCTATATTCCACATGTAAGTGAAACCATTCAGTACATTATCTTTATCCTTCTGACTTATTTTGCTTAGCTAATCCTCAAGGGTCATTCTTAATGGCCACATGACTTAATATACTCAAAAATTCAAATGACGATTGAATAATTCTCTGACCAGGGCTCTTTTTCATTTATTTAAAATCAGTGTTTCTTCACATTATATGTTATCAGTTTCTAAGTGAACTCCATATATTAAAGAACGATAAATGGAGAGGAAGAAATGTGTTAACATTTATTTGTACTTAGTTGTCTGGCAGACATTATCCTATATGAATTTATTTCCTTATTTATGAGGTTGCTATTATTGTTCACATTTTACAAATTTGTACATTTAGGTACAGAGTTTCCTAAACTTATTTGTCTGGGGTCTCAGAGCAAGTAGCAGACTCACAGAGTGAGGATTTGAACTCAATTCTGAACTCAGAGACTGTGTAGTTAATCACTACACTTTGTTTTGCTCCATGAATTGAATTTTATTAAATTCCTAGAACAATGATATAAACTCTTTTTCAAAGTTTTAAAATCCCAAAGAATTTGTGAAAAATTTTCCAGTAAGTTGCGAATTATATGGTATATTTCAGTCTGCAGATACTTTTAATGTGAATTTTATATAAGAATAATTGAAAGGAACAAAAGGATGCCGCAACATCTGAAAACTGATGAATATAATTCACCACATCAATGAAAGGAAAGATGAAATCATATGATTGTATCAATAACTGCAAAGAAAGTGACAAAGATTCAATATACAACTCCTAGTTATCTACTTGAAGAATGTAAAAACACGAATTCAAAGAGATATATGCACTCCTATATTATTTGCAGCACTATTTACAATAGGATAGTTATGGAAATAACCTAAGTGACCAAGCGCAGGAGAGTGGACTAAAAAGATATGGGGGGATATTACTCAGTTATAAAGAAAAAAGATGAACTCTTGCCATTTGCAATAACATGGATGAAATTGGAGGGAATTATCCTAAGTGACATAAATCAGAAGGAGAAATACCAAATACCAGGTGATTTCACTCATATGTGGAATAAAGAGAAAAAAAATAAAGGCTCAGACAAAACCAAATCAAAAACAGAAATCTTACTGTAAAGTTGAGCACACCAACGGGGGGTAGGGGGAAGAGGATGGAGAGCAGAGTAGAGGAGCCCAGTGGATTGTGATGGAGGCCTATAAGTGCCTTATTGGTGGTGGGTGAGGTAATAACATACATCTGAAGAGGCGTGAACCTGTACCTCTGAATCATATACAGCATTGTAAACCAATGTTACCTCCAAAAACAAAAGTTGAAAAGATGGGACAAGATTACAGGCATAGAGTATAATGAGGATAAAGTCAAAATTTTCAATTGCTTATAAAGTTACACTTTAGATCAAATGTGAATGAAGTTCAAAAATTATACCAGAAGCATTGCCTTTATTTTATATTACTCTTATGTATATAAAAATTATTATTCACCAATCAAACAGTATTATTTCCCCTTCTCAGAACACATTACTATAGCATTATCTTCTATTAGAGCCATCAGTAAACTTATCTTTCTTTTCTCTTCTAAGCCTCTAAGGAATTTAATTTTCTATTACCATAGAGCTAAGGTGATGTTTAAAATGGACTAAAGAGAGTTTTATTTTAAAACTATGATTCAGGAATGGAGCCCTGGCATAAATAAGCCCTGATAAGGTGTGTAATTTAAGATTCTATTGCGCATTTTAGCTGCATTTGTAGAGTGGAAGTTCCAGAGCAATCTAATGCTACCTCCCAACCTTCAAATTAGGAAAAGAAAGATACAGTGGGTTAATGATTAATCTGATGAACTTGCAATCTTTGAGTAGCTACTAGGGAACACCAGGAAACAGTTTTCTCCTCAGAATTTGCCCTGTTAGAGGAATTTCCTTTTAGAGGTCTCATTTGAATTTTACTACAACATCTACTTGGGTCTCCAGGGCGGAGGTCCAAGTACCCCTACCGTCCTATACTCTCCATACTTGAATCTGGTCATCTTTGTATTCGGAGTCTAGCAAAATAAATGTTTCCTAAATAGATAAGATTTTTCTTTTGCAAAAAAAGGTAGCCTATTAACAATATCTAAAAATATATGTGCAAGTGTAATACTTCTAATTCTAGGAATTTATCTCAAGGGAATAAAAATTTATATAAAGAAGTCACCCATGGAATATTAATAGCAAACAAATACTAACTAAATATCCAATACTAGGGGACTGATGAAATAAATTATTGTATCATTGTGCTTTGAAATAGTAAACGGTATTGGTATTGTTATAAAGTGAGTGGAATGATGTATATATATAGAAAAAATTCTAGAAGGTGGTTTTGATATTTGTCTCTGGAAGGTGATATTAAAGCTAATTTTTTAATTTCTTCCTTTTGGTATTCTATATTTTATTACATTTTTCTAACAAGGTTACAAATGCTGTTTCTGCAATAAGGAAAAATCATAGCATTTTAAAGTTGAACATACATACAGGATAGCAGGCAGCAACATGGCAGGCCTGTTCTTCTTAGAAAGGCCTGTTTGCTAGGTAGGACCCATAGCTAAGGTGTTTGTGAACATGGATTCCAGCGGTTCTCACCACTCCGTAACTGAGAAGAGAGGTTCACGCTGCCTAACCTGTTTGTACTAACAATGCAGTTTATGCTGAATACTTACTTTCCTTCTAGAGTTTCAGTGCATGTGAGACAGAGGGTGCCTGCATGACCAGGCCACAATAAAAGCCCTGGGCATTGAGTCTTTATTGAGTTTTTCTGGTAGCAACATCGTACATGTCACAATTTGTTGCTGGCAGAAGTAAATGTGTTGTGACTCACTGGGAGAATACTCTGGAAGTGTGTGCCTGGTTTCTTCCATTTTGCCCCCTGCCTGTGAGTACAACTCTATGCTGAGTCCTTAAATCCTCCTCCAACCTGTGGGTGGTATTGGGGAATCCCTGACAGATAGTATATTAGTTATTTTTAAAGAGGTGATATAAAACACATGAAAAAATTTGAGTAACAGTTCAATGCCATAGTCATTTCTTTTTGGTAACTTGGGTATTTATTTTAAAGAAAGCCAAAAAGTTAATTTGTAAACATTCAGGATCTAGCTTATGTAGAGTCTCTAAAAAGAACACTTACAGCAGGATGAAAAACATTGATGGCTTGAACCGAAGCCTTCCCTTTTTGCTTATAACCGAACACTAAGTCAATCCACTGACAGATGTTCTGGGACACGTAGTCAGACTCTAGAGCTTGTCGATGGATGAGGATAAAAAGACGGGGGTCATTACGTGCCCATGGTGGGAGGTTGACATGATTAACCCGTTCACCATTCTGACGCACACCAAAATCAAAGCCTAAAAGAGAAGATTGATATTCATGTTTATCTCCCACAAAGCAAGCCTCCTTTAGCCCAGTGAGCAAGTCTGAAAGAATTCAAAGAAACAGATATAGCCAGAAAAAAGAATAGCCAAGAGGAGAGGAAAACCATTGTCATACATCTTCCTAGTAATAGTGTTACTATGGATTAAAACTATCCTAATTAAACTGGAGATTTTCAACTTTTTCCTTCTATCACTTTATATCATGTGGAAGTAAAAGTAGAACATCGTTGCCTATTAATTCTAATATTCTACTAATCAAATGTTCAAATGTAATATGTGCTTAAATACTTATTCAATTGCAAACTTGACTAAAATCAAACTAAGTCTTTCCAGCATAAGCATTTCTGAATTATTGTTCACACCATAATAAATTTGAGATTATTATATATTTAGTAAGTTTTCTAGAATTCTATACAAAACAAACATATTCCTAGAATGAATTGTCATTGTCTAGGAATAGTAAGTCTGTCATTGTCTTTATAGTGAGTCTGCAGGTTTGTTCTGATTTCATTTCTACTAAGATTCCTGCTGGCAACAAAATTATCCCAACACATTGAATAAGAGAGTTATTCTGTGTTGTAAATAAGCTGTTATCTAATAGTTGCAGTCTGCTAATGTAAATAAAAATCTCAGAGCTGTTTATTTAAAAAAATTGTTCTAAAGGAAATGTTACCTTTAAATATATATATATATTTTTTGGGTGCTACCTATTATGGACAAAAAAATCTAAATACTGTAACAGAAAAAAAATTAAAAAGGACCTCCTAAAATTTGATTAATAAGATCCATACAAAATTAAGTTGCTGTCTGCCCAATTATTGATCTTGTCAAAGCAGTTAGAATGATCTTCCCTAATTTTGGAAGTATTTTGAAATGATATGAAGTGAGATACAAGCCAAGGGCTTATATAAATTAACACAAGATAAGGGTAGAGGTCATCTCGAAAAGCTCAGCAGTCTCCCTACAGACTGCTGCACGACAGACAGGCTGAGTGCTGAACTCCATTATGTGGGCAGCTTCAGGAGAAGCAGCAGGGATTTACTGATTGAACAAAAAAGAATGAGGCATCTAATGGCAGAGCTGGGGAGGGGTTGAGCAGCAGAGGGGCCTCTATAAACTCAACTCATTCCCAACTTTCAGGTGCTCTGGGGACACTTCACAGAGTAGACATGCTTCAACCGGAGTGGATGACTTGAGGCACAGTGCCTATTAGAATCTGATAGAAAATGATATGATGTACATTATGCAATTAAGCAATGAAGGAAAATGATTGCAAGATACCTTTTATAGAATTAATTGATCTTCTATTGAAAAACAGATAAGGCTGACCAAGAGTGATTGTTGGTCACTAGTAACAGAAAATTTAATTTCTATTCTCTAGTATTTTTTTTTTTTTGTTGTAATTAGAGAATTCTGGTTAGAGTGCTTTTATTTTGAGCCATTTCTCATAAAATCATTGAGACTTTGGTTAAATTACATAGTGCTTACAACAAATTCATATCTTTTTAAAATATGAGCATACAATAACTCATTATCAGAAAAATGAATAAAGTTGCTTCTGTAACAAAATTAAAATACATGTTTTCAAATACTTTCTATAGGTACAAGTTATAGTTTCTCAAATTATATTTAGTCCTATAAAATAGTTAAAAATTCTCAAATTTACTTGGATATAAACTCATACACTTAATAAATAAAGATATTTCTCTTATTTTGGAGACAAATTTTACAGAAATTATTTTTGGAAAATCATGAAGTAACTAAAACCCCTCATAAATATAACTTAGAGTTATTTAACTGTTATACCTTCACGGTTAACTAAAAACTCTGGAAGATAGAAAAATTCTGGTATAAGTTCTTTCACATCAGTCATGGATTCAAAAGATGAGAGGCGCCAAGTTGTATTTGTAGAATGAAAAGTTCTGTCTGGAATGTCAAAACTTTGATCTATAAAGAAATACAAATAATACAATTAAGACATAAAGACTTGATTCCATTTGAAATCGGTCAGAATTAATTTACTTTTGCTACTTAAAAAATTTGAAATGTTTTATTTGTCCATGGTTTAAAAAAGGTCATTTATGATGTTCTTGAAATAAATATTTCTACATATACTTTGAGACCATATTATATTATTATATTATTTTTAATTCATATTATCTTGTCATAATAACTGTATTAGTTATTATTATTATTTTTGCTTATTGATATCTGTCCCAGTAGAATAAAAGCACCTTAATAAAAGGAATGTGGAGGGCTTCCCAGGTGGCATAGGGTTTAGTCTCAGTGCTATCACCACGACAGCCTGAGTTCAATCCCCTGTCAGGGAGCTAACCCACATATGGCAAAGCAGACCTCACCTGTCTTGCCTGCTACACTTCTGTCATACACCCCAGTTCTTCTATGCATAAACAAGTACAAGTAAATCATTTTTTAAAAAATGGGGGAATGAAGGATAAAACCTTGCATATAAGAGACTCAACCTGATGTCAAAATAACAAGGGTAATTAGCCTGGGGAAAAATAAAGTTGACAGGGAGAATGGAGACAGGGCAATAACCTTCAAATATCTGAATAGCTGACTTGTGGAATATTTGTATTATGCACTTACAGAGGGGCAAATAAAAGTGAGAACACAAAATTTATTCCTCCAGGTTGTGTAAGAGGAAAAACATGTAAGAAGTTCAAGAAGGGTTGAGTAAAGGAATGGGTAATGATTTCACAAAGGAGTCTGCCTTTGAGGCACAACTACAGAGTAAAACCACCGTTCTCATTAGAAACTGATAGGTGAGTGTGTCCTTATTTACACTTGAAAAATAAAGGTATTCAGAAAATTCACTTCTATGTTATCTTCAGGCCTGTAGGCTACCATGTAAAACGCTGAGGAGGTAGAAGACTAGTAGGAAGTTTCTGTTGTGAAGGTGACAGTGCTATGCTACTACTGACTAGTTTTTTATAACAAATTCCAGTAACATATTCCCTTGTAAGGCCCAAGGATAATTAATTACATGATTTGAAAAAATTAATAATTTGAGCATGTTAAAAAAGTAAATATGTACTTTAAAAAGGTAAAAAAAGGATAAACTTTACAGTATGTAAAGGATAAAATTTACAGTATGTAAATTATATCTTAATTTTAAAAAGTAAATAGCATATTTATACACTTAGACATGTTTAATTTGAGGCTAAAATCTGAGATATTAGCAAGATGAATTAGCTTATGGCAGGCTTTTTGAAAGAATAAGTAGACTTTTTTCATTTTGTGGTTTGATTAGTCTCAGAAAGTCAGTTAAGGTTTTTTTCTGATGACCCAACATGACTTTTTAGTTAGTTCTAACACAGTCCTTACCTTGATAGGCTAAAAACATTTTTGTGAAAGGAGGCATCCTGACCAGGAAGTGCAGCACGGTGCCGCTGTTGGAATAGTGCGAGCCGTAGTGGTAGGGCTGCACGGGAGGCATGGGGTCATCTTCCCTGGCCCCTTTGCGGTACTCTTCCTCCAAGTACTGCAGGAAACAGGAGAATACATGAGAGTGTGCCCCAGCCAAAGTAAGAAAAGTCTCATTAGCTTTCTTTTCCGTCCTTCTCTACTATCCTTGGAAACCACGTTTCATGGCTTGTCCTCCCACTGGTGTTTGAACTTTAGCTACCTGACTCTGGGGTTTTCTGTCTCAGAGTCCTGCTGAGGCCTGACCGCACATAGTCTGCCCCATTGTTCTCTGATTCCACATAGAAAACCAACCTGTGCTGCGCCTTACCTCTTGGCTCCCAAAAGGTTGGTAAAGTCTGTGTGAATCAAGCACTGATAAATGAGAATTGCTATTATTGCTACAGACATCTGCATTTTAAAAGAGAGTTTCAGAGTCAGACAAAGGCAAACTTTAAAACTAACCGTTGTGGCTGCTGGGGAGTACAGTTACATAAAATAAAAAAGAATATAGTGATTTTGGGGGTTTTTTGCTACTCCTGTCTTTCTGTCATAAAGTCGGAAGCTCAGCTAAATATATCCCAACTGTCACTATTCTCATTCTCCCAGTTTCTGTCTGGCTCTGATAACAAAGTCAGGTGAGAGTGAATTTTCTATAGTCACTTGATTCTCATAGCACTGCCCTAATGTTACCCACAGAGAAATCAAGAAATAACAGTTATAGGATGCTTGAAGGATTTTCTGGAGTGATGATATAAAATAATGTGGTAAAATAAGAGAAAATTGCTTCAGATGCTCCTATCTGGACACATGCAGATAACGAGGCTTTTTTGAATTTCCAACAGAATTCCTTTAACATCAATTCAGAGAACTGGTTAATAAATTTATATTTGTGAACTTTAAAATCTGATAAATTTCTGTTAATAAATCAATGCAAAATTTGTTGAATATAAATAATAAGGGATATGGTATATTATGAATAAACTGATACAGTTATATAATTAACAATAGGGGACATAAATAGCCGGCCCTGGAAATCTTGGTGATTTTTATAGGGAATATAACTATTTATATATTTGACTATTATGATGGATTATTATCTTTCAATTTATGTAACAATAAGTATATTTCTTTTTCTGGGCAGTTTTTTTCAGAGAATTGAGGCAGAATAATATTTAAAATTATAAGATGATTTCCTATTTGTCAAGCAAGCACAAAGCATTTTTCTGAAAAGCAGAAAAATCAATACTATATAATTACAAAAAAAAAATACAAAATACAAGTCTACAAAGAAAATGCCAGTTTTCATTTATCAAAATATGAGGAGAAACTAAACCTACCTTGTATGTGTCCACATAGCGATCTTCTTTTTCTTTATACTGAACAGCTATTGGCTTAGAGAGATTTCTAAAAAGGAAAAGATAATAAAAACAAATGAAAATGATTTGATACTTTCAGGACTAAGCTGCCTAGATGTCTACATCCTGTAAGTAAATAAAAGACCATCAAAATACATGGTCTTTAGTTTAGTTCCTATATATGGTGATTTGCAACTACTGGTCATGATTCAAAATTACCATTTAAAACTTGAGGTTTTTTTAATATGTGCCATTCTTACTGGAGTAAAGTGGTATCTCATTGTGGTTTGATTTGAATTTCCCTGATTCCAAGTGATGTTGAACATTTTTTCATACACCTGTTGACCATTTGCATTTCCTTTTTGGAGAAGTGTCTTTTTAGCTCTTCTGCCCATTTTTTGACTGGATTGTTTTTGACAACAAATGTTGACAAGGATGTGGAGAAAGAGGAACTTCCCTGCACTACTGGTGGGAATGCAAACTGGTCCAACCACTATGGAAAGCTGTGTGGAGGTTCCTCAGAGTACTATAAATGGAGCTATCATAGCACCCAGCCATTCCACTACTAGGGATATACCCAAAGGACACAAAAACACTAATTCAAAAAATACCTGTATCCCTAGGTCTGTTGCAGCACCACTTATAATAGGTAAGACTTGGAAACAACTCAAATGCCCCAAAATAGATGACTGGGTCAAGAAGACGTGGTATATATCACAAAAGATAAACTCGTGGAGCATGGAGCTAGATGGGATTATGTTCAGTGAAATAAACCAGAAGGAAAAAGAACGGTTTCACTTATAGCAGGAATATAGGGGAACGAAATAAGGTATCAGGAAAAAAAATAATAACAATAAATAAAAAACCAAAATTAGCAGGCAACTATAAATCAGAGTCATTCTGTGGGGAAGGGGGAAGGTGAGGGATCTAAACAGGGGAGGGAAGAGCACAAGGGGCTATGGCAATGGTGCACAGGTGAATTGGTGGGAATTTTACAGGGACCACACCTGAGAGAAGAAAGCATACATTGTACAAAAATGAACAATGAGGGCCTCCCTGGTGGCGCAGGGGTTAAAGACAGCGCTATCAAGCTGTTGCCAGCCACTGTAGCATGAGTTCCATCCCTGGCCAGGGAGCAACTCACATAGCACAGCAGACCTCTCCTGTCTCGTCCGCTGCTCCCCTCAGCAGTGTATTTCAGTAGATCTGCCTGTTCTGTTCCCGACTCTCTCTGGTGAATCCTCTTACCCCCTGTACCTCTGGTCTACACCCCAGTTCTTGTATGCATAAATAAATAAATCTTTTTTTACGAAAGTTTAAAAAAATTGAACAATAATGTAAAATATAAATTAATAAAAAATATTTTATAAAAAAAAGGTCCTGGAATTTAAATTACTAAAACAGAATATGCACACTTGAAGAGGTCTTTGACTGCGTATTATTCAAATTTCCAGAGAGACTGTATCTATTTATATCAGTGATGTATAAAATGTTTGAATTAGCAGTATATAATGTCTGAAAGACAAAGTGCCATTTGCTGTCTTTTAAATTGGCCAATACATTAAACTAAATTTCATTTCCTGAAAAATATCTGAACTAAGACTAATTTTCAGTAGTTAAACATGTCTACAGAAGTTCAGATTTCATTGATTAAAAGATTAGGGGAAAACTAAACCTACCTTTTATGTGTATATATATATATATATAAAAAAAAAAAATAATACAAATCATTCAAGCTAGCCATAGGTCTGAGGGTGGTCAAAACAGAGGAGGGAAGAACACAAGGGAATATGGTGATGGTTCATGGGTGATATGGTGGCGGGGGAACTATGGGGACTACAACAATATAAGAAAATAAAGAAAATAAATAAAAATTAAAACAATAAAAAAAATAAAGGGATGTCCAGTCTGGATTAGAGCACAGACTTCTATGAGTCCTGGATCCTTTTACTCCCGCATGGTTTCTATTCCATGTTAAGTCCACTGATGGCCCCAGGCATGCTTGGGTTAGGAATTGCCTGGGATATTTAGCCACCTGGCCCACGTCTTCAAGATAAGAAAGTGAGAGTGCCCCAATAATGCATACAAAAAGCACACCCCACAAAAAAAATCCTCTAATATACCAAGAAGAATATTTAGAGTAAATAAATAAGAGAATATATATGTTTAAACTAAGTAAAGAGAATATTCCCTCATAACTTGGGCTATTTGGTTACTCTAAAATATAATTCATTCAGGAGATGCAAGATAAATAATTATTTTTCTTTAATTAACAAATTTCAAAAGTAAGGAATTAGTGCCCTTGTTATATCCAACAGCAACTTACAATTTTAGTTTTACTTTTTTTTTGAGGGGGAGGGCTTTTAAAAGTATCATTAACTAAAGTGCTTTTTAAAAAAAATGTGCTTTAGCTATTGTAGCCACTAATCTTTCTGATGCTCAGTTTGTCCTATCTTTGGCAGTGAGAGTCACTGTAAGGTGGCTCCTGAGTACTTTGTTTTAAAAAAAAATAGTAGCAAAAACATACAACACAAGATTACTATTCTAACCATCTTTAAGTGTACAATTCAATAGTGTCAATCATATTCACAATATTGTGCAATAGATCTTTAGAACTTTTTCATCTTGCAAAATTGGAAATCTATACTCACTGCACAACTCCCCATTTTCCACTCTTTTCTCCCTCACCATTCCCTAGCAATCATCATTTACCATTTTACTCTGCCCTCTAAGTATATTACCCTGGAAAATCCACATAAATAGAATCACACAATTTTTTCTTTTTGTGGCTGATTTATTTCACTTACCACATGCAGGTTTATGCATGTAGTATCATGCAACAGGATTTTCCTCTTTCTTAAAGATGAATAATGTCCTATTTTTATGTATACCTCATCTTTCCTTAAACATTTTTCCATACTAGATACATGGGCTGCCTCTATTTCTTGGTTATTGTGAAAAATGCTACAATGAATATGGGTGTGCAAATATGACTCCTGAGGTCCTTTGGACTTCTATTAATTTCTGTACTCTCTGATACAACAAAATATCCCAGGTCATTTATATGTTTTCTTTTTTTTTTTTTTTTAAAGATTTATTTATTTTTATACAAGAACTGGGTTACAGGCCAGATGCGCAGGAGGGTGAGAGGCTTCACCAGAGACAGAGCTGGGAACAGAACAGGCAGACTGATGACATACACTGCTGAGGGGAGCAGTGGGCGAGACAGGAGAGGTCTGCTTCACCATGTGGGATTCTCGCCTGCCGGCCAGGATCAAATCCACATTGCAGAGGCTGCGGACAGCTTCACAGTGCAGCGCTCAACCGCCTGCGCCACCAGGGAGGCCCTTTATATGTTTTCTTGTAATAAATGTAGACGTAATAAGAGAATAGGAAAAGACTATTTTGTAAGCCCGAATGAAATAATTAATTAAAGCAGTAATCATCAGTGGAAGAAAGAGCATCAATGGGGCCAGAATCAACATGTCAATGTGAGTCTCATCAGAGGGGAATTCTTATGCTTCTTGATATGGACCAATAAAAAGTTGATGCCACCACCTAGAAAGAATTCTTGCCCAAAAAAGTTGAACCTGAATCTAAGTAAGCCTTTAGAACAATTTCCAGTATCTAGGAAGTACAGAGATTTGAGGAAAAAGCTAAGTACTAATATGGAATGAGGGTATCCTATAAGATAAATGGTCTTATTATTTTCCCCAAACAAGTCAGTGTTATGAAGAAAGAGTAAAATACATACACAAAATTGAAGGCCATTCTAGCTGCATATCTTTAGTGACATAGCAACCAAAGATGACACTGAACTTGATTCAAGCAAATCAAGACTCTTTGATATAAAAAGGGGACATTTGAAAATGGACTAGATATTGGTCCATGAAACTATTGTTAACTTTCTTATATATGATGAATGGCTCTATAGTTATGTAAGAATATGTTCTACTTCCTTCTTAAGAGATGTACACTGGACAACATAGGCATGGCATAACAAGATGTCTGTGAGTCATCCCAAATAAGAAAAAAAAAGATGTACAAATATGGCAAAAATTTTTGTAACTTGAGTTATGATGATGGCCATATGGTGGGGTCATTACATATTCATTCCATTTCTTGTGCACGTCTGAAAATTCTCATGCTAAGAACTTTGATAAAATGAACACAGTGTATTGATGAAGCCAAAAGATGATTATGCTTTTAGTTACCTGTAGACTGATGGATCACTGAGGTCAAGGGTCTCACTAACATAATCAGCAAGTATAAATGGGAACACTGGATACTGCATGAGGTCATTGAAGGAGCGGCCAGCATGCTTGTTTAAGTGAGTCAAATATTCAAAATTAGTAATTTGTCCAGTATACCATAAATTTGTCAGAGCAGTGATGTTGCCATATTCCAGGAGATTAGGGAGGTTATTTGTTAATATACTGTGGTATACATCATCACGAACCTACAACGAAAGGAGAAAAAAAGATTTTATTTTTTAACCTATTGACACTTTTCTCCAAAGAATTCATGTTATCATAGGCATGTTACTGATATCTAGTCCAAGAAAATACTTTTTGCCCAAGATTAACTGTTGGAGAACTGAGATTCAAATCCAGGTCCTCCTCCAAAAGCTGAGCTTTTGGTCACTATGTTTTGCTGTTGTAAAAATCTACAAATAATAAACTAAGAAACAGTTTGTCTAGAAAAGTCTCCTATATACAGATCTTTTTATTGGGAAAAAAAGTCTTCATCTAAACAAATACAATATGATGTAGTAGAGCATGTTTTTCTGTATTAGATCTGTTTTCCTGCTTAAACCTTGGTACTATAATTACTATATCTGCAATATTTGGGTACTAATATTTATTTCATAGAAATGAAATAAAGTATCCTGAGTAAAATAGGATATATACTTTTTACTACTGATTGAAAACTAAAATAGAAACATTTTTAAAGATTCATAAAGGTTTTATCACAAAAAAAGAGTGTTCTGATTTCTTTTAAAGCAATTAAATGATCTTCAGGAATAAATGGGAAAAAACTAGACAAGCCAGGTCTTTGCTAAAAACAAATTTGAAATACCCATCTTAAATGTGTATATGTTTCAGGCATAAAAAGAAAGTGCCACAGGTGTTGATAATCAGAGATAGGACTAAAAGTAAATGAGAAAAATGAGGAAATGTAGCTATAGTTATAGAACAGGCATGATAACAGACCTTTTCAGAACCTAAATCAGTGGCCTAACTGAAGATTGTCTAGTATAAGTCAAGGATGTCAATTCTTACCACTACTATTAAGCACAGTATTGAAAGTCCTTCCTAGAGCAATTAGGCATGAGAAAGATATAAAAGGAATCCAAATTGCGAAAGAAGCAGTAAAGCTATCATTATTATCTGTAGCCAATATGATAATTTACATAGAGAACCCTAAAGTTTCCACTGAAATACTAATTACAAAAATAAACCAATAAATAAATAAATAAAATAAAAAAATAAACCAGTTCAGCAAAGTGAAAGGTTACAAAATCAATACACAAAAATTAGTTGTCTTTTCATATGCAAACAATGATCAAAAGAGGAAGAAATTAAGAAAATGATCCCATTTATAATCAGGAAATCAGAAAGATTGGCATTGCCATTTATTTAGATGGGGTAACTGCAAATATTTCAAGAAGTTGAGAAGTTCACTTTTTGCACATGTTAAATACACACACACACACACACACACACACACATATGAGTGTGGTGTTCAGAGGAGAGGTTCTGGTTGTGATATAAACTTGTAAGTTGGTAGGATGCACATAGAATTTAAAGTCAAAAGACTAGATGAGAAGAGATTGAGTCTGAAGAATGAGCCCTACCATACTCAGAGACAGCTTCTACAAATACGACTAAGTAGGAATGGCTGCTGAGATAAAATGAGGACTAAGAGAAACAACCCAGAAGCCCAGTGAAGAAGGTTTTATTTATTTTTTTTTTTTAAGAAAAAGGATGGTCAGCTGTGTCAAATGCTCTTGATAGGTTGAAAATGGGGACTAACAAATATGACCAAAGGGTTTAGCGACAGGGAGGTGACTGGTGACCCAGACTAGAGAAGTTATAGGTGGAAACTCTGACCTGAGCAGAGAAAGAAACTCTGACCTGAGCAGAGAAGAAACTCTGACCTGAGCAGAGAAAAGGAGAATTAGAGGGGAATACTTAGCAGCAGCAAGCATACACTGCTTTTTTCCAAGAGCCTTTCTATAAAGGAGAGCAAATAGTAGCTGGAGGGCTATGGGGGTCAAGAAAGGATGCATACATTGTGCAAAGATGAAAAAAGATGTAAGAATTACATAAAATAAAATATTTAAATAAAAAAATTGAAAAAAAAAGAAAGGATTTATCTAAAATGGAATCTACTAGCAAGTATAAACTACCTCTTTCAGGTTGTCACACATTCATTCATTTTTTTTTACAAATACAGTCACTTTGGGGAATCAGAATTTAATACGGTTTTAGAGGACAAATAACGAGGATTACTTTAATTAGAACTAAGAAATAAGGCAATCTTAAATTCATTGAAACAGTGAATTAATGTTTAAATAAGTTACAGCTTCATATAATCAGTATGAGTATAGTTACTCTGGTTCCATGATCTTTCAAAAATATATCTATTAATAAAGCTGGATTTACCTTGGTGTTATCAAAGGCTAACAGGAGTGTTCTGCCATTGGTTAAAAAGATTTCTACAGCATTATCTCTCAATTGCCACCAACGCTTGTGAACTTCTTTAATTTCTTCATATGTCCAGGAAAATGAGGCTGGTTCCAATTCTCCCTGGAGGTTCTGAGACAAAGGAAATAGATGAAAGTATTTGTTTTACATGAAATATAAATAACCATTTTGCTTTTAGATCTTAAAAAATATATAAAATGAAATAATCTTCCTTCTGTGCCAAAATGATAGATAAGATTCTCTGAAAATCCTACCACTATGAAATACTTGAAAATGCTAGATGAAATTTAAGAAATTTTTTAAATTTTAAGAGTTTATTTTAATTTTTAAAATACTTTACTTTTATAGCAGTTTCAGATTTACAGAAAATTGAATAGATAGTACAGAGAGTTCCCATGTAGCCCTTCTCTACACCCTGTTTGCTTATTATTAACATCTTGCACTGGAATGTTTCATTTTTTACAATTGATGAGACAATACTGAATATTTTGATCTTATCTGAAGCCCACAGTTGACATTATGTTTCAATCTTGGTATCATACAGTTCTATAGGTTTTGATAAATATTTAAAGAAATGTACTCACCATTCCATATCATACAGAATACTTTCATTTCCTAAAATTCCCTAGTGTCCATCTATTTATCCTTTCCTTCCCCTGAAACCACTGATCTTTTCACTGTCTCCATAATTTTTCCCTTTCCACAACATTATATATTTGGAATAATATAAGAGATAATCTGTTTAGATTGTCTTCTTTTACTAAGAAAATGTTCTTTTATTTATTTATTTATTTATTTAAAGATTTATTTATTTATACAAGAACTGGGGTACAGGTCAGATGTGCGGGAGGGTGAGAGGATTCACCAGAGCCAGAGTGGAGAACAGAACAGGTGGACTGACTGAAATACACTCCTGAGGGGAGCAGTGGGCGAGACAGGAGAGGTCTGCTGTGCCATGTGGGTAGCTCCACAGCTGGCGGTGATTGAAACAGCACTGCAGAGGCTGCAGAAAGCTTCACAGTGCTGTGCTCAACTGCCTGCACCACCAGGGAGGCCCAAGAAAATGTTCTTTTAAATGTACAGCTGAGTTTGCCAGAAAGTAAGGGAAAGAAATTTTCAGCAGTCAAAAATAAAGAGAAATTTGAACAATGGCAGTAAGGAGGAAGTGACATTTTGGCCACCTCGTTGTGTGTTTGTTGGTATGCACATGCATGTATGCACACACCCCAGTTTCAAAAGACAGGGCCTTGGGTTGTCCAGATCAGAGTGTAAAACTGAGATTCCTTCAGAAAACTAAAACCATGAAGGGACAGGCTCCTAAAAGGAAGAGTAGACAAATAAATGTGGCCATCAATAAGGAGGAATAACTAGAAAGCTTGTCTCTTTTGGCCTGGGGTCTGGATGGAGAATAGAGACAAGCCTTTCCCTGAGAATTCATTATTGTGGGCCTGCCCTCACATGCACATGGAATAAAATTAACCAATCTTCATGGCCTGGGAACTCCCAAAATATGAATTATCATTCCCATGTCTCTGAATCATCTTATAAAGACAAAGCAAGTCTCTGAAGGGACACTATTGCTACAAACACCCCATTCCTACAAATACAGCCACACTGAATATAACTTACCAATAAGCAGGTATCAAATAGTTACAACCTCCTGTGTGGTCAGCAGAAGGAAGAAAGATGATAAAGTGACCACCAGAAGGCCAGTCTCCTTGAGAGCATGAATCTTAGCCTACGGTGGCAAATCCTCATATTCAAGAATGAAGAGTTAAGGGCCATAGGTGCTCCACTCCCTACCTTTACTCAGGGCCCTCCCAAAGTACAAATTAAAAAAAAACTTTTAAAAACACATTTAAATCTTTGTAAATTGCAACTGAAAATATGAATTATAATACTCAATACTTTAATGGAAAAATAATGAAAAATTACCAAAGTTTAAAACTAGTTAGAAAAAAACAATTTAAAAAAATGTTATAATTTATCTTTTCAAATAAACCTCATACTTGTTTTTTTCCATCAGCTTTCCTTTTTGGAAAACAGCAAGCTTTACTCTTTTGTGCTGACTAACAGAAAGCTCACAGCAAAATTTAAAACTCAATTGCTACAACTATCTTATTCTAGGCTACTGATCCTTTTAAAACCTTATTTAAAGTTTTTAAAATTTGAATTTTCCTGATCTATGTGTTTTAGTGGAGCCCAACTAATTTTTAGAAGTAGAGCAGAAAATACATTACAAAAATAAAATGATTTAATGAAAATGTAATATTCTGACTTTTTTACATTGAATTCCTCAATTCAACTCAACATACATTAATTAAGAATCTGTGGGCAAAGTGTTCTACATGAAATAAAAACTTATTAGGCAAAATGGCGTAAGATATTTGTACAGACATTTAAAATGCAAGATGGCAAATTCCTAGAAGAAACAAGAACAAGGTGGCTAAAAAAAAAAAAAGAAATAAGAACAAGTACTACAAAAGTATAGAGGAAGAAAGGATCTTCATTATAAAGCAAGGGTATTTTAAGGAGTTTTTAAAGGAAGGAAATGTCACCTTTTGGACTCAGAAAAATACTGACTCTTACATCAACCTTAAATATCCTTGGTTGCTAAAAAGATACCTCTTGAAAAAAAACTATACATTTACTAACTTGTATAAATGCTATGGTAATTGCTAAATAAATCATGAAAGAATGCAGGGCTTTTTCCTTCAAAATTATATTGATATGCCACTCAGCTACAAAAATATGTTTAGGAGCACAACTTCACATCTCAACAAGTACAGATGCCTCACTTGCCCTCTACCAAGGATGCTAATTTTAGGGGCTATATTAAATGTTTTCATGAATTTTAAACATTGTTTTACAATCAAATTTTATGTTTTCACTCCTTACTTTATTTGAAATCAACTATGTATTCACCATTAATCCATACCCAATCTTATTTAATATAGCTTTAGAAAATCTTTGCTTTAGAACTTTTCTGAACAAAAAGCCTATTTCTTCTATTACAGGTATCTCAAACTAATTTAATGGGATATATGCTAATTCAAATGGGCAAAAAAATTTTTTTAAGGATTTATTTATTTATTTATACAAGAACCAGGGTACAGGTCAGATGGGTGGGAGGGTGAGAAGATTCACCAGAGACAGAGCGGGGAGTAGAATAGGCAGATTGACAAAATACACTGTTGAGGGGAGCAGCAGGCACCACAGGAGAGGTCTGCCGTGCCATGTGGGACCCTCCCTGGCCAGGATCGAACTGGCACAGCAGAGGCTGTAGACAGCTTCACAGCGCATCGCTCAACTGCCTGCACAACCAGGGGAGGCCAAAGGGCAAAAAAACTTTACAAAAAAGTGAGTTGAATGGTTTTTGATTAATATCAGTATTTCCAGAAGAATAAAAATTATGATTTGTAGGCTATGGGAATATCAGCATTACCTAAGTTACTCAATTATATATTTTTCTCTGTTTTTGAAGGAAAATGTACTTGATAATAAGCTGGGAGATTCAGGGAGTAGTTGTTTATTGTTGCTGAGATAGTGATATGAAAGAATGGACATAAATTGAAATAACATGAACACTACAGAATTTGACTCGTAAGACTGACTGCTATCAGAGTTAGATCATAAGCCAGAACAAATGGTGTGGTTTTTTTTTTTTTAAAGATTTATTTATTTATGCATAGAAGAGCTGGGGTACAGGCCAGAGATGCAGGGGGTAAGAGGACTCAACAGAGACAGAGTGGGGATCAGAACAGGCAGACTGACTGAAATACAGTGCTGAGGGGAGCAGTGGGCGAGACAGGAGAGGTCTGCTGTGCCATGTGGGTTGCTCCCTAGCCAGCCAGGGATCTAACTCACGCTGTAGAGGCTGCGGATTGCTTCATAGTGCAGTGTTTAACCCCTTACGCCACCAGGGAGACCCCGGTTGTTTTTTTTTTTTAAATTGTCTTTTAAGAAATATTTGGCATTCAGATCAATCTACAGAGGGCAACAATAATAACTCTGGTAGTTCTATCTGTATTATGGTTATATTAAATTTATACATTTGGGGAATTTACATAGATTTATTTAAGTGCAGACTTCAGTGTCTACTCACCGAACTTTCAACTGTGTCAGAAGCATTATCTTCCACAAAATACATTCCACATTTACCTGCAGAAAATAATTTTGTATGAATTTTAAAATGTATACACTCCACTAGCAGATATGGTTAAAAAGCATGACCTCTGGATTAAGCTGACATAAGAAATTTTATATGATTTAATGGTATATTAATTTGCAAAAAAACAAAGTCAAAACAATGCTTCAAAATATCTAAGAATGAAATAGGGCAGGGTGAATATGTGAAAAACTTGCAAATGGGACTTACCTAATAACAGTTCGCCAGCTGTCTCTCTAGATGGTGCGACACTGATACATCTTCGATTCACTCTGTCAAAACATGTTTAAAGTTAATGATTAAATGTTTTGACCAATCTTAGAGAGTATAACTTTCATTTTATCAAGTTTAAGATTTCAGCAGAGCAGTCTAGAGTTTCAAAAGCATGAGCTGTCCTGTCAAAACCCATCTGAAAATGTTTTATCATTTTTTAATATTGTAGAGGAGAAAATAATCGAAACTTTTAGAAAAGGCTAATAATCCCTATATTCTCTATGTAAAATGTAGGGATTCAGATCTTTAAAAGGGAATTCAATATTTTACATTTTCCAGTAAATAAGCAAACATTGCTTCATGACTCTGATACTTCAAACACAAAAGAAGCCTAGTATTCTTGGAAAAACAGGTGATTTAGAGTCAGAAACGTTCCTCTATTCATTAACCAAGTTACTTATCTTCTTTTGAGTCTAGTTTTTATCTATAAAACAAACATGTTAACAATGTTACCACAATGATAAAGATAATATTATCAATAATTACATACTAACCCATTTAATACTCAACAGGATTATCATTTTTTAGGTATTACTATCTTCCTCATGTAACAGATAAGGAAACTGAGATGGAGAGGCTAAGCAAGTTTCCCATGATCAGACAGCTAGAGAGTAGAAAGCAGAATTTGAACCTGTAATCACTATTCTAGATTGGCTCCTAATGATGCCACTAGCGGGACTATCTATTTAACAGACCTGTTAGAAAAGCCAAGTACAAAAAAGTATGTAAGCAAACAATAACTAGAGCATGAAAAGTACAGTCCAATGAATCATAATGTCATAATGTCTTTTCCTTTCATATTTTGGTCATTCAACCTTGTACTGTCTTTTTTTTCCCCCCCTAAGATTTATTTATTTATTTATACAAGAACTGGGGTACAGGCCAGATGCACGGGAGGGTGAGATGATTCACCAGAGACAGAGTGGGGAACAGAACAGACAGACTGACGAAATACACTGCTGGGGGGAGCAGCCAGACTGATGAAATACACTGCTGGGGGGAGCAGCAGGCCCGATAGGAGAGGTCTGCCGCACCATGTGGGATTCTCGACGGCTGGCCGGGATCGAACTGGCGCTGCAGAGGCTGTGGACAGCTTCATATCGTGGCGCTCAACCGCCTGCGCCACCCATGGAGGCCCCCTTGTACTGTCTTGATCCATGTTTAGGACCTTCCCAAAAACTATTATTAAAAGCATTACATAAATTAAATATTACATAAGTACTACAATAAACTATTAACATCTTTATCTCCTTTAGCAAAAGAGAAAAGATCTTATGGATTCAAATTTACCTTATAGACTCACTTGCAGCTTTATCTTTTACAGTAGAAGAGAGAGAAGAATGAGTTTTGTCTTCAAATAAGTAAGAGAGTGGTGGTTTGACCACGTCTGTTGAGGGAAAAAGTATATATTATCTTTATTTAAAATAGACCATAACTATCTGCTATATTTATATGTTGAGTTGAGTAACCACTATTACCTTCTGATTTTTGTCTATCCCTAAGGAGATACTTATTTGGAATAGTTAAGTAACATCTCTGTAAACGTCTCCTCTCTCTGTTTGGACCTTCTGTTGGATCCAGTTGCCATGAAGTTGGATAGTAGATAGGGTCATACCAGACTGCTCTACAAATGAAAATGAAAGAATGTTTTAAAAGGTAATCTAAAGTGCTTGTTGCTTTAAAAAAGAATCATTGTATGCATTGAGTAAATAAATAAAAATTTACCTACTCAATCAAAAACCACAAAGACTTATATAATTAGACTAGGGGATGAACAATCTTAGTACAAAAGAATAACAGAAAAAGTGTCTGTTCCTGAATCCCAATCTCCCAGTTCCCTGCCTGGAGGCAAGTTCTGGCACCAGTTTCTTATACCTATTAAATAAAAAAAAAATGAATATTATGACTGTGTTTTAGTAGTGGGATATATTTTTCTGGGGATATTAGCACCTAAAAAAATTATAACATGAAAGGTAACTATGGTATACAAAGGTATTAAAAAACCAAGTGGCCTCTAGGAATATTTAATATTTTCTCACGTGCTTATTGATTTTATTTGTTTCATGGGAAGATTGTATTCATGTCATTTGCTCACTCAAAATTTAGGGACCTTAGTATTTTACTTTCATATCTTTAAAGATATTTTTTTTTTTAAGATTTTTTATTTATTTATTTATTTATTTGTTTGTTTGTTTATTTATTTATTCATTCATACAAGCACTGAGTACAGTCAGAAGTGCGGGAGGGTGAGAGAATTCACCAGAGCCAGAGCGGGGAGCAGAGCAGGCAGAAGGACCAAAGCACACTGCTGAGGGGAGCAGCGGGTGGCAGGAGAGGTCTGCACGCCATGTGGGACCCTCCTGTGGCCAGGGAGCAGCCGGGGATCGAACCGGTGCCGCAGAGGCCGCAGGCAGCTTCGTAACCCAGCGCTCAACCGCTGCGCCACCGAGGAGGCCCATCTTTAAAGATATTTTTAAACAATAGATATTAATTGATATATTTCTGAAAATAAATTTTCATTATAATTAAACACACTGGGAAAAATGAAAGTTCAAACCCACTCATTTCTTCTTTATAGTTTCTTCTATTGCATTGATCATCAGAGTCAATAAATATCCTATTTTCCTCTATTTTATAAACTTATTCAGTTTAATTCTTTAATTCACCTAGAGTTTGATTTCTTGTATGTTTGGTGTATTTTAGCAGCCTAACATCATACTAATTAGTTTCTTAACCAAATTTAGAGAATACTATAATTTCTTTTTTTTCATTATTTCATGATACATGTTTTAAATTACATTATTAATGTGTTAGCGAGAAAAAGATCCATTCATCAACCAATCTGTTTCAGTGATTTTTCTATTTTTTTGGCATAAATCGCTTTTTAAAATGAATGCAGCATAAAGGTTTATGATCTGGAAGAGGTGATGCCTCTCTCATTACCTTCCTTTCCCTTTTCTGAGCCCTCCAATGAATTAGAAACAATATTCTGATGGGATTATTCTAAAATGAGAATAATCACAAATTATTAAATAAAATTATTTAATAAATTATTAAATTAAAAAAAATTAAATAAAATTATTAAATTAAAATATTATAAATCTTTATTCTGGAATGAAAACAGTGTTTAACATCAATATATAAAATAGTTGTGCAAGACAACTTGAAATGTACTTTCACTGTGCTTACCTGTCATGTGTCAGTTGTTGAATAAGTTCCTGCCAATGTCTGCTGGCACTCAAATCTACCTTATACATTCCTCTAATATGCTGGATCACCTTTTTTCTCTCAATTCCTTGGGAGAGAGACACTGCCTGGGTGATATCTGCAGCTATTTTTGATATATCCTTTGATTTTGAATCAAGACGCTGAAAGAGACTTAACAAACAATAATTACATAAGTTAAGGGTATGTGGAATATTAAAAGTGTATCGAAACATGATACTTCGAAACTAAAAGTATATGTGAACTCTAATGGATCTTTAAAACATACTGACTGTTAGAACACATAAAATCCTACCTTTGTTGATTATTATTAACTGTTTTCTGCCAGGTGGCTTTATTCACACCTTCTTCAGTTTCATATTTCTTTTGTTCCTAAAAGATTTAGATAATAATACGCTAAATAAAACTCAGCACCATTTAATATTGTCATAGACCCAAAAAACTAATTTTAAAACCAAGTTAACAAAGGAAAAAATAATGTCCTTAGAGGACCGAATATTAAAACATTAACCACTTAAATGTTATACTCCTCTTTGCTTTCACACCACTTGGATCACAGAATTAGGGTAGATAAGTTAATCAGTTGCCAAACATGATGAGTTTGCATAGTTGCCTAATTCCTTATTTTGCTTTTTAAAGGTCTGTAACTCAAGGATGATGCTTCAACTTGCTTGTCACTAAAAATCTCTCCTTCACTGAAAGTCACTGTTAATGAAGAAGGATGACCATAAAAAATAAAACACTCCTTAAAATATGCCTATTCTTTCTCCACAGTGTAAAAGCAATATAAAGAAACAAAACTACCATTTCAAATATATCATCATTGATAACCTATAATTTAAAAAAATATTTTAATCACTTTTAAATTATATTAATGAGATCTCCTAAGAAGCAATTATGATTTCACTGACTCACCTCTTTGATCATTTTAATAAGATCTGATTTCGTTGATGCACTGGGAGGAATGCACTTATGACCACATAATTTTAAAGCATTCATAAGCAATTCTGCTGTGTCAAGTTCTTCTTCAGTCAATTCATCTTGGTGATTATGAATCAATTCTGACAAATACAAAACTAATTTGGCTCCATGCTTTAAAAAAAAAAGTTAATATTTTAGTTTCTTACATTTAAATTATTTGATAATAATTAAATTATATTGGTGTATTTATTTGACTAAATCAGCTGAATGAAAGGTTTAATTCTGAGGCAGAACTGAAGAAATTTGATTATGTATTGTCTACTTGGTGACTTTAGGGTGTAAGCTGACTTTGTTAGGAATAATGTTATGGTAACATAAGAAAAATGTTGTGACTTCTACAATTTACTTTAAAACACTGCAGAATAGGAAGTGATGCTAAAAATATTAGCAATTGTTAAATATAGGTAATAGTTTTATGGTATTCATTATAGTATCTATCTTAGTAAGCTTGCAAATTTAAATTGTAAAGATAAAAAAGAAAGAAAAAGTAAGGAGATAGGTAACAAGAAAGGAAGGAAGAAGAGAGGAAAACAAGAAAGAGAAAGAGGAAGGAGGGAAAGAAAGAAAAGAAAACAAAGCAAACTCTGGGGAAAGGAATTTTAGAGAGAATTTGTTAAAGGAATATAGGAAATAAGCTTGGGATAAGTGAATGGAATTCTTAGCTCTTCTTATAGAAAAAGTAAACAGGTAGGAAAACTCTCATTTCGACCTTTAGGTAAGATAATTATGCTTATTTTTCTTTTTTCCTTTGCTGCTAAAAATAGAAGTTGGTGAAAATTTCAGGTGTAAACCTTTTTCACCTTTTTTGGGTTAACTTGTAAGCATTCACTACTCTTTGGAGAACAAAAAGCAAAATCACTGAGACCTCAACTCCTAATTCTATGTGCATGCCCAGAGAAGGGTTGGTTTAAGGCCATCTTTTTTATGAGTGGATCCTATAATCAAAATGAAAGTATTTCTTAAGATAATGACAATTGTCCTACACAGCATAAACCTAAACTGGAGCTTGATTCATGATTTAACTGCCCCTTCTATGTTATAGATATTCTACCTGATTGCTGTGTATGCTACATTAGACATTAATTTTGACAATTTAAAAAATATGCATAATGTTACTTAAAAATTTGCATTGATACAAATACCACTGATTTTGGTTTATGACATTTTAAACTGTGAAAAGTATTAAATGTCAACAAATGGATTTGGAAATGATTACGTTTTGGGTGATATTTAAATTAACACACTGAATCACATCATGTCATTTTCCAAAAGTGTAAGATGAACATATGCAATGATGAAAATAGCAAAAGCACATTTTAATTCAACATTTTAAATTAGTCAGGAGACAGCTGCTATATGACCAAAAGGTAAAAATGAACAGATGCTCTACGAGTAAAAGGCCTGAAGAGTTGGCAAATAAACCAAAATGGCAAATGACTAGAATATTTCTATATGTGTGCCTTAAAGGTAATGTCCTTGATATAACTCTAAAAATATTTCAGTTAAGCATTCAGTGACATTTTAAAATCATCTTGAAAAACTATCAGAAACATTTTTATTCTGAACATTCAAAGAAACACATGATTTTCTTAAACACTTAAGTTGTTTATAACATCTCCTTTTAACATTTTCTGAATAATCATTTATCACTTACAGTTACTGGAACTAGAAAAGGAATTATTTGGGATAGTTGTAAAAAAAAAAGTCTTATTTTCAACCTTTAAGATACTGATTTAGGAAATTCAATCTATTAAGCAATATCCTTTGAAAGCAGTGAGATGCTCAAATATATAAAAATAAAATTATCAATAAAGTTTCAAGAAGGAAGAGTTCCAAGCAGACAAAGAGATGGAAGAAGGTTTCAAAGATGGAACAGAGTGAGTTGGGTATATGGGTAAATGAAAAGAATGAGGGTACGCAGACAAAAGAAGAGAGAAGTTGCTGTGTGATGGATGGACAGTACAAATAAAGTAGCACATCAGTAGGAATACACATGATGCAGAGTTTGCAAGAGACAAGAATGACACTATTTTGAGAAGAAAGGAACTACAGATTAGAAAATTAATTAGACACAAGTTGTAACAGTGAATTTAAAATTCAGGAAGATTACAGATGGAATACGGTTGTAAGAAAGGCATAAGAACATCTCTGTATACTGTTACGGAATGATTTCTAAGAATTATTGCCAGTAAAGTACAGAAGGCTGTATGTAGTTCACTCTTTGTGTTGAGAAATGGAGATAATATATATACTTGTTTGTATGTATGTGTGTGTACATGGATTTGCTTATATCTCCAAATGAAATAAAAAACAGAGAGGGCTACCTACAGGAAAAGGGAAGGAATGATGAGAGGGTATATAGATAAAAGTGAGAACCTCTATGAATGTGCTAATGCACAATGTTGATTTGGGAACTGTGTAGACATTAAACAAAATCAAACAAATAAATAAAGGCCCTAAAGTACCTAAAAATAGAAAAACTTGGGGAAAAAACAGAATGTAACTAGTTAGTTGATGTTGCTGGCATAACCAAATAGAGAAAATTATTTTAAGTGCATTATTCAGTATTTTCACCATACAACCTTGATGGTATCCTAAGAACCAAAAGAACTACAAAGAACTTTTAAATTGCATCCTATGGACTTACAATGAGTGATAACTTTGGTCATTTTACCTTCAAAATGTTATATACTTATATATAATGTAACAAATATAAAACATAAAGCAAATAAATAATCATTTTACTGTCATGAGAAAACAAAATTATCAACATTAATAAAAATACAAATATAAAATACAAAGTGAAAGTATAAGCACATAATTTATTTTTCTTTCTTTAGACACATATTTCCTAGTTTTGTCCTATAAAAAGGCTAAAAGGAAACAACCCAATAGAAGTAAACATACCTAGTTGCTAGATTTGTATTCTTTAAATATGATTACGACATAAAAAGAAAACAGGGAAAAGTTTGGTTCCCAGTCTGGGGAAGGAAATGTGCAAAATGAGCTGGGACTTTCTTCTGTTCCAGAAAACAAGGAAGTTAATCAGATTAATCTGATAAAAAATTAAAAGGCCACATTAAATGCAAACAATTTTAATATCAAACAGGATAATAACTGCAATGATATGAAACTATTTAAAATATTTATTTTAAAATAGCTGAGCTTATAATTATACCTTAAAAATAAAAACAAATACAAAAATTGAAAGTTGTTAGGACCTCAGCCCATTATTCTAAAAATTAATAATTAGGGGAAAGAAACTGCATATATTTCTTCCAGACTATATTTTAAGGTACCAAATAATTAATAGGGGAATGTTCTTTCCTTTATAAGAGTCATAGATAAAAGATGTTGGTGGAATGAGAAACTTAGAGAAATAACTGTTTTGCAACTCCTAACAACTATCATCAGTGGTGGATAAAGTGATTAGGTTAGAGATGTGAATTTAGTAGTATCTTTTAAAAAAATCTTAGCTATTTTAATTTTTGCGTAGTGTTATCTCATTGTGGTTTAATGTATATTTACATGATGACAAGTGATAGTAGGTTTATTCATATGTGCTTATTTGCCATCTGTACATATTATTTGGTAAATTATCTGTTCAAAATATTTTGAAATACGTTATATGACTTGCTGTTTGAATTGATGTTTCATGAATAATATAATGCTTTTAAAAAATATCTTCAAGCAGTTTTTAAAGAAAATACTTTAGATTTAGTAACATGACAAAGGATATTATTAGAACTTAGATACACAGCACTTCAAACATTGGAAAAAAGGATGGAAAATAAACATAAAAGTCAAGTTGTGTCTGATGTGGGCCAACTGAAAAAAACCTCAGGTCATCTTTACTTGATAAGAAAATCTTATTCATGATATTAGGTGTGAAAATACAGTTTAATTTCAGTTGTTTTTTACAATTTTACATTTCACCCAAAGTTTTACTAATCTTATGGGTACTAAAATACTTACTTGCAGTGATGGGCTAAGACAATCTCGTAGTATTTCTTGATGATTTGGTTCACGAACTATTTCAAAAATTTGCTTTCTCTCTTGTGAAGGATGTGCTGGTGACAAAATATGCACTAATAGTCTCCCAAGCTGCATTCGGAAGGTTTCCTTACAAGACCATAAGATTTTACTCCACTGTTGCTTGGATCCACTAGTTTTACTAGAACCCTTAAATCAAAACAGGAATGAATTAGACCAGATATTTTAAGCAATTATATACTAACCTTAACACACTTCTACAGATGATCATGGAACATGTTTTATACTAGATTTTTAAAAATAATCAAAATTAGAAAGACATATACATACACACAAATGTGTGTTTAAAAGACTTGGACATATACCAGTGTTTATAGAAGCATTATTCAAAATAGTCAAAAGGTGGAAATAATCCAAATGTCCTTTGATGGACAAATGAATAAAAAATATGTTATGTACATATAGTGGAATATTATTCAACCTGAAAAAGGAATGAAGTTCTGATACATGGTTCAAAGTAGATGAACTTTGAAAACATGATAAATGGAATAAGCCACACACACAAAAAGAGAAATATTATATAAGGATAAATAATATATAACATATATTAGTTATCTAAAAAGTCAAATTCATAGAGACACAATGTAGAATAATGGTTATGAGGGCCTGGGGGAGAAGGTAATAGGGAGTTATCGGTTAATAGATACAGAGTTTTAGTTTGGAATGATGAAAAAGTTCTGGATATGTATAGTATACATAAAATGCAAATAATGTGAATGTACTTAACACCACTGAATTGTACCCTTAAAAATGGTTAAAATAATAAATTTATATTATGTATATTTTTCCACAATTAAAAAAAGAGAATGATGAAGATTCTTCAGTCCTAAATCACTTAAAATGACCTACAACTTCCACTATCTTTGCAGTCCTCAGTCAGATGGGCCCTGGGATGCTTCAGGAAGTAACATCACTGTGGCAGCCTAAGGAGAACCCCAAGTTAAATTCAAACTTGTGTTGGTGGGTGAAACTGGTAGTTTCTGGAAAATGGTAGTACTAGGAAAACTATATTCATGACATGTCATTTGGTGACTTTGAGAACAAATAGGTAGCCGCCGTGGGTGCTGAGACTCAACCCCTTGTGTTCCATACCAACAGAGGACCTGTTAAGCTCAGTGAGTCGGATACAGCAGGTCAAGAGAGATTTGGTGGATTGAGAGATGGCTATTATATCCAAGCCCAATGTGCCATTATAATGTTTGATGTAACATCAAAAGTTACTTAGAAGAATGTCTAACTGGAATAGAGATTTGGTACAAGTATACGAAAACATCCCATCATGTCATGTGGCAGCACAGTAGATACTAAGACAGGAAAGTTAAGGCGAAATATATTGTCTTCCACTAAAAGAAGAATCTTCAGTACTATGACATTTCTGCAAAAAGTAACCACAACTTTGAAAAGTCCTTCCTCTGGCTTGGTAGAAACTAACTGATGATCCTAACTTGGAGCTCATTGCCATGTCTGCTCCTGCCCCACCAGAGATTGTCATGGACCAACTTTGACAGTACAGTATGAGCATTATTTAGAGGTTGCTCAGCTAACTGTCCCAGATCCTGTGAGAAGATGAAGCTACAGCCCAGCAACAGAAGTCTAGTTTTATAGGCAACTGTCATATGATGACAGTGGAGCAGCATGCTTGCCATTTTATTATATAGCTAAGCAGAACATGTGCCTACTCTTTGGGATGCTGAAGGAGATGAAAAGGGTTCAAAATGAATGTGGCAGTTAAAAAAAACTTCATTTTCTTTGGACCTGTTTATTTAGCTATTTTGGAAGGCAACTGTTCACATCTTCAGTTTCAAATAAAAGATTGCTACAGTTATATCACAATATTCAGTACAGAAATCTTATCTGTTGCTGTCATTCCTTTTCCTTTTTGTTTAGAGTTAGAATAAAGTTGTATTTCAGTGAGTGGGATATAGCACTCAGTGAGTGGGATACAGTGGGATCCATCAAAGTTATATTTCAAATGAAAAAAATGACTAGTATTTGTAATTTTTTTTTATTTATTTGTTTGTTTGTTTGTTTTGTTTATACATGCACTGGGTACAGTCAGAAACGCAGGAGGGTGAGAGAATTCACCAGAGCCAGAGTGGGGAGCAGAGCAGGCAGAAGGACCGAAGTACACTGCTGAGGGGAGCAGTACGGGCGGCAGGAGAGGTCTGCACGCCATGTGGGACCCTCCTCCGGTGGCCGGGGAGCAGCCGGGGATTGAACCGGCGCCGCACAGGCCGCGGGCAGCTTCGCAACCCAGCGCTCAACCGCTGCACCACCGGGGAGGCCCAGTATTTGTAAATTTTAATCTGAAAAAAAAAAAAAAAAAGCCAAAACCACAGTAGATATTTTATAGTACAAAAGAGAAATAATTCATAATACTTGAATTAGAAATAAATTGTTGAGCATAACAGTCATAAATTAAGAACTGCATATAAAGTGACCATCAAGATTCCCTAACAAATGACTAAGCTGTGTTGACTACAGTCCCAATAAGGCTACCATAATTCTGAACAAAACTCCTGTATGTGTATAAAAATGGAATCTGTACATTTTATAATTTATTCTGACTTTTGGAAATGGCTCTCCAATTACTCCTGATTCTAAGGGCGCAGTGTGAATGATTTAGTTCTAAGCGAAAACCACAGACACAAAATCTAGTTTAGATTTAGAGATTGGTATTTATGATATATGAGTTCTGCAGAATTAGATTGGCATTTGGTATCTATGGAGTGAACTGACTGATTTGCTCCCCATGGTCAACTCTAACTGACCCAGAGAAGTATAAATGAGTCAGTGAAAAGTGGAGCCTGATATTTGTCAATTTTCTCTTATATAATTTTGAAGATATTGATTACTTTTAAGCCAAGATTTAAATTTCACAATAATTCAGAATAATAATTCAAAGTATTTATAAAGTCCCTTAAAAATGGGTTATTAATTTATACTTTCACAGGAATCATCAAAACCCAGCTCTTCTCTGATGCTGATCCTACTAAACTACAATATTAGAAAGTGGCTTTCAGGTTACAAACTTAAAAACCAATGATACATGAAGTGAATCTTTTTAGAAAGGGTAAATTAGCACTATTTGTCATTCCATTATTAAAAATTCAAGTTGCCTGAGTTTTAGAAAACTCTATAAAAGACTATAAATATGGTTTTGAAAATATAATATAGACACACTCATTTTACTCATTTGCTCTTTACTCATTTACACTTTCCATATAATTAATTTACTTACAATGGATACTTTGAATCCTTCTACCAGGTATGTGTACATTTCTTTCTGAAATGGATTGAAAACGGAAGGTTGTTCCTGATGAATATTTTCTTCCAAAGTTTCATTCTGGGAAGCTGAGGTCTTGCTTTGAGTTGCATTTTCTGGAGTACTCAAAATGTCGATAATGTCTGGATTAAACTCTTTGAATTGAAAAATTAAAATTAAAAATGAGTCATATCACTGACACCAAGCTATTACAAATGGTAATAATGCTAGTAAAAATATTCTCCTTGATTACTACTTCAGTTATCACAACATGAGTGTGTGTAGTGTATTCGATTAGGAGATACAGTATACTAGAGAAAGTGAATGCTTTAGATGACTAAAGTGAATTGCTTTAGATGACTAAAAGTGAATTGCTTTAGATGACTAAAGCAATGCAGGAATTTAAACATATATACATCAAGCATTTCTAAATTCAGGATCTAGTTTACTAATGATGATGAAATTAAACTGCAAAAGTATTAAAGCCATGAGTTTCTTGCACAAATCAAACATAAAGATCATATGATATGTACATTAGATGGATGTACAGAGCTATTTTATTTCATGCCCGTTAAATGCTGTTCATGTGAACAAAATGATACAATTTTGGATTTTATCCTGGGAGCTAGGTGACTCAAACATAAATTAGAAAAGTTATTTTTGGGTTTTGAAGCTTAGGTGTATTCAATGGAATACTATTCAGCAATCAAAAAAGATAAACTCATGCCATTCACAGCAACATGGATGGAGCTGGAAGGGATTATGCTTAGTGAAATAAGTCAGAAGGAAAAAGGAAAATATTGGATGGTTTCACAAATAGGAGGAATATAGAGAATCAAATAAGGGGTCAGGAAAAAAAATATACAATAATAATAATAAGTTAAAAAAAATTAGCAGGCAACAAGAAATTAGAGACATTCTTCAAGGGAGGAGGAGGAAGAGGGACCAAAACAGGGGAGAGAGCACAGGGACTATGGTGATGGTTCACGGGTGACTTGTGGTGGGAATTTTACAGGAAATATACATAAAAGGAGAAAGCATACAAGCATGCATTGTACAAAATGGTTATGATGTAAAATATATATATATATATATGTAAAAAAGATTTTTTAAAAAGGTTAGGTGTATTATGTTTTTCTAGTAATTAACAATTACTGTTTTCTTTTCCTGCCTTCTTGAGGCTACTTGAACATATTTAGGATTTCATTTTGACTTAAATCTATAGGGTTTTTGAGTGGATCTCTTTGCATAGCCTTTTTTTTTTTTTAAGATTTATTTATTTATTTATTTATTTATTTATACAAGTACTGGGTACAGTCAGAAGCGCAGGAGGGTGAGAGAATTCACCAGAGCCAGAGCAGGGAACAGAACAGGCAGATGGACGAAATACACTGCTGAAGGGAGGAGCGGGCGCGGCAGCAGAGGTCTGCGCGCCATGTGGGACTCTCGCCTGTGGCCTGGGATTGAACCAGCACTGCAGAGGCTGTAGGCAGCTTCGCAGCCTAGCATTCAACCACTGCGCCACCAGGGGACGCCCTGCATAACCTTTTAGAGGTTGTTCCAGGTCTATCTATCTATCACGAACTGATATTAAAAATCAAATTGAGACCAGCACACAGCCCCGGCCGCCGGTAAGCCTGCGCGGAAAGGCGGCACGCCGGAAAAACAGACGCGGAGCGGGATTGCACGGGGAAAGCGGCGCGGATTGCGCGGATCGGATCGCAGCTGCCCAGGTCCCCGCGCCTGCGACCTAGGCTTGCGGGGAGACGACCAAGGCTTGCGGGGAGACGCGCGGAGGCCCTCCCGGAGTGAGCAGGAACCAGGCGCCCAGGCAGGGGAGCGGGATTCAAAAGGCGCCATTCCCGCGCCACTGATCTGGGCTACAGCCCGCGTCCTGGAACTGAGGGCTTTGGAACTGAGACCCGGGGCACGAAATTAGGGGCGTGGGTTCCCCACGACGGTGGGGCACAAGGCAGACACAGCACCCCAAAGCCGTTGAGGTGTACCCTACCATCCCTGCTCTGCTCCCTGTCCCACTGGGTGGAAAATCAGCTCCCCAAGGGCTCTAGGAGAGATCTCTGGCGCCACCTAGCGACTTGAAGCCAGCACAGGCTCCTGAAGCAGCTAGTGGCCAGCTGGGAGTTAGCCCATGCCGGGCCCCTTCCGAACAAGTAGTCTGAGCCCACAGGGAGAGCGAGCACCCAAAGCCAGGGCAGACCAAGCGCGCAGAAGAGTGTGCCTGAGACCGGACGCGCAGGGAGTGTGTCCCACATCACCATTATAGAATAGGGACATTTCTTCAGTAAAGACTACCTGCAGAAGGCTTCCTCAGGAGCCAGAGGTGAGCGGGGAAAGTTCGCCCACGCCAGAACCCCTCTGGCCTGCAGTCCAAGCCCAGAGGGGGAGCAGGAACCCACCGCCGGGGCAGACCAGGCGCACAGGGGAGTGTGTCCCCACATCGGCATTTTAGAACAGGGACCTTTCTCCAGTAAAGACTGCTTGAAACTGACAGATGACTCCTGGAGGAACCAGGGGGGAGCAGAGAAGTCCACCCAAGATGCCGGCCAGTCCCAACTACACAGTGTCCCAACGCATACGGCAAATTAGAAAACAGACAGTAGGGAGGAGAAGAACCACACGCAACCTAGCAACTCTCCAGAGAAAAAGCACACCACAAAAAGAAAACCAGCCCCCAGATGGCAACGACAGTAACTTGGAAGAACTTCTGAGCCTTCCAGAAAGAGAATTTAAAATTGCCGTGATTAAAAAACTGACAGAAGTCATAAAGGAAAACAATGATAAGGGAAAAATAATCAACGATCAGAAGAATGAAATTGAGTCCCTAAAGAGGGAAGTAAAAGAAATGCAGGAGATCAAAGAATTAATGGAAGAACTAAAGAATTCTGGGAAAAGCAATGAAAGCAGAATTGATGAAATGGAAGAACGAATAAGTACTCTTGAAGACACAGAAATAAAAAGAACCAAAACAGAAAAGGAAAGAGAAGTACGAAGGAAAAAGAATGAAGAAAGACTTCGGGAACTATCTGACTCCATGAGGAAAGGAAATATAAGAGTTATAGGAATACCAGAAGGAGAGGAGAGAGAAGTAGGAACAGAGAAAATATTCAAAGAGATAATTGAAGAGAACTTCCCAAATGTGAAGGAGGAGCTGAAAATTGATATACAAGAAGCAAGAAGAACACCAAACTTCCACGACGAAAGGAAAAATACAGCAAGACACATAATAGTAAAGCTCCCAAGAATCCAGGACAAGGAAAAAATAATGAAGCTGGCAAGAGGGAAGAAACAGATAACATTCAAAGGAAAGCCAATCAGGCTGACATCAGACTTCTCCGAAGAAACACTACGGGCAAGGAGAGAGTGGAGGGACATAGTCAACAGACTCCAAGAAAACAGATGCCAACCAAGAATACTCTATCCCGCAAAGCTCTCCTTCCTCCATGAAGAAAGAATATGGACTTTCCCAGACAAACAGAAACTCCGGAATTTCATTGCAACTAAACCCCCACTCCAAAAAATACTACAAGGAGTCATAAAGCCAGAACCTCAGAGGGACGAATAACAATGAAAGAAGGCCAAAAAAAAAAAAAAGTTATTAAAAGAATAAATAAATAAAATCAAAGGAAAGACAAACACAATGGCAAATACAGATGTTAACATATCAATATTAACTCTAAATGTAAATGGACTAAACTCTTCAATAAAAAGACACAGAGTTGCAGCCTGGATTAAGAAACAAAACCCAACCTTTTGCTGTCTCCAGGAAACACATTTAGCTACAAAAGATAAAAATAGGCTCAAAGTCAAAGGATGGAAAACAATCCTACAAGCAAATGGACCAAAAAAGAAAGCAGGAACAGCTATACTTATATCAGAAAACAGACTTCAAACTCAAAAAGATAAAAAGAGACCCCAATGGTCACTACATTATGATCAAGGGGACAATACTTCAAGAAGAAATAACACTCATTAACATATACTCACCAAACGAAGGAGCACCAAAATATATCAGACAACTGTTGTCCTCTCTGAAAACAGACATCAGAGAAAACACATACGTAGTGGGAGACTTCAACACACCACTATCAACAATGGATAGATCAACAAGACAAAAAATAAGTAAAGAAACCAAAGCTCTAAATAAGGACCTAGAGCAATTGGGCTTAACAGACATCTATAGAACACTAAACCCCAAAAAAACGGAGTACACATTTTTCTCAAGTGCACACGGATCATTCTCCAGGATCGATCACATACTGGGGCACAAGACAAACATCAACAGATACACCAAGATTGAAATCATATCAACCATCTTTTCTGACCATGAAGGCATCAAACTAGAAATAAACCATAAAAAGAAGGCAAGGAACTTTCCTACCTCATGGAGATTAAAAACCACACTACTGGAAGACCACTGGACTAATGAGGAGATCAAAGAAGAAATTAAAAAATTTTTTGAATTGAACGACAAGGAGGACACCAATATCCTAAATGTATGGGATGCAGCAAAAGCAGTAATAAGAGGAAAATATATAGCAATAGAAGCTCACATCAAGAAACAAGAAAGAACTCAAAGAAACAACCTAATCTCGAAGCTCAAAGATCTAGAAAAAGAACAACAAAAAAACCCCAAACCAGTAGAAGAAAAGAAATAATAAAAACCAAGGCAGAAATAAATGAAATTGAAACTAAAAAAACAATCCAAAAGATCAATGAAACCAAGAGCTGGTTCTTTGAAAAAATCAATAAAATAGACAAACCCCTAGCCAGGCTCACAAAGGAAAAAAGGGAGAAAGCACAAATAAACAGGATCATCAATGAAAGAGGAGAAATCACAACGGACACAGCAGAAATCAAAAGAATAATCAGTAACTACTATGAACAGTTATATGGAAACAAGTTTAACAATCTAGAGGAGATGGACAAATTCCTACAACTCTACAATCACCAAAGCTAGATAAAGAAGAAATAGAACACCTAAACAGACCAATTACAAGCAGCGAAATTGAAATGGTAATCAAAAACCTCCCCAAAAACAAAAGCCCAGGACCTAATGGATTTACAAATGAATTCTACCAAACATTCAGAGACGAATTAGTGCCTATCCTTCACAAACTCTTCCAAAAAATTGAGAAGGAAGGGACAATACCAAACACGTTCTATGAAGCCAACATTACACTAATACCAAAACCGAACAAGGACAACACAAAAAAGGAAAACTACAGGCCAATCTCCCTAATGAACACTGATGCAAAAATCCTCAATAAAATTTTAGCCATCAGAATCCAACAATGTATCCATAAGATAATTCACCACGACCAAGTAGGATTCATTCCAGGGACACAAGGATGGTTTAACATCCGAAAATCAATCAACGTTATCCAGCACATCAACAAAAAGAAATATAAAAACCATATGATAATATCAATAGATGCTGAGAAAGCTTTCGACAAAGTGCAACACCCATTCATGATAAAGCCCTTGAAATTCTTGGGATACAAGGAACATACCTTAACATCATAAAGGCCATCTATGACAAGCCAACAGCCAGTATCATTCTCAATGGTGAAAAGCTGAAAGCAATTCCATTAAGATCTGGAACAAGACAAGGATGTCCACTCTCACCACTGCTTTTCAATATAATACTGGAAGTCCTAGCCAGGGCAATAAGACAAGAGAAAGACATACAAGGAATCCAAATAGGAAAGAAGAAGTCAAACTATCACTATTTGCAGATGATATGATATTATACATAGAGAACCCCAAAAACTCCACAGAAAAGCTAATTCAACTCATCAATCAGTTCAGTAAAGTGGCAGGATACAAAATCAACACGCAAAAGTCAGTAGCCTTCCTATACACAAACAATAAATCTGAAGAAGAAGAAATCAAAAAAACCATCCCTTTCGTTATTGAAACAAAAAAAATCAAATATTTGGGAGTAAATCTAACAAAAGAGGTAAAGGACCTATACAAAGAAAACTATAAAACACTGTTAAAAGAAATAGAAGAAGACACAAAGAAATGGAGAGATATCCCCTGCTCATGGATTGGAAGAATAAACATTATTAAAATGGCCATCCTTCCAAAAGCAATATACAGATTCAATGCTATTCCAATCAAAATTTCAATGTCATTCTTCAAAGAAATAGAACAATTATTGATGAAATTCATATGGAATCACAAAAAACCCCGAATAGCCAAAGCTCTCCTGAAAAAAAAAGAAGGGAATGGAGGCATCACACTCCCAGACTTCAAACTCTACTACAAAGCCATAATCATCAAAACTGCATGGTATTGGAACAAGAACAGACATACAGACCAATGGAATCGAATAGAAAATCCAGAAATAAACCCACAGATTTATGGTCAACTAATCTTTGACAAAGGAGCAAAGACTATGCATTGGAGCAAAGAAAGTTTGTTCAATAAATGGTGCTGGGAAAACTGGGTCGCTACATGCAAAAAAATGAAGCTTGACCACTACCTCACACCATACACAAAAATCAACTCAAAATGGATTAAAGAATTAGACATAAGACCTGAAACCATAAAATATATAGAAGGAAATATAGGCGAAACACTACGTGATTTGCACATCAAAGACATCTTTACAGACACATCACCCAAAGCAGTGATAGTGAAGGCGAAGATAAACAGCTGGGACTACATCAAATTAAAGAGCTTCTGCACAGCAAAAGAGACAATAACAAAAACAAAGAGAAACCCCACCAACTGGGAGAACATTTTTGCACCCAACACTAATGATAAAGGACTGATCACAAAAATCTGCAAAGAGCTGACGAGACTCAACAACAACAAAGAAAATAATCCAGTCAAAAAATGGGCAGAAGAGCTAAAAAGAAACTTCTCTGAAGAGGAAATGCAAATGGCCAACAGGCATATGAAAAAATGTTCAACATCACTTGTCATCAGGGAAATGCAAATCAAAACTACCATGAGATACCATCTTACACCAGTGAGAATGGCACATATTAAAAAAACTAGCAACAACAAATGTTGGCGAGGGTGTGGAGAAAAAGGAACTCTTCTGCACTGTTGGTGGGAGTGCAAACTGGTCCAACCACTGTGGAAAGCTGTGTGGAGATTTCTGGACCTACTAAACATAGAGCTTCCATATGATCCAGCAATTCCACTCCTAGGTATTTACCCAAAGGACACAGAAACATCAATTCCAAAGAACACCTGCACCCCTATGTTTATAGCAGCACTGTTTACAATAGCTAAGCTTTGGAAACAACCCAAATGCCCAAAAATAGATGACTGGATCAAGAAGATGTATGGTATATATGTTATTCCATGGTATATATACCATGGAATATTACTCAGCATTCAAAAAAGATAAACACATGCAATTTGCAGCAACATGGATGGCGCTGGAAGGGATCATGCTCAGCGAAATAAGCCAAAAAGAAAAAGAAAAATACCGGATGGTCTCACTCATAGCAGGAATCTAGAAAACTTAAATAAGGGACCAGGAAAATGAATAACTATAAGAAAGTGAAAATCAAAATCAACAAAAAACTATGAACCAGAGACACTTTTAGGGGGGCAGGGGCGGGAGGGGAGGGATTGGGGTCAGAATGGGGGCGCTGCAATTGTATGGGGAATATAACAATAAAATTTATTATCTAATAAAAAAAAATCAAATTGAAACCACAATGCAATTTTACTACACAACTACCATGATGGTTAAAAACAACAAATAGTAATGATTCCAATTACTGGTAAGGATATGTGATTACCAATTACTGGTAAGTGATTCAGAAAACTGAATCACTCAGATGTTGCTGGTGGGAGTGTAAAATTGTATGGATGCTCTGGACAAGATTAGCAGGTTTCTAACAAAAACGAAACAGGCAACTGCCATACAAACCAACGTTTGCACTCCTGGGCATTTATCCCAGAAAAAAATGAAGACTTATGTTCACACAAAAACCTGTGCACAAATGTTTATAGCAGGCAGCTTTATTTATAATAGTCCAAAATGGAAAAAATATCAAATGATTTTTCAACAGATGAATGGTTAACAAACTGTGATAAATCCATGCTATGGAATCATAGCAAACACAGAAAAGGAATAAACTATCGATACATGCAACAACCAGGAACACTCCCTAGAGGATAATGTTGAATGAAAAAAACCAAACCAACAGGTTGTATGATTCCATTTTTGCAACATTCTTGAAATGATGAAAATATAGAAATAAAAAATATGTCAGAGGTTGCCAGGGACTAAGGAGAGGAAAGAGTGGGATGAAAGTGTGTAGGCTAAAAATAAAAGCAATGTAAGGAATCCTTGTGATGATGGAAATATTCTGCTTATTGATGGCATTAATGTCAATATCCTGGCTTACAGTTTTTCCAAATCATTAGGGGAACTGGGGAAAGAGTACATGGAACCTCTATAATAATAATAATAACTGCATGTAAATCTATGATTATCTCAAATAAAAGTTAAAAAAATATACCAGAGGTGCGGCACTGTTTTAAACTCAATGGTAAATCTCAGTCAGGATTTAACACATTAAACAATGAACTTTTATTCAAGATATTAGTTCTAAATCAGAAATTCTTTTAATAGCATGGATGGTAAGAATAAGGACAATGCTGCTTAAAAATTGGAAGCCTAATCAGTTTCCTTTCAAATTATTTTCTTTTAATCCAATATCTGAACAAGAAAATATTTATTCTCTAGTCATACCTAGATAAATAATCCTGTTAACTGCTAAAATGGTGAGCCTCTGTAGTCTCTGTGCAAGTTCTATTTCCGTTGCCTGGACGGGATTCTCCTGGCTCATTCTCCGTTGCATCATCATATAAAGTTCATCACTTGCTACTGAACGCATTTTCATTAGAAGAGAGTCAGTCTGAGCAAGTGGAAATTTTCGAGGACCTTCAAGTACATAAATTAAAACATCAAATATCAGAATGAACAGGAATCAAGGACTAGCTTTGGTTATCAAATCACCTTATTTAATACAGAGTTAATTCATACAAAGGAAAAGAAAGTGATTAAAAGTGATGTTTTTCCCTCTTTAAAGAAGTAAAACAGTACCTTTGATTTCAAAGTCCTAAATAAAAATGTTAAAGCTAGTAACGTAGCTTAGTAGGATGAGTATCATTTGGCAAAATTCTGAAAAACTCAAAGAATTATAAGGGTATAAGTAGTTCAGAATGCTTTGACAAAATATTTTCAAATACTGTTTTACTTCCGTATACTCCAAAATAATCAACAGATTTTAAACGCATATTATGTTTTATTTATAACATTACATTTTCTGGATAATTACCATTGTTGGATTTGCAAAGGAGTTTTGAAAAGTGTATATATAGTGGCATAATGGAAATCAGCCAAATGAAAGTGAAGAGATCAGAAAGGCCAATATAATTCCAATGATTTGCTATTAAGATGATTTGGTGCGTAAGCATCATTTGGAATTCAATCCTACAAAAGCATTTCCTGAGAAATGTTTCTTTAGATTGAATGGGCAGAGTGGTGTTCCTGCACCATTACTACACCTGCTCCAGGAGGTACCACCGAGGTAGTAGATCCAGGAGAAAACAGGGGGAATGTGTCTTGATTTAATGGACTGAAGTAGAAAGGCATCGGAAGTTGACCATAGGAACCAAAATGACGTCTTGGTAGGTGAGGATTAATGGAAGCCTTCATGGGAATTGAACCTTTGTTTTAAATTATGAAAACATATATTAATTTACATAAATAGCTTTTATAAACATTACTTATTATAACTAAATTATGATAAGTTTAAATGACTCATCCTTAAGATAAAGAATTTAATAACATTTATTTAGTAAGTCCAGAATTTAGGAAATCAGTTATTTTTCATCAGTGAATACATTTTGATGGACAGAGTCAGCAAAGATACTTCATATCTGGATATTAACTAAGCCAAGGATTTAGGTACAGAGCAGAGAAGAAATGGACATGAGAATGAGAACTATCAACAAGAAACATTAGTTATCTGTGAAAGTAACAGGATAACTTTCTTATGTCAACAGAGGGTGAATTCCTTCTAAGCAGTCACTGACTATATAAGGACGCCTGCAAAGGAAAGGTGGTCTAAAAGTCATCTTTTGGTATATACAAAGCTGAGCATTATCTCCAGACTTGGTAAAAGATAGAATTCTATCTGTGGCAACAGAGGTACAACTGGGATAGCAGCTCAAGAGGAGATACTGCTTTCAGATATAAAATTAAAAAGGCTATATAAAGGCAATTAACTTTGGTCATATAGATGCTTTAAAAGTTTTATTTATATAAACTTTTATTAAGCATAATCTAAACATACTATTGCAAGACAATGTTTATTTAATAGCCCTTCAATACAGATAGATTTTTCACATCCTTTTTATTTTTATTTATTTATTTATTTTTAAATAATAAATTTTATTGTTATATTCCCCATACAATTGCAGCCCCCCATTCGGACCCCAATCCCTCCCCTCCCACCCCCGCCCCCCTAAAAGTGTCTCTGGTTCATAGTTTTTTGTTGATTTTGATTTTCACTTTCTTAAAGTTATTCATTTTCCTGGTCCCTTATTTAAGTTTTCTAGATTCCTGTTATGAGTGAGACCATCCGGTATTTTTCTTTTTCTTTTTGGCTTATTTCGCTGAGCATGATCCCTTCCAGTGCCATCCATGTTGCTGCAAATTGCATGTGTTTATCTTTTTTGAATGCTGAGTAATATTCCATGGTATATATGTACCACATCTTCTTGATCCAGTCATCTATTTTTGGGCATTTGGGTTGTTTCCAAAGCTTAGCTATTGTAAACAGTGCTGCTGTAAACAGGGGTGCAGGTGCTCTTTGGAATTGATGTTTCTGTGTCTTTTGGGTAAATACCTAGGAGTGGAATTGCTGGATCATATGGAAGCTCTATGTTTAGTAGGTCCAGAAATCTCCACACAGCTTTCCATAGTGGTTGGACCAGTTTGCACTCCCACCAACAGTGCAGAAGAGTTCCTTTTTCTCCACACCCTCGCCAACATTTGTTGTTGCTAGTTTTTTTAATATGTGCCATTCTCACTGGTGTAAGATGGTATCTCATGGTAGTTTTGATTTGCATTTCCCTGATGACAAGTGATGTTGAACATTTTTTCATATGCCTGTTGGCCATTTGCATTTCCTCTTCAGAGAAGTTTCTTTTTAGCTCTTCTGCCCATTTTTTGACTGGATTATTTTCTTTGTTGTTGTTGAGTCTCGTCAGCTCTTTGCAGATTTTTGTGATCAGTCCTTTATCATTAGTGTTGGGTGCAAAAATGTTCTCCCAGTTGGTGGGGTTTCTCTTTGTTTTTGTTATTGTCTCTTTTGCTGTGCAGAAGCTCTTTAATTTGATGTAGTCCCAGCTGTTTATCTTTGCCTTCACTATCACTGCTTTGGGTGATGTGTCTGTAAAGATGTCTTTGATGTGCAAATCACGTAGTGTTTCGCCTATATTTCCTTCTATATATTTTATGGTTTCAGGTCTTATGTCTAGTTCTTTAATCCATTTTGAGTTGATTTTTGTGTATGGTGTGAGGTAGTGGTCAAGCTTCATTCTTTTGCATGTAGCGACCCAGTTTTCCCAGCACCATTTATTGAACAAACTTTCTTTGCTCCAATGCATAGTCTTTGCTCCTTTGTCAAAGATTAGTTGACCATAAATCTGTGGGTTTATTTCTGGATTTTCTATTCGATTCCATTGGTCTGTATGTCTGTTCTTGTGCCAATACCATGCAGTTTTGATGATTATGGCTTTGTAGTAGAGTTTGAAGTCTGGGAGTGTGATGCCTCCATTCCCTTCTTTTTTTTTCAGGAGAGCTTTGGCTATTCGGGGTTTTTTGTGATTCCATATGAATTTCATCAATAATTGTTCTATTTCTTTGAAGAATGACATTGAAATTTTGATTGGAATAGCATTGAATCTGTATATTGCTTTTGGAAGGATGGCCATTTTAATAATGTTTATTCTTCCAATCCATGAGCAGGGGATGTCTTTCCATTTCTTTGTGTCTTCTTCTATTTCTTTTAACAGTGTTTTATAGTTTTCTTTGTATAGGTCCTTTACCTCTTTTGTTAGATTTATTCCCAAATATTTGATTTTTTTTGTTTCAATAACAAAAGGGATGGTTTTTTTGATTTCTTCTTCAGATTTATTGTTTGTGTATAGGAAGGCTACTGACTTTTGCGTGTTGATTTTGTATCCTGCCACTTTACTGAACTGATTGATGAGTTGAATTAGTTTTTCTGTGGAGTTTTTGGGGTTCTCTATGTATAATATCATATCATCTGCAAATAGTGATAGTTTGACTTCTTCTTTTCCTATTTGGATTCCTTGGATGTCTTTCTCTTGTCTTATTGCTCTGGCTAGGACTTCCAGTATTATACTGAAAAGCAGTGGTGAGAGTGGGCATCCTTGTCTTGTTCCAGATCTTAATGGAATTGCTTTCAGCTTTTCACCATTGAGAATGATACTGGCTGTTGGCTTGTCATAGATGGCCTTTATGATGTTGAGGTATGTTCCTTGTATCCCAAGAATTTCAAGGGCTTTTATCATGAATGGGTGTTGCACTTTGTCGAAAGCTTTCTCAGCATCTATTGATATTATCATATGGTTTTTATATTTCTTTTTGTTGATGTGCTGGATAACGTTGATTGATTTTCGGATGTTAAACCATCCTTGTGTCCCTGGAATGAATCCTACTTGGTCGTGGTGAATTATCTTATGGATACATTGTTGGATTCTGATAGCTAAAATTTTATTGAGGATTTTTGCATCAGTGTTCATTAGGGAGATTGGCCTGTAGTTTTCCTTTTTTGTGTTGTCCTTGTTCGGTTTTGGTATTAGTGTAATGTTGGCTTCATAGAACGTGTTTGGTATTGTCCCTTCCTTCTCAATTTTTGGAAGAGTTTGTGAAGGATAGGCACTAATTCGTCTCTGAATCTTTGGTAGAATTCATTTGTAAATCCATCAGGTCCTGGGCTTTTGTTTTTGGGGAGGTTTTTGATTACCATTTCAATTTCGCTGCTTGTAATTGGTCTGTTTAGGTGTTCTATTTCTTCTTTATCTAGCTTTGGGTGATTGTAGAGTTGTAGGAATTTGTCCATCTCCTCTAGATTGTTAAACTTGTTTCCATATAACTGTTCATAGTAGTTACTGATTATTCTTTTGATTTCTGCTGTGTCCGTTGTGATTTCTCCTCTTTCATTGATGATCCTGTTTATTTGTGCTTTCTCCCTTTTTTCCTTTGTGAGCCTGGCTAGGGGTTTGTCTATTTTATTGATTTTTTCAAAGAACCAGCTCTTGGTTTCATTGATCTTTTGGATTGTTTTTTTAGTTTCAATTTCATTTATTTCTGCTTTGGTTTTTATTATTTCTTTTCTTCTACTGGTTTTGGGGTTTTTTTGTTGTTCTTTTTCTAGATCTTTGAGCTTCGAGATTAGGTTGTTTCTTTGAGTTCTTTCTTGTTTCTTGATGTGAGCTTCTATTGCTATATATTTTCCTCTTATTACTGCTTTTGCTGCATCCCATACATTTAGGATATTGGTGTCCTCCTTGTCGTTCAATTCAAAAAATTTTTTAATTTCTTCTTTGATCTCCTCATTAGTCCAGTGGTCTTCCAGTAGTGTGGTTTTTAATCTCCATGAGGTAGGAAAGTTCCTTGCCTTCTTTTTATGATTTATTTCTAGTTTGATGCCTTCATGGTCAGAAAAGATGGTTGATATGATTTCAATCTTGGTGTATCTGTTGATGTTTGTCTTGTGCCCCAGTATGTGATCGATCCTGGAGAATGATCCGTGTGCACTTGAGAAAAATGTGTACTCCGTTTTTTTGGGGTTTAGTGTTCTATAGATGTCTGTTAAGCCCAATTGCTCTAGGTCCTTATTTAGAGCTTTGGTTTCTTTACTTATTTTTTGTCTTGTTGATCTATCCATTGTTGATAGTGGTGTGTTGAAGTCTCCCACTACATATGTGTTTTCTCTGATGTCTGTTTTCAGAGAGGACAACAGTTGTCTGATATATTTTGGTGCTCCTTCGTTTGGTGAGTATATGTTAATGAGTGTTATTTCTTCTTGAAGTATTGTCCCCTTGATCATAATGTAGTGACCATTGGGGTCTCTTTTTATCTTTTTGAGTTTGAAATCTGTTTTATCTGATATAAGTATAGCTGTTCCTGCTTTCTTTTTTGGACCATTTGCTTGTAGGATTGTTTTCCATCCTTTAACTTTGAGCCTATTTTTATCTTTTGTAGCTAAATGTGTTTCCTGGAGACAGCAAAAGGTTGGATTTTGTTTCTTAATCCAGGCTGCAACTCTGTGTCTTTTTATTGAAGAGTTTAGTCCATTTACATTTAGAGTTAATATTGATATGTTAACATCTGTATTTGCCATTGTGTTTGTCTTTCCTTTGATTTTATTTATTTATTCTTTTAATAACCTTTTTTTTTTTTTTTTTTTGGCCTTCTTTCATTGTTATTCATCCCTCTGAGGTTCTGGCTTTAGGACTCCTTGTAGTATTTTTTGGAGTGGGGGTTTAGTTGTAATGAAATTCCGGAGTTTCTGTTTGTCTGAGAAGGTCCATATTCTTTCTTCAAAGAGGAAGGAGAGCTTTGCGGGATAGAGTATTCTTGGTTGGCATCTGTTTTCTTGGAGTCTGTTGACTATGTCCCTCCACTCTCTCCTTGCCCGTAGTGTTTCTTCGGAGAAGTCTGATGTCAGCCTGATTGGCTTTCCTTTGAATGTTATCTGTTTCTTCCCTCTTGCCAGCTTCATTATTTTTTCCTTGTCCTGGATTCTTGGGAGCTTTACTATTATGTGTCTTGCTGTATTTTTCCTTTCGTCATGGAAGTTTGGTGTTCTTCTTGCTTCTTGTATATCAATTTTCAGCTCCTTCTTCACATTTGGGAAGTTCTCTTCAATTATCTCTTTGAAAATTTTCTCTGTTCCTACTTCTCTCTCCTGTCCTTCTGGTATTCCTATAACTCTTATATTTCCTTTCCTCATGGAGTCAGATAGTTCCCGTAGTCTTTCTTCGTTCTTTTTCCTTCGTACTTCTCTTTCCTTTTCTGTTTTGGTTCTTTTTATTTCTGTGTCTTCAAGAGTACTTATTCGTTCTTCCATTTCATCTATTCTGCTTTCATTGCTTTTCCCAGAATTCTTTAGTTCTTCCATTAATTCTTTGATCTCCTGCATTTCTTTTACTTCCTTCTTTAGGGACTCAATTTCATTCTTCTGATCGTTGATTATTTTTTCCTTATCATTGTTTTCCTTTATGACTTCTGTCAGTTTTTTAATCACGGCAATTTTAAATTCTCTTTCTGGAAGGCTCAGAAGTTCTTCCAAGTTACTGTCGTTGCCATCTGGGGGCTGGTTTTCTTTTTGTGGTGTGCTTTTTCCCTGGGGAGTAGCTAGGTTGCGTGTGGTTCTTCTCCTCCCTACTGTCTGTTTTCTAATTTGCCGTATGCGTTGGGACACTGTGTAGTTGGGACTGGCCGGCATCTTGGGTGAGCTTCTCTGCTCCCCTCTGGTTCCTCCAGGAGTCATCTGTCAGTTTCAAGCAGTTTTTACTGGAGAAAGGTCCCTGTTCTAAAATGCCGATGTGGGGACACACTCCCCTGTGCGCCTGGTCTGCCCCGGCGGTGGGTTCCTGCTCCCCCTCTGGGCTTGGACTGCAGGCCAGAGGGGGTCTGGCGTGGGCGAACTTCCCCCGCTCACCTCTGGCTCCTGAGGAAGCCTTCTGTAGGTAGTCTTTACTGAAGAAATGTCCCTGTTCTAAAATGGCGATGTGGGACACACTCCCTGTGCGTCCAGTCTTAGGCACACTCTTCTGCGCGCCTGGTCTGCCCCGGCTGTGGGTGCTCGCTCCCCCTGTGGGCTCAGACTACTGGTCGGAAGGGGCCCGGTGTGGGCTAACTCCCCAGCTGGCCACTAGCTCCTTCAGGAGCCTCTGCTGGTTTCAAGTCGCTAGGTGGTGCCAGAGATCTCTCCTAGAGCCCTTGGGGAGCTGATTATCCACCCCGTGTGACAGGGAACAGAGCGGGGATGGTAGGGTACACCTCAACGGCTTTGGGGTGCTGTGTCTGCCTTGTGCCCCACCGTCGTGGGGAACGCACGCCCCTAATTTCGTGCCCCGAGTCTCAGTTCCAAAGCCCTCAGTTCCAGGACGTGGGCTGTAGCCTAGTTCAGTGGCGCGGGAATGGCGCCTTTTGAATCCCGCTCCCGTGCCTGGGCGCCTGGTTCCTGCTCACAAGGTGAGGGCCTCCGCGCGTCTCCCCGCAAGCCTAGGTCGCAGGTGCAGGGACCTGGGTAGTTGCGATCCGATCCGGATCCGCGTTTGCTTTTCAACCGCACTGCTTTTTCAACCGCTGTGCTTTTCCGCGCGATCCCATTTCCGCTCTGGGCCGCCTTTCCGCGCAATCCCGATCCCGATCCCGATCCTGATCCGCGTCTGCTTTTCCAGCGCGCCGCTTTGTGCAAGCTTACCAGCGGCCCGGGGCTTTGTGCTGGTCCTGGCCTCCTCCCCGGGGGCGGGGTCTCTCTTCAATGGCGCCTGGAGCTCACCTCTGAGGCGAATCCTGCAGAATTCTCCTCAGCTCCCGTTCAGGGGGTGTGGTGGCTGCAATAGTTCCTTTCCACTCCCAGTCCCGCTTGCTGCGTCGTTTGTTCTTGTTGGCCGTTTTGGTTTGTTGTTTTCCTCCTCTCTGCGGGTCGGAGAGTGCCGCCTCTGTGGGCGGGGGAGGGGAGCAGGGTTCTGCGCTTCCCTCCCTTCTAGTCCTCTTTTATGGCAACTTTCTTCTTCGGGCAGTTTGCTGGCGTCACCCGTTTATCTTCCGTGTCCCGGTTCTCACTTGGACCTGCTGCTTTTCCTCCCTATTAACTTTTTTTAATGGGAGATCTTACTTGCAGCGTCTCCTCGCCGCCATGTTGCTCCGCCCCCTCCTCACATCCTTTTTAAATTGGGCATAGCATTGAATATAATGAAGTAGTTTGACACAGGTAGAAGAAAGATTTGGATTTAAAAACCCTTAGTAGTGGAGTGCTATGGGTGCCTTGGTGGTAGGTGTGGTGTGATAACATACACCTGAAGAGGTGGGGTCTTATATTTATGAATCATATACAGAGATACAAACCAATGTTACCTTAAAAAGATACAACAAAAAACAAACCTTTAACTAAGGATATTAAACAACTACCAAATACTCCATTTGGAGATATGTTTGTGTACCTATATAGATAGCAACTATATATACATATATGCATACATACATATATAGATTTTATGTGTGGGGGGGTATTTATGCTCTTTCCAAATTATGTATATGAAAGTCACGGTAGGTTTTGCGGAAAAAATAAGGATGTATGAAATTATCAATATTTATTTTTGATTATATTTACTAATTTATAACAAGCATGATGTCAAGTACATCCTAACTATATCTGAGTCATTATCTCCTGCCTTGATTATTGCAGTAACCTCCTACCTGAACTCAATTTCTCTCTTGCTCTCCTTTAATCCACTTCCTTCATAGAAGCTAGAGTGGTCTATACACACACACACACACACACACACACACACACACACGCCCCTGATTGTCATGTCACATACTTAAAAACTTCAGATGATTTTCCACTGGGATAAAATCTAAACTCCGTAACATGGCTTACATGATTATGCATGAACTGACCGAGGCCATTCTGTACAGCCTCATCCAGCATCACTCTCTCGTCAAGAACATACTCTGGCTAAATGGCTTTGAACAAACAGCCCTTTTCTGCTCATGAACCAATAAGCCTTCAGTTCTGCCTATAACACTTTCCTCTGACTATTAACCTTGCTGACTCATTTCTTCTTCACTTCTACATTGAAATCTCACTTCTTTGGAGGCTTTCCTTGCTTTTGATGTAAAATCAGGGTGCCTTGTTTTAGTCTCTATTCCTTCCCTCTACTTTTTTTTTTTTTTTACTATATTTTATAATCTCTGTAAGGACAGAATCGTGTCTTATTTTTTTTTTTCATCACTGCATATTCAACATTTAACACAGTGCTTGGCATATAAGTGCTCAAGAGATATTTGAATGAGAACTGTACTAACAAGAAAGCAGTAGAATAGCTTCCTCTGGGAGGAAACTTTCTCAAATTTTATAGTTTAACTTTTTAAATGAAGAAATATTTTTATGAGGCTACCAGAAAGGGAGAGTGAGGGTAGAGAACAAAGCAGGCAGGAGCCCAATAGACTATGGTAGAAGACTAGGGGTGTCTTGGTAGTAGGTATAGAGTAGTAATCTACATCTGAAGAGACATGAATGTATACCTCTGTATCATATATAGTGTTGTAAACCAAAGCTATCCCAATTAAAAAAAAGACAATAAAAAGAGAAATATTTTAAAAATTTGGCACCAAGTAGAGAAAAGTATAATTATTAAAAAATTATATTAGTACTCACCAGCAATGCTCTTCCGCTTTTGAAGTATTGCCTGGTGGGGAACAGAAGGCAACTGGAATGATTCTGTAAGGATTTCAGAGTCATGATTTGCAGTGGTTCTTATAAATTCCATAGCAGCCTGAAGAACTTTAAGCTGCAGAGCAATAGCCATATCTAAAAACAGAGGACACAAGAATAGTTCATAAGTTATGTGGCCACTATTTTTTTTATTTAATGGATTTTTATATTCATATAATATATAAATTGCCAGTAATGTTTCATTAGACATAAATTTTAAAAATTACACCTGAAGAGGATCATAAAACAGTGTTGTAAACCAATGTTACATTAATGAAAAACATTTATTAAAATATTTTTATCAAGATGACATTTTGATGGTAGCAAACTTTTTAAACTGTCTTTAGAAGCAATTTTAAAGCAAATTTACAAATAATCATTATAAAAAATATCCAACAGAAAAATACTAGCTCACATATTTATTTCTTTTCATATAACTTTTAAAAAGTAGGCTTTTAAATGTACAAGAAAAAGTTTAGTCAGAAATTCTCAAGTTTTTAATTTCATATTTACTTTAATGTTTGTCATTAAAAAAGAAAACAAGAGGGTATTATTATATAACATAAGCCTTTCAATGTTGCTTGGTAAGAAAAACCAGTAGCTTCTTTTAATAATGTGTTCTGAATCACTAAATAAAGGTATTATTTTTTAAAATGTTCACCATTGAAAAAGTCTTTTTTGGGGGCCTCCCTGGTGATGCAAGGGGTTAAGGCTCAGCACTATGAAGCCACTGCAGCATGAGTTCTATCCCAGGCCAGGGAGATAACCCACATGGCACAGCAGACCTCCCCTGTCTCTCCTGCTGCTACCCTTTGTAGTGTATTTCAGTAGTTCCACTTGTTTTGCTCCCCACTCTGTCTCTGGTGATTGCTCTCACCCTTATGCACCTCTGGCCTATACCCCAGCTCTTATACGCATAAATAAATAAAATAAATCTTTAAAAAAAAGTCGTCTTTATATCGTTGATAGGCATCATCACACAATTAAGGATAAACCTTCAGTAAAACAGAAAAAAGAAAAAAATTTGGTTCAAATAACACTTTTGTTTATTTGCACTATACAACTCCCATAGGAATTCCTAAAAATTAAATCTTACTTTGTGTCTTCTTGTTTTTGCTATTTTGAAGGTATCCAAGAAGTACAATAAGGTCTTCAATAACTCTAAAATACTGTGAGCCTGAGGAACTGCAAGCATGAATTGTAACTGCTATGAGAAGTTGCTGTATATCACAAGCAAGCAATTTGTATTCATTCAAAGGAATGCTAAAGGAAAAAAATAAATAATTTATGACAAAGAGAACTAGTTTAAATTTCTGTTATGTGAGCATTCATTCATTCATGCATTCATTCAATATTATTCATGCTTACTCTATGACAGGTAACACAAATTGAATGCTAGGAATAGAAATAATAAAAATAAGAAAACTTCTTATAAGAAATAAGAAGCATCAAAAAGCTTATTCTTGCAAAAGACAAGTACAGAGATAACTACAAACAGTTAATGGCTGTAAATGTAACAACAGAGATTAATACAAGATACTATATGAACACATAAGGAGGTTCCTAGCTCAAACAAAAGATGAAGTTTTTTTGGGTATGAATAGGAACATTCTGATACTGCTTCTCAGGGGAATACTTGAATAAAGTAAGTACATGTGTATAAACTATAGTTATTTTAAGGATTAAAAGAAATAATAGATTTAAACATGTATTAATTATTTATAGGTACCCAGTAAATATGAATTCCTTCTGTCCCTCAATTTTTGACCTTGATAATCTACTTCAGTGTATGATATTAAGTATACATATATCTCTCAATTTACTTTTTCCAAATCAAACAAGAGTTAAAATGGCAATTGTCTTCAGCCAATTAATATAGTGGCATATAGGGATATTCAGTGAGCATATTTTTTAAAAAGTATTTAAAATAATAGTTTTAGAAGAAGCCTATAGTTAACACTTTCTGAGTTTTATTAATTTTATGTATTATAACCAAGACTAATTGTTTTGAGGAAATATAGTTGTTTGTATTTCTCATATGCCTAGCACACAGATCCTAAAACAGGTGCCTAATAAAATTTAAACTGAATTCTGTCTTGTACTCAGAGAGTTTTCTTGGCCTAGAGAATCCTAATAAAGATATGCACTCTGTTCTGTAAAAAAAAAAGATAATTCTTAATGTTTTAATGTACAATAAGATGGTACACTAGATTTATATTTTAACATTATGTTAATAAAAATGCAACAGTGCGTATCACAAAGGCAGACATTTTCACAAAGGTATGCAAAGTCCAAGTAAAAACATAATCTAACATTTTTTAAAGCTGTTCATCAACTTGGAGAGGAGCCATTTGCCAATGTACTTTCAGGTATCAGAAATTAATTGATGGGGGGCCTCCCTGGTGGCACAAGGGGTTAAGCAACGCACTAGGAAGCAATCCGCAGCCTCTGTAGTATGAGTTCGATCCCCGGCCGGCCAGGGAGCAACCCACATGTTGCAGCAGACCTCTCCTGTCTCGCCCTCTGCTCCCCTCAGCAGTGTGTTTCAGTCAGTCTGCCTGTTCTGCTCCCCACTCTGTCTCTGATGAATCCTCTCAAGCCGCCCCCACTATCCCACATCTCTAGCCTGTACCCCAGCTCTTGTATGTATAAATAAAAAAAGAGAAATTAATTGATGGTAACAGTGATACAGTGTGTTAAGGGTAGGATAGCATGGTGACTTTAAAACATACACTTTTGAACTGAGACTGATTCACTCTTAAATGCTGTTATTTACCAGCTGTGTGATTGTCAACAGGTTACTATATCTCTCTGATCCTCAACTGCCAATTCCTAGTGGGGATAATAAATTTTTTAAGACTAAACTGAAAGTTTGGTAAATAAATTTGAGGACACTTAATTTATTTTACTTGTTGTCAGGCTCCAAAGACTCCAAAATAGGTCATAGAAACAATTTCTTCTTAACCAAATTTTATTGAAAATGTTGGAAAATGTGCCCTTCCAAATGCAATTTAATTTTATCAATTTTGTAGGAAGTTCTTTGAAAGTATTAAGAAAAAATCAAATGCTTTAATGTAAACACTTATTTTTCCCTTCCCCCAAATTTTATCAGCTATAGCTTTATATAATACTTAAACACTTACTTTTTTTCTAATCCATTCAGTGCTGCTACCGTATTACATAACACATACAGCAGACCATTGTCCAACAACATATCTGCTAGCTTAGAACAAGAATTTAATATTTGGAGAAGAAGTAGCAGAGAGTTATGCAAGAGCATGTTGTCATATAGTGAGGTCTCTATTAGTCCCAGAATAGGAATAACAGACCACATCTGAAAAAGTCCCATATTTTTTATATCTTCCAGATCAAACCTATAATAGATAATATACAGTTATTAGAAATAATTAAAAACACTAGAAATAATTAACACAAAACAAGGAAAAATTATTGGAATATAAGCCATTTTCTTAACCTGATTTTGAAGGTCTAAAAAATTAATTTGGGGAAGGATTCTTAATGTTTTTTAAGAGCACAGAGTCCTCCAAAAATAAGACAAAAGGTATTACTTACAATCTGTCCAAGGCAAATACACAAACATTCAAATAAAATACACATACAATTTCATAGTTTTCATTGACTCACTTTAATTTGACTAAGACCCTTTAGGTATCCATAGACTCCCTGCCTTAGGGGACTATATAACAAGTGCACAGGAAAATAATAATAACAACAATAACAAAAGTTATTAATAATGATATTATTCAAAAAAGTATTTGAGACACAGAAACTAGTAAAAAGAAGTCTAGTAAAAGAAATCAATCCTGGGCCTCCCTGGTGGGGGAGTTAAGTCTTAGCACTATCAAACTATTATCAGTCACCAAGGCATAAGTGTGGTCCCCAGCCAGGGAGCTAATCCACATGGTGCAGCAGACCTCTCCTGTCTCATCTACCGCTCCACTCAACAGTGTATTTCAGCAGATCTGCCTGTTCTGCTCCCCACTCTGTCTCTGGTGAATTCTCTCACCCCTCCCACATCTCTGGCCTATACCCCAGTTCTTGTACGCACGAATAAATAAAAAAAAGATTAAATGACATGCAAGTGGAAAGTACTTAAAAAAAAGAAAGAAGGAAATCAGTCTTAAGTACTCCCTATACAATCTGTCTTGTGATGGAGGGAAATTATTTAACATTTTATACTTCACTTCCTTATCTGTCAAATATGTGTGATGATATTTGCCCTATTTTCTTCTCAATTCTGTTGTGAGATTCAAATGAGAAAATACAGAATTTCTATGAAAGAAGCAAAATCTATATGCAAATGAAAAGTACTATTGCCATTACTCTAATTAATAAGTAAAGTCCTCAAAATCTGAATTGATCTATTTAATAATAAGTAGGAGGCACTCAATAATAATAGGAAACACACTCATTCTATCATAAACTGCTTAACCTTTCTGGAAAACTTTTGCTATGGCAGAAAATATTCTGTTATTTTTGTACTTATCTAGCATCATAGCAGGGTCAAATCTCAGTAATCAGTATACCTAGAATTCCAGGTAAAGGATAATCTAAAGCCTATGAGTGAAGGGAAGAGCTTCTTCACTAGTTCACGCATGCAATCTATGGCTGAAAAAACACAAGTTCTTTTTGTTTTCAAGTAACCTTATGTTAATACTTTATATTAAATCTTAGCTATCACTTTCTTTTATCTGATGCAGCATTTATTTGTTTCCAGATAGAGAATACAAAGGAGAAGATTTTAGAAAGGATGTCATATGGAAAACAATAATTCACATGGAAAATGACTTTTAGTAGTTTTTTTTCTAAAAGTGACCAAATAATTTTTCTAATAGTGGGTTTAATATAGAGTGAGCGTAATAAATTTTACAGGTAAGACAAAAGATTCCCAATTACAGGGGAGGGAAGAACCCACTTACTCTTCATCAAGGCCAATACGTCGACGCAAAAACATTTCAATGAAGCATTCTAACAATTCCTGAGTTCCCTGATGAAGATACAACTGATTGGCTAGCAAGGAAAAGCCGCGATTCTTCAGAAATTTATCCTTTTGTTCCTTAGATGCTCTATTAAAATATGCATCTAATAACTAAGGAAAAATTAATACAATTTAGATAATGCATTAAAATTTTACACAATATATACAAATTATACAGTGTATTATACTTGCATTTATAAGTTATTGTCTAGTTTCATATGTACAGAACATAGAAAGTTAAAAAGAACGTCAACTCCATAGCAAAACAAATTGAACTTCATCTCTGACTACAACTGAATGCCATTGATGACTCTATCCTGAAGATCTTAACACTTGTCTGATGGGAAAATCTAGTTTTTAGGGGCACCTAGGAGATGTGTAATAGTAGAGTGGCAACCTTACGGAGTCTAAAGAAAATGTTTATGCCTAATCATGAAAGGGAAAAACCAGTTAACAATGTACTATGTACTCTATATTTGCAAAGAGAGCATACTTTCTAGATTTGTTCCTAGCATAATTTCTCCCTTAAGAGAGCTCTATTCTAGACTTTGGCAGATTATTTGTCCTGAGCACAGGCCTAAATTTCTACCCTTCTCTGGTATATTAATACAATTTGTAAAACCAAATTAATTACTTTTCTTTTTAAACTTACTTCTTCTATGGTTCCAACCTTAGATACATTCCCCTAGACCTCAAGGCTAATCTCACTTTTGCTTTTTTCATCCTGATTCCTCCTTCATTCTAGTGAATGTCTCTCAAATCTGTCTGTCTTTTGCCTTCTCACTTCCTTACATCAGGAACACATTATTTCTCCCCTGGAATACTGTGCTAGCCTGCTAACAGAGTTCTGCTAGCTCTCTCTCTCCAGCAATCACTCTCTCACAGTGGTGATAGACTACTCTTCCCAAAACACACATCTATTTACTGCCCTACTTAAAAAGCTTTCTAAGTTTACAGCATAATAACAAAATGCCTTTTCCATGATTCCTTTCCTGATTCCCCCATTAAAATTATTGCTTTTCTTATGTACCAACTCTTTTTTATTGATACTGTCACTGAAACACTCGTCATAGAATTCCTTACATCTTACTTAGCTGGATATTTCTCTTTTTCTCACTAAGTTATAAAATTCTGAATGCAGATTCACATCATTCCCCTTTATGTCTCACATATAGTAACCAGTCCAGATTTAGCACAGAGAATGGAAACTCAAAGAATACTGGATTGAACTGCAAGTAATTAATAATATTCTGTATCAAGACAAACTAAAGAAATGAGAATCTTTAAAAGTTCAAATTGTTATTGGGTTGTTTCCTAATGGTAATTGTATCAAACATTTATTCATTCAATGATATACTTAATACCTACAAGACACAAACTACCTAACCTCAGGGAGCTTATATTTCAGTGTGGGAGATTAAAAAAAAAAAGTAGAAAATAGATTTAAAAGTTACAAGATGTAACTAGGATGCTATGATAGAATAAATGAGAAATAGGACTAAAGGAACATGACTTAGTAAAGTTGTCAGGCAAGGCCGCTCTGAAAAGGTAACATTTGAGCTGATATCTGAAGTAATTATTAAGATTTGAAGCGGTTGAGCGCTGGGTTGCGAATGCCCGCGGCCTCTGCAGCGCCAGTTCGATCCCCGGCTGCTGAGGAGGGTCCCGCATGGCGCGCAGATATCCCTCAGCAGTGTAGAATTCTCTCAACTGTACCCATGCATGTATAAACGAACAAGTAAATAAATAAATTGATTTGATGCTATACTTCAGGAGACACTTTCCATGATCTATGTGTTCCTTATAACTGATAGACTTAAAATACATTAATATGAATCTATATATATCAGAAAGGCTTAAAATTAGATGATAATATATAAAAAAATGAGTAAAAGTAACAAACTATATCAACTCATTATTAGTAAGTATAAAATAAAGTTTTAGGTCCATTTTAACATATCTATTCAAATTTGAAATTATACATGTTTTTCTGAATATAAATATGATATCTAGTATTTGTCTTACTTTAATAACTCCTTGTTGTATAGCAGGTGATGGGTGGTTAACAAGGACTAAAAGTGTATCTGCTTGAATAAGCTTGTCCATCACATCTTCAAGCATAATATCAGGTAGGATGAGAAGAACTCCACTTAAAAGTTCATATAACCCGCAGCATATGGGCACCAGACAGTCTTCACTTACACTAAAACAGAGACCCAAAAAGTCTTACTTATCAAGGTGAAAGTACATGATGATCATCTTAAGAATTGTGATAAGCAGTAAAATTTTAACATAAAACAAAAATCCATAAGGTTTAAAAAACACTTCCTGATTTAAATATGATTAACAAATTTGTGATCACTTTTTAATCACTTATTTTTTGGGGGACTACATAGTCTACTAAACACTATTTTATATCTATGATGCTCAATATGACAGCCACTTGTGCCATTTGAACTATATAAAATTAAATAAATTAAATTCAGTTCCCCACCTGCACTAATGACACTCTCAGTGCTCATGGCACATGTGGCTAGTGTCTATTATATTGAATAGCACAGATAAGACATTTCCATTACTATAGAAAGTGTCATTGGACAGCGCTACTTGAGATGTTTTTGGAAACAGTAATAAATTATCTAATTTCCCTGAACTAAAGAGTGTTTCTACAATAAACTTAAGAAATTAAATAAACCATATTTTTTCTTAGAGAACTATTCGTGGTTTAACCATTGATTAAATATGTAATTCAATATTACTAAGTATTAAATGAGAAAGGCACCTTTCTATTTGTTAGTAATATATATGCTGTATTATGAGAAATTATGTAGGGCCTCCCTGGTGGCGCAAGGAGTTAAGATGCAACCTATGAGGCTGTCCACAGCCACTATAGCATGAATTCAATGTCACCGGCCTGCCAGGGAGCTACCCAAATGGCGCAACAGACCTCTCCTGACATGCCCGCTGCTTCCCTCAGCAATATATTTCAGTCAATCTTTCTGTTCTGTTCCCCACTCTGTCTCAGGTGAATCCTCTCACCCCCGGTACTTCTGGACTGTACACCAGCTCTTGTATGCATAAATAAATAAATCTTTTTTTAAAAAAAACGTATGTAATGAAGACATTTAAAGAAGTGTAGACAGTCTTCAAAGAACAGCATAAAAAGGGGAATGGGGGGCAAAAGCATGTAAGTACCTGTGAGCATTTGTTGTTTGGTGATAGTTTGGCTCATAACCAAGAGAAAAGGCAAAGTTTTCCCAATCATCAGTGTTCCTGTCAATAAGACTTGGCCAACGGCCAATGGTTGCAGATCCATTTTGTGAAGGAAAAGCTAGTCCTAGGCTTGCAACAGTGCTGTGGCTTTGCTGTAATGTGGGCAGTCCCTTCAGGTAATCAGGTCGGCGTGGACAGGACTCATCCCCAGGGCTGTCACTGTCTGATCTGGGTTCTGCTCCCAACTCTTTGTGATTTACTTTGGCCTCCGGAAATCTCAGTGTTCCTTTTGTGACACCATTGACAGGGGCTTGGGCTGAAAGGAGAGCTTCCATTTCACAAACAGTTTTGGCAGATTCACAGCTACTGATGGATACATCTTCTTTGCCTTTTATCAGTGTATCAGAACTGTCCAGATGATTCCGTTTCTTTGGTTGGGAAGCAGCACAATTATCTTGTAATTTGTCAATACAACCCAAACTTCCAGTCAGTTTTTGTTGTCGCATTAGAGGTGAAAAAGTAGGAAGCACTGGTAGGCTTTTAGAACGCTGCATGTTGGCAGCCATCTGTTGTGGAATAATATTGGAGGCATTGTTTCCTGGAAGTGTAGACAGAAAAATACTATTTAAGTGGGATCACTTCTTTTCTGCACTATCAGTTACTGCCAGAGCAACAGTCTGTTGGTCAAGCAATGTTAAGAATCTATATAGCTTAATGTTCCTAGTAACTAATGTTTAAAATTCATTTTTAAAAAATTGAGGTAAAATTGGTTTCCAAAATTGAATATGGTTTAGAGTTATAGGATCCTACCCTTCAGGTCTATGTTAACACACTGCACTCACCACCAGGTTATCATAAGTTCTGCTTAAGTTCCTTATGTATCAAAACTATTTTTCTTTTAATGATTTTTTTATTAAAATCTTCTAAAAATCTTATCTTCTATCTTTCTAACAAAATACACTATTCACTGAATGATTAAGTCATCAGGATTAATTACTGAGGTGAAACTGAATGAATTATGTAAAACTTAATTTGCCTCAGGCTACCAGTCACCAGGATGTAACTTCTATGCTAGATTGTGAGATTTGCATTTAGATAAAACTGGATTCAAGTGATAGTTCTGTTACTTGGTGATCTCAGGTTACTTATTTAGGTTAATTATTTAATTATATGAGTGCTAGTTATTGCAGATATAAAATGAGCGTTCAGAATATCTACTTTGCAAGGTTGCTGTAAGGATTAAGTGAGATCATATGTATGATACACCTAGCACACTGCCTCACACATAATAGGTGTTCAATTAATGGTATTTCTAGTCATACTTGTTGCTATTATTACTATGTTAAATGACCCTAGATCATTTTCTCTTTTCTCTGTTTCTGTAGTCACTTATTGCTGCTGTTAGTGAGAAGTAAGTTTTTTTCTTCTTGGTAGGCTTTCCAGTTTCCTGCTTCTAATATATGTGTAGGCAGAGAGCAGATAAGTCTTTCGTGCTGTGCATGAGATATATGTGAATGTTACTCAAGGTGTGGTCTATGAAACAGGAGCATGTGTCTCAATATAACCTGTGCGACTGCTAGATATACAGTATCGGGTCTCACATTATCTCTATAGAATGTATGACAGGGGTTCCAGGGAGCTGTGTTTTAACAAGCTGTCCAGGTGAATATTTTTTGTATTCTAAAACTTGAGAAGCACTGATATACAGCAAATAGGCACTGAACGAATTGCTTCAGAGCATAGGTTTACTGTAGTAATAAAATAGCTCTAATAGCACAGAAGTTTTTCCTTTTGAATGGAGGGCTAAGGATGCCAAAAAAATCTTTCAAAAGACCTGGGAAAAAATGAGGAAATAATTGTATATAAAAATATTTCAGAGTGATGAACAATAATTAAAAAAATAGGCTTTCCCATAAAATTTCAACTAAAATCAATTAAAATAAAACTTTAAAATATAATAAAAGGCCATAAAATGTACCAGAGAATAAGTATGGGCAAGGGCGGTTTGGTGAAGGGTAAATCAAAAATGTATCCGCAATAATTAAAAATCTAAAAAAAGAAAAAAAAAACTTGTGTTAAGCTAGAGGTTGGGCTGACAAAAACAGCAATGTCTCAGTATGGAAGCTATCAGCAGTCAGAAAAGGAAAATATATATGGCTAGATCACAACTAGATGTACCTATTTTTCCCTGTGAAAAGTAGAGATGAAGTAAACTGTTAGGAGTAATTTAGGAAGGTAGAAAAGTAGTGTAAGCTCAAGACTTTAATATATTTGTTATGGAAATAGAAGAGGGAATTGATTCTGAATATAGAAAAAATTACAGGGCACCAAAGCTAGTTACTGTTGGAGACCCTTGTAAAAGCAGGAATTCTCACAGATGACTCTCTAGCAGGAGGGTGAGGATGGTTACACCAAGTCAGGGTTAGGGTTGTACACGTCAAGAATGCCAAAGCCAAGAGGACGTGGAAACTGAAGAACATTATTGGCTAATGGAATCTAGACTGGATAGGGTAAACAGGCAGAGGGGAAGTTGGGATGGTGATAAAGAAATAAATAGGAGATTGTTATTCCAGAGTGGAATAGTTTCAGAGGTGGGAGGTGTTCTTGATATGATAAAGACCAAGAAAGATGAATGTAGATAAAGGAGAGGGAAAGGTCACCAAAGTCAAGGGCCATGAGATGGAATATTGAATGGTGATTCATGTGGCAAATGAAGTTGTATAAAATGAATACTTTAGGCAGAACAGAAAAAGTAAGCAAAAAATTTTTTTGATGGTATCAGCAAAGTAAGTTAGAAACTTTAATGAAAGGCAAATAATTATGATAAGAGGAAACAGAATTTGAGGGCAAGATAACATGAGCCTCATAGATTCCCTAAGTTCTCCTGAGTATCTTGTTATATTGAGGGGGAGTTACTGATACCACAGAGTAGTGAGGTAGATTCCTTAAATATAGTCTATAATTTTTTTAAGTTTAAGCTTCCATTTATTTAGTCTGAATATCAGGTTATACTATACTGCTGAAAGATGTTTAATTAATCTATTAATATTCAGAATGAAATTGGGAGGAGTTATACTTTCATTATAACTATTTTTTTTTTTTTTACCTTCAGGTGGTGAAGCTATAAAACTAGATGGGCTTATTACCATAAACCCAGGGCTATTAACAGACTTTCCTCCACTGCTGGAATGCCTCAGGTACATGATTGACTGTACTTTCTCCTGAAAAATCTTGCCATCTAGAATTAAAAAATAAAACAGAGACATTGAAAGACCAAAACAAAACAAAAAAAAACCTTTAAAAGCAAATGACTAAACACAAGATTTTACAAAAAGAAGTTCAAAGAGGAAAAAATACGGCATATTTTATATTGATGCACACTTGATATATGAGCACTTATATACTACAATTTTTACCACATATTTATTTGTTCACACTTAATTGATCACGTTAACCATATTCTTTGAATTCCAACTGTTCTAACAGTTATTTCTATAGCCTAACATTTAACTATTCCCTTTTTGTATGCTAATATGATCTATTTGAGAAGATTTTTCATTCCTTGAGGAAAAGACTATGTCTTATATTTTAATATATCCTCTTCAGTATCCAATATGACTTCATAATTGATACCAACAGCTTAATCTTCTTTTATGAGTTTCAAATTTAAATCTAACGGCTTAGCTTCTTAAATGCACCACAAATGCAACAAATATAAATGTGAGTTATCCTTTTTTCCCTTTCATTGCTTCTGCTTTGTTCTCTGGTTCTTTTGGCAGAAGTATCCATTTCCCATGTAGAAACCTGTTGTCACCCCTAACAACTACCTTCCCTTTATCCATGTCATGTCTGTCTTCAACTTCTATTAACCTTACTTCTTGTTTATCAAATGTTTCTCATCCCTAACATAGCGCTATAATGTAAACTCTTATCATCTTTTAACTGAATTATTGTCACATACTTCTAAATGGCATCCATGATGGACATCTGCTCATCCTCAAATCCTCATAGCTACCAGAGTTCTCTCTTATCAAATGTCAAGCCCTGCTTAAATCATTTCAGTGGCTCTCTGTTGCTTCCTTATCACTCTGGAGAAAGTCTAAGCTTCTTATATACAAGAATCTAGATGATCTGTCACCAAACTCCTTTCCAGCTGTGTTTCTTACATTCTACTTCAGTATCACCAATTTCTCATAGCACCTTGTCTAGCTGTTTGCTTTGCTTGGAACATCCTTCCCTTCACCTCCTATTCAATCTTTAAAACTCAAAGGTAGGTATCTCCTGCTCCAGGAAAAAAAGTCTCACCATGCTTTGTGCTACTGGCAAATGAAATATTTACTTCTATATAACTGTACTTTCCACATAGTGTAATTATCTGTTTATGTCTCTCTCCCTTATACTAGGTTGTAAGGGAGGGAACCATGTCTTATTCATCTTTATAACTAGCCTGCACCCAGAATCTTGACAACACTTTATTTATTAAAATGTGTGCTGAACTGAACATAGTCATACTATCTAATTTCTTTTGGAATTTTACTGCTGCTGAACCATTTATTTCATTTACTACATCCCTTAAAATGGCTATGTTATAATCAGTTTTCCTCTCTAAATTTACCATCTAGCTTTTTCATAGTTACATTCTTGCTTGCTCTATTATCACATATTTTCCTAGTTCTTTTAAAACTCAGATTATTCCATCTTATACTGACTCCTCTTTCTCATCTCACCCTCTAGATAGTATAACTACTAATGGTTCTATACTTAGCTTCCATTTTCCTTTTTTCTCTCTACACTTTTCTTCAGTGGCCTCCTCTATTCTAAGAGTTTTAACTCACTTCTATGCTTCTCTTCCCGAATTCTACTGCAACAACTTGGCTGTATCATATCCCATTGCTCAAAACAGTCACAACAACAACAACAAACCCTTTAATTACCTGTAACTAGAACACAAGTTCAAATTTTCTGGCTTTATAGACAAGGACCCACTTAATATGACCTTATGGGGTGGTGCCTAAACTATGTGATGGTTCAAAACTAAATTTATGGTGCTATTTCTTACCATTCCTTATAGATTCTCTATACTTAGATGAAATTTATTATTCTTTCCTATTTTTATTTTCTCTAAGTCATGCTCCTTACCTGGAATGCTAATCCTCTAATCTACTTATCACATTCTACCTAAATTTTTCAAAATTCATGTCAGATACCATGTAACCTATTAAAAATCTTCTCTCTCTTCAAACCTGATGAAACACAAACTTTTCTGAAATCTAATTATTTCTGCTTTTGCATCTATTAGGTACTTACCAAATGTTGTTTTTTTACTAATAGCTATTTAAGTATATGTCTCCTGCTTCCTCTTGGCATTTAAGCTCTCTGAAGGCAGAGACTATGCCGGTTCACTTTATAGCCTTCTGCTCTGTTCCATTCTTAGTCTGTACTGAGGGCAGTTTCTAGCACATAGAGGCCATTCAATGAATATCAGACAAATGTGCATCAAGCAGGAAGAAAAAAATGAAAATGGAAACAGCCAAGATCTAACAATATGATTATACCTACCTATATGCAAAGAAAAGTAGAAGTTTGTGGGGTTGTGACAAACATAAGTATTAGTAGGAGGGTGAACTGCTAAAAGGAAATTGAAGACAATTGTCAATAATTCCAAATCTGGAGGAGATCCAAGGACTTCTGCTATAATTTTCACAAATGATTTACAAACCTCACGGGGCATGGATGTAAGTTGCCCCTCTTTGTGTTCCTGAAAAAATAAAAATCAAGCTCTCTTTAGATTTAAAGAGAATTGTCAACTAGCATTTTTAATTTAAGCAAGATATTCTTTTTAAGGTAAAACTTACATGTCTGACCATGTTTACCAATAAATTGAGTGCTATTTCTCATCTTCAGCAATCTTGCTATTAAAAACTTGTTAAAACCAGTGAAAAGTTTATTCTAGCCCATTTATCTTAATTGAGGCAAAATTATTATTGTACTCATAAGCATTGACTTAGAAGCCAAACTGCCTTTGTTTGCTTTCTGGTTTCTCCATTCACTGGCTGTCTAGCATTGGGCATGCTGCCTAATAGCTTTATGCCTTGGTGTAATATTAGTGCTACATCATGGGAATAATTCTAGTGCTAGTTTATAGGGTTGTTATGAAAATGAAATGACAACTCTTAGAATAGAACCCTACATACAGTAAGTCCCATATAAATGTTAGCTACTATTAGAACTACTATACTACTACTACAATCACTGCCACCATCACTCCTGCTATTACTATGCTACTATGGGATCAGAAGGAAAAATTTCTGATAAACAAAACTGATTGATTAGTACATTTTGCAAATTTCTTTCTCACAATAGCTCTAAGACATTTGTTTTATCCCTCATTTTCTAGAATCTGAAGGTCCAAAATGGTTATATAACAGACTACACAGAAAACATGTAAGTAGTGAATCTATAATTAAAACTTAGATCTTTGAATTCTACTTATTGCATCACCTACTACAATGAGATCTGGTAAAGTGACAAGTAATCACTAAAAAGAACGATGAATGTAAATAATTCATATTCCCTAATTCCACCACCACAATAGATGGCAACTGGCCTCTGGATCAAGACTATGGACTATGGGAGGTAAGTCTCCTCCTGCTCCCTTTGCCTATGTCTAAACATGTGACATGGCCCTACACCCATTCTTCATTTGCTCTTGGTATTGCTGAATCAGAAAACTTAAAATCTAGATGTTAACTTTGAAATGGCTTAGTCTGACAACCTCAGGTTTAAGAAGAGAACACTAAGCTTACAGAAGAAAGCACAAAATCCCTTTGCCAAGATCTCATAACTGCCAAGTGGCCAAGCCAGGAACACATATCTACTGACTTCCAATTCAGTGCTATTTCTGATAGAACCATCTGCCTTTCTTCTAAATTGTACCCCTTGTATCTTCCCAGATGTCCCAGTTGCAACTTCAACTATTCATTCCTGAGTTCATCACAGCTCTTTTACTTCCTTCAATCTTGCCCCAGTGACTCCTTACAAGTCACTGATATTTTATTTTTAAAAAAACCCTTAAGCTGACCCATTGGGAATATTTTGTTAACATTCTGATTCTCTTTTCTCTAGCTGCTGGATTTTTAATTTATCATTTATTCTTACTCCTTCCTCATTTTCCACCATGCATGCTACCTAAAGTCCCTGAAATCTGGTTCTTGACTTCCTCACTCTCTGAAATTTTACAAGATGTTAAGAATGTCTAAACCAATGGTCTTTTACCTGCCACATTTTTTTCTGAACATCTATATTATTTGGCTCTAAAGATCACCCCTTTCTGGTCAGGTTCGTTCCCATCTTCCCACTTTCATTTTACTGAGTTTCCTGGTTCTTCTCTTTTGTAACTATTTTACTACTCTCTCTACATCTTTGTCAATAACTCCTTTCACCCTGTTTCACCAATTAAAATGGTTATTTTCTGAGGTGTGAACCTCAGTCCTTTAATTTCCTTTTATTTGCTTATATCGTAGTGTTTATCTGTCCCCATGACTTCACTATAAGATCAAAGCAGACAATTTCCAAATTCTGTAATCCCTTTTCTTAGTTTCAGTTTTTCACATCTAAGTGTCTAAAGGTCACTGCCACTGAATGTCCCACTGTAATTTCAAATGTATCAACTACAGCATGTGCATGTTCAATTCTTCTTTCTCTGGTGATGCTAATATTTTTCTAGTCTCACAGTTTGAAATTTTATATTATATGTTTGACTTTTCCTGCAGAGTTCATAGTATTGGGTTATTAAACAGAAATATCTCCAAAAATAAAGTTATATGAAAAGTACCTGCAAAACCTGACAAGTCAGCAAAAAATGATGAACCACTTGAGCTTTCAATAACTGCTTAATATTAAACATCTGCTGTTGGTGATCTGCTCTGATGAGGACCTCTAGAGCTGTTAATAGAGTTTCCCAAACACCTTGCTGAGAAAGAAAACACAAACAGATGCTAATTAGTACAGTTACTGAAAAACATGCTGCATGCTTTTTAGAAGATATGCAGTGTATCAGTTTAACACTGTGTGCATTTTCAGGGTCAAAGATTAAATATGTTGGAAGAAAAGCAACTATTAAAACTTATTTCCAGACCTTTTTTGTCAATACGTTATTTCTATATATTTATGCTAAATGCAATATTGCATTATATGTTCCTTTAGTATATTAATCCTTTTGTGACAGAATATTTAATAAATTATACTAAACAAATGGCAGTAAATTGAAAAAAGTCACTGACAATGTGAAAATTCTGCATTTTTGGATTAATTTACTTTTAAGTTCAAATAATAGAATTTTCTGCACAATTACTAACAGTGCATCTTCAAACAGTACTTAGAGTATCCTTTTAAGGTACCTTAAGATGCTTCTTCCATAATAAATCAATCTTAAATTATCCACAATAATAGATAAAAGGGAATCTTACTTCAATAACTTATTGAAAGATAATCTTCACCTAATTTTACCATCCCAAATGACCTTTCAACAGATGTCAAAAGAGTAAAATTAACTGACTTGTGTTGCAGGTCCTGATATTCTGCCATTATCAATGAAAAGACAAAAGGATTGATAGCCTTAATAATACTACCCTACCCAAGACATCTCTCTTCACGGGAGATGGCCAAGATGCCCTGTAAGAAAAATGGAATTTAAGATCCAGAAGACAACGCAGCCCAAGAATGAAAACTTGCTTCCTACATGGAAAATAATACCCAAATACAATACTGATAAACAACCAATAACAACAAAACCAAACTCAGTTTAAAAATAGTCAATTAGGAAAGATAAACCTTATTCAAATTCACAGGAGTATTTGTGTGCTTTACTTTTGAATTTAAAAAAAAAACCTGATTTCTAATCAAACAACCCCCAATTAGCATCCTCATTTGAAATACTAATTAAGGGCCTCCTTGGTGGAGCAAGGGGTTAAGCACAGCACTGTGAAGCTCATGAGTTCAATCCCAAAGGCCAGGGAGCTGCCCACATGGTGTAGCAGACCTCTCCTGTCTTGCCTGCTGCTCCCCTCAGTGTATTTCAGTAGATTTGCTTGTTCTGCTCCCCACTCTGTCTCTGATGAATCTTTCACCTGCCCCCACCCCTGCACTTCTGGCCTGTACCCCAGTTCTTGTATACATAAATAAATAAATCCTAAAAAAATAAAGAAATACTAATTAAACCCCACCTATCCACCACATTAGTTAGGTTTGATCTTCCAATCTACAATTAAGTTGACTGTCTTTGATCCAGTTTACATTTGCTATCACTATGTTCATTTGCTTTCTGTTCTTGCAACATTACACATACAACAATATACATGTTATTTTCACTTTGAAAACATTTAGAATGAAAAAAGAAATTAAGTTTTAAAAATTGACAAATACTACAAAATCCAGAAAAAAAAACCCAAGAATTTAGTTAGTTTTGCACAACTCTTCAACAATTTCCCTCTTTGTCTTGTGGTTGCATATCCCTTGATTGCCTCTTCTTATAAAATTAGTTTTGTTATATAATTTTCTGTAGGAAGAATAAAAAAAAACTATTTCCTTTGGCATGTTTGGTCAAAATTTATTTTATCAATGGTAGATTAGAAAAGTTTCGCTCAGCTTTACAACTCATTGATAATGAGTAAATTGTGGACACTGTTGCCAGATTTGGGAATAACCAATTTTTTAAAAACTCTAAAGGTATAAACTTTGAAAGTCTCTAATTATATTTGATGATAATGTTATACTCTAAGTATCTCAAGAAAATCTGTAGTCTACATTAGAACTAAAGGGCCTGCCTCAGCCCTTTTAATACCATGAAAATTGTTTAAAACCGGAACAGGAAGGAAACATCCCTATATTCATTCCCTGGCTGTGTCTTTATTAAGACTAGTCCATCCATCTAGGTATTGAGATTCTGTGCCTACAACTCAAATCAACCATGTTCTCCTTAGCTTATGTTTATGATGAAGTCAAGACTTCACAGGCTTGCCTCTCGACCCTAATGCATCCTGGGCATCTTGGTTCCCCTATCAGAAGTGTGTCCATTTCCTTCTCATTGACTTCATTCTCCAGGCCCTTAATAGACTTCCTTTTCAGAGTTTAGGGTAAATACAAGTCCCCAGTTGATTCAAATGAGCCATATCCCCCAACTTGAGTGCTGTTCTCGTTATTCCAGCCCAAGTTTTGATCCTGATCCTCCAGCTCAGTGTTACCATAACTCAAAATTTCACACAGAAACTAGCCTGTAAATTTCCATTTACAATTAACATTACATTGAAGTAGCAAATTTTTTCTGGTCTCCATAAGAATCATTAGATGGATATTTAAAACTATATATATCTTTATGCCACAAAAGAAACAATCAAAAGAGTGAAAAGGTAACCTACAGAATGGGATAAAGATTTGAAAATGATACATCAGATAAGGGGTTAATATTCAGAATACATAAAGAGCCCCTACAACTCAGGAAAAAAATCAAGTAACCCAGTTAAAAAATGGGCAAAGGACTTGAATAGACATCTCTCCAAAGATAAAGAAATGGCTAATAAATATATTAAAAGATATTCATCATCACTAATGATCGGGGAAATGCAAGTCAAAACCACAGTGAGATATCACCTCATATCTAATAGGATGGCCGCTATAAAAAAAAAAATAACAATTGGTGAGGTTGTGAAAAACTGGAACCCTTGTACATTGTTGGTGGGGTTGTAAAATGGTACAGCAGCCTTATGGAAAATAATATGGAGCTTTCTCAAAAAATTAAAAACAAAGCCTCCATATGATTCAACAATACCACATTTGGATATATATCCAAAAGAATTTAAACAGGATCTTGAAGAGAAATTGCAGCATTATTCACAATAGCCAAAATGTGGAAGCCATGTAAATATCCACTATAGATGAGTGGGTAAAGGAAATACAGTCTATAAATAAAATGGGATGTCATTAAGTCTTTAAAAAGAAAGAAAACTTGCCTCATTCCCTGTGTCATATCAATAGATGAAACTTGACATTATAATGCTAAGTGAAATAAGCCCATTATAAAAAGACAAATACAGAATGATGCATATATGAAATATCTGAAGTAATCAAACTCATAGAAACAGAAAGTAAAATCGTGGTCGCCAGGGACTGGGGAGCAGGAGAATTAGGGAGTTATTGTTTCATGGGTATAGTATCAGTCAAGCAAGATGAAAAATTCTAGAGATCTGCTATGCATAAAGTGGATACATACTGTACTGCACTCTTAAAAATGGTTAAGAGGGAAAATTTATGCTATGTGTTTTCTGCCACATAAAAAGGTACATGCCTCTGCTTTATTCCATATCTTCCAGTCAAGCAGTATCTCCTCTAGCAGTTTAACATCGTGGATTATAGCATGAGACTCTACATCCAATTTAAATTCTCCATTCTCATTAATATGAATAATATCTTCACCACAGCAACCTTCAAGAAGAGTCTATGAAAAATTAACATTAATACAAAATGTATTAGTAATTAATAAATTCAACAGAAACATTAAAATTTCAATCTTAGCAGTTAGAACACAAAACTCATAGGAAAACTAGAGAATAATTCAACATTTCGCAAAATATCTTTGCTTTGCAAAGCAAATCTAATAATTAGAAAAACCCAAACTTTTAAGTATTTATAAATGATTACGCTGTTTCAAACATGGGGTAAATAAATCATATTTTATTTTAGGTATGGTGTGGGGCTGTACTCCCAACACATACACAGTGTGGCAAACCAAGTTACCTCCATGAAAATATACAGAAATAAAACTTTACTACTTCCAAAAAGTAGTATAAACTCATACCACTAATATATGGGTCTTGATAATTTAAAAAGTTGGGACTGGGGGTATAAAGAGAGGCACTGTCTTTTGCCTTAGTACTAATACTGTTAGAGAAAACACTTTCACTATGCTACCAAATGCTTTAGCCATAAAGTATTTAAATATATAATGATGGCTGAGTCATAACAAAAGCTAACGTTGCTTTAAAACACTAACTCTATGGCAGCATTGTGTAATATAAAAGGCATAGCACTAGGTATCTGGAAAACTGGGTTCTCTTTTATTAACTATGGGAGCTGAAGCAAACAATGTGTCCTCAGTGTTCCATTTCATCTATCTACAGAATGTAGGGTCAGCCTAGCAGACACTTCTGGCTAGGTCTAAAATTCTACAAATGTATTTTTTTTCTTTTACTTTTCTAAAATGCTATGCCATTTAAAAAAAATCATTTGATTAATGAGGGAACTACTGAGTTTCCCTTATTTTCCTCAGGAATAACTGAAATACCAAATTCTATTAATGGAAGACTTTAATAAAGAGATAAGTATCACATCACATGAAATTATGAGGATAAATTTTATGATGACATACCTTTAGAATGTGAAAGCCAACAATACATTTTTGTTTGATCAACACCTGATGAATCATTGATAGTCCATTACAATTTTCTAATTCATGTATTCTCTGTTGGTTATATTTAATTAATGACAATATAACTCTCAATGATAATGCTTGAGTTTCTTCACAGTTACTGAGTTCCACAACCTAAAAAAAGTAGATACATTTTTTTCCTAATTTGTCGACAGTGAAAATTAAAAGTGTGGTTGTCTAACATTATACAATACGAATCCATCAATTTCATTTGAAAGCTTTTTTCGTCTCACACTTTGTAATTATTTAAGAGTTGTAAATAAAATGGAAAAACATAAATATCATGCTCATTCATCTCAAATATACTATACTAAACCAAAATAGCATTAACAACCTTGGAAGCAAGTAGCACTTTTATTGGTGATCTGAAATGTAAGGAAAATGACTCAATTTTTAAATAATTGGTCAATTACCAAATAGTCTTTGTTACTGTTATGTGCTATGGGAGAGAAAAAGAAGCAAAAGGTATGATACTTGCCCCCAGTGGGGTCTACTGGCTAGTCAAAAGATAAGATGGACACATAAAAACCATGAGCTATGCCTCGTACATAAAAGTCTGCCCATTGCTTTCTGACAACTACTACATACAAGAAACACCCACCTTATTCATGATAAAAGCAAAGAATGAGACAATATGAATGCCTGTGAGCACAGAAACTACTTCTGACTCCACTCTCTTTGGGTTAGGGAAGCCTGCATGGCCTGGAAAGAAGAGCAAAATCCTAGGAAGCAGGCAGGGATAAACACGGGCAGGAGATAGTCAAGAGAGGGGTACATCTGGGAAGCTGGAGGTTGTCTAGTTGGCTGGATGGTGGAGATTAGATTCAAAATGTAGGTTATGCAGGTAGGATTTTTAAGAAGGCTGAATTTTATTTTTTTAGGAGAAAGGGTAGTAACATAGTTTTTAAATTTTAAGTGTGAAAACATACTTTAAAAGTCTTATTGGCAAGATCTTAAAAACATGCAAGATAAAAAATAACCACTTTCACTAAGATCTGATAATGTTGACCTAATAATGTATACATAGTGATATAACAGTAATTATAACAAATTATGATTCAATAACTAGATGAAAGAGAAAAAAATCAAGGATATACGAAATCATAAAAGCAGATCACAAAATGTTGATAAGGAGTTAAACAAAGAGCTTTTAGTTGTAAAACACTAGGGTATTCAACTGGATACTAGGTGCAAAAAAAAGTTTGAAAAGAAGAGAGAAAGAAAGCAAGCTTAGCATATGGTGGTGGAATGCTAACAGTAACAACACACATTGACATGTTCCTTATTGTAATGTTAGTCAAAGGTGGTTTCATGAAATAAGAGTGTGAAAATTTGGTAATGTTGCAGAAGTTATACTTAGAGATAAATTTCTAGGATGAAAGATCAGAGTTGTTTTAATTAAACAAGGTTATGGACTCCAAGGAAGTAAACACAATTTATATTGAAGTAAGGCCATTTGTACCCTCCATTTTAGATTTCAGCAATTCCCTAGTCCTTGTAAACTTATTGACTGCTTTCTCCATGTCAGGAAAGATATAGTCCTTGCCGTCAGATGATTAAATAATGCAGATATTAAATAAAGTCAAATATTTTACATTTCCCTTTTTTAAAAAAACTTCATACCCAATTAAATTATTTTTGTCCTTATTTTTTGACCCTAGTTTTTTTTTTTTTAATTGCATCTGGAAGCTTCAAAAGAAAAATAAATTTCTTAAACCTTATTTTAAAGAATACATTCCCTCTTTATTGTTACTGTAGCATGCATTTTTTTTTCTTGTTGGCAATTTTAAATCTTGTATGTTTAACACTGCTTTAATTTTAATTTTGAATAGAAAATTTCTAAAATATTCATAAATTAGAAGAAATTTTAACACTGCATAGAATGATACCTGATTGGGGGCGGGGGGCAATCCTAATGTTACCTCAATTAAAATAAAGAAATAAATTTATTTTTAAAAAAGAAAGATAAAAAGAAGATGAAAGAAGAAAATAAGACTCCTCTACTTCATTTAGAAATTGTACCATGACTTTGTTACTCTTGATATTATGTTATAAAATATTATAAAATAAAATGGACTATGTTTGTAAAATAATTCCATGTGTGCAGAAAGCTTGATGACACCTTAAACAATGTTTTTGGTCTTAAAAATTTAATACATTTGATATATAACATTTTTTAATCATAAAGAAACCCTGAAATTTCTCAATAATAAAAAAACAGTTTCTCTTTAGAGAAGACTATATCAGTAATTCTTACCCTAGCAAAGAGAAAAACAAATATACCAGTTCCACCAATCTCATGCAGAATGCCTTGAATAGTTTTACATTCAGTAGGCTGGAGATTCTTCAGATGATGAGGTTCTAATAAGATGCTCTGAACTTCTTTTGAGCTGAAGGGTCTCTGAGAGAGTTGGGTTTTCATTTGACTTTTCAGTCTAATAACTGGTTCATAGATAGTATACTGAGCTGGAAAATAAGTTGTATAAACAACCGAAAGACTTTCCTGAAATACAAATAACATAAGTTAAAAATATAAAATAACAAATTAAAAATAACCTAAGTTATCAGATAAAAATAGCATGTTATCAAAATAACTTAAAAATAACATAAGTTTATCAAACAGAAAATAAATATTTCAAAGTGAAAAGACACAAATCTCTTTGTTTTAAAAAAGACAGATACCACACTAAACAAAGATGAAATGAGAAAAAAAGCAGCTTCCCACGAAGAACAAGATCAGTTTCATTTAGTGCTAATCAACAGTATAAATCACATTAAGACTGAGAAAGAATCCGGCTTTCATCATTTTGGAATAAACATGAAATTACACTTATTATTACTACTAGCAACACCTAGCTCTTACACCACACTCATTACGTAACAGGCACTGTTCTATGCACTTTCAAATACTAAAAATTACAAAATTATGTCTTTACAAAATTCTGAGGTAGGTCTCAGTATCTTCAAAATTTTTGCTTTGAATTTGCTCACAGACTGGCCACTCATTTAAAGGTGACTGCAAACCAAACTTTCAATATTTCTTCCATGCATAGGGGAGTTTCCAGTAGCTTCAGGCTCCCACTCAAGCTTCTATTAACTACTTTAAAAATTAAGGTAAATTTTAAATGTAGAATGTATTTTGTGGTGGTCTCAGTGAACAGCTACAGGAATTCAGGTTCAGTGCACCTTCTGTACATAAATGTACAGAACACACTGTACATTCAATGTATTCTCACAGAAACTTTGATCATTTTTCAACCCCTGATGATTTAAGCAGAGTTTTCTCAGGCATCACACAGCATATAAAACTGTCTATGCAATCTATTGTACATGAAATTGCTGGGAAAAACAAACTTTTAAACTTGCTATAGTTTTTATAAGAAAATAAAAAAGAGAAACTTTAGAAATCTAACTCATAGTTAATTATACATTCAATTAAAAATACATTCAATAAATATTCTATGTATAGTTACTATAAAGTTAAAACACAAAATGAAAACTTACAATTAAGAGACCAATGTCCACATCTTTCTTGGTCAAAAACAGTTCTCTGATTTGTTCACATTGCAAAATTTCTTTATTAATGTATTTGGAGTAGTCATTTATAGGTTTGCCGTATTTACATGGCATAATAGATGTATGGTTGGGGCCACAAGCATAAAGATAAAAGGCTTCTTGTGAACCAATCTTAGCTCCTAAATAGCAAAAAAATAGTTACATGTTTAAAACACTCCAATGAGGACTTTTCATACAAAACAAGAAACCAAGAACTATTTTTCTCTCATATTCTTTTAGTTGTTCACTGTATTTTATGAAATTGATAAAACCCTAAATTTCCAAGTTGGTGCAATGTAATTATGGATGGAAGATGAATTAAGGTATATGAAGTTAATTATGAAGATCCTGAAAAAGTCACGAAATTTTCACTTGCTTCTTAAGCTGGAAAACAGGTTTTTTGCTTTGCTCTGTTGCTTCTTTTTTTTTTTTTTAACGAATGGAAACTATATCTCAGCAAATTCCATTTTAAAATAAAATATGAATTAACATGTTTAAACCTATCCTTTCATCTATCTACTCAATAAACATTGTCTGAATGATAGTACAAGACAGGTTTTTAAAAATATTTGTGATATATTTTTAAAAATCATGTATTTCTTGCCCCCTAAAATTTGGTAGTTTTATAGAATACACTGAAATTTTAAGTAAGAGATAGCTACTCTAGGTTTACCTGGCATAATACAGGATTATAATGTTGACTTAACATAAGTTTCTCTTTTGGAGAGTAATAGGAGTAGGATGTGCATCTCTCATTTAAATATATATCAATTGTGAGAAACATCTAGATTATAAAAATATCAATGCATTTTTGGAATCTACAAATTACAGTAATTATTATGCACAAGTGAAGAAGTAGGAATTAATATTTTATCCAAGATAATTTGCTCAGTTGAATACTTGTTAACTGAAAGAAAAATTTGGAAATGTTTGAAGAAGGAAAAACATACCATTGAAGAGGAGTAAATTTCCCAGGTCCCATTTTCCAGACAATTGCAAAAAGTATTCTTGGGATGATAAACAATGGCCGATCATACAAAAGGTTTTATTGTTATCAGATGACAAACTTGTTTTCCTTGGAAGCATAAAATCCAAAATGACATCAGGTTTCCTGCATTTTAAAAAAAGTTAAATTAATAACTTCAATTACCAGTGAGGGCTAAGTATTTCAAAAGTATGAATGTTAATAATGGGAAATTCTTGAATAATTTTCTTGGTTCTCTATCAAGTATTTGGTGATGGCGAGAGAGAGGACAGATTCTGTTTTCTCTTTGTCCAAGCCTCAGAAAGAGAGGAGCAGAACAAAGATGCCTGACGGTCCTACACCAGGCAATGGGAAGTGTGACCAGACATTTGCTACAAATTTTCTGTGCCATTTGACTTTTGCATATGATTTCCCTATTTTACAGATACAAGTCAGTCATATTTTCTTAATTTTACCAAGATGTTTTCCCTCTTAGTAAACAATTCCTAAAATCTAATGTCTTCTATGAGGACTTCAAAGACTAATCAGAATAATCAGAAAAAGAGTATTTTCCAGGTTTTGTTCTGACTAGTCACTGAAATGTCAATTCTTTTTTGTACCTCCAATATTTTCAATACCAAGTCATTATAGAATTTTGATTAGTCACTTGCTTTTCTTCACAAATGAAGGTTATAGAAATCCTTATAAAAGACAAAGTAGAAAAAAAAGTAAACTAAGGCTTTCTCATAAAGAAACACACGTGACTGGTGGACTTCACGGCCTAGTTAAATTGCAGAGTGCCAAACTCTACATTTACTTTAGCAATGTTTTAAACTCCATGCTAAGATAATGATAATGATCAGGGCAAGGCAAGATAATAATAAAGACAAAAAGTCCAGATAAAGTTTGTGAATGAGGTAAAAACAGAGTAGGCTAATATGGTTAGCTTTTAATGACAAATTATATATTTTTATTTTAACTTTCCCATAAGGCTATATTATGTTTTATATTTAACTATTTTAATAGAAGTATTTAAAAAATAAAATACTTGAGATAATTCTATGATATATATCTCTTTCTTGGACCAAATAAATGACTCTGCTGAAACACTACAGCCACCTAGTGGCAGTATGACTTAATACAGTTTTGAGGATAAAACCTATCACAAATAAGATTAATGCAAGATAAATTCAACAAATATTAAGTAACTACTATGTACCACATATTCCTATTAGATTTGTGGGATGTTACTGAATAATAATTAGCATAAAATATCAATAATTTTTCATTATCTGTGTATTACTAAAAAATGGTCTCTAGGGTGAGTTATGTCATTCCGCTCTGGGTCTCATTATCTCATATGTAAAAATAGAGATAATAACATATCTACTTCATAGTGTTGTAGGGAGGCCTAAATGAGATAATCAGTATAAAGTGTTCAGGCTCAAGAAAGGAGGAGCACAGAATCTAGAAGAAAAAGGGGGGTCTCTATTCATAGTTGCAACCCCAACTCCAAGTGATGTTAACTAGATTCTGGAAACAAATTTACTTATTTACCATAATGGCATTCCAGCTTAGGCAGTTGTGAAATCTGAGAAAGGTCTTCCTCCCTCTTGCTAATGGCAAGCTCCATCTCTTCCTTCAGGTCTCAACTTAAGTATCTGTTCCTATTGTACCTCTCTGAAGTAGCAAACCTGGTATTTTCCATGTTGGGACCTATTTGTTACCTTTACAATCTTCATAATTTGTATAAATTCATTCAAATGTATTTGCTTATTACCTGCTTTCTCACTGGACTATGAGTTCCAAGAAGGACAAGAAACGTGTCTAGTTTACTGCTGCCCTAATTCCTCAGTAAATAAATGACGGATGAACAAATTAATGAATGAAAATAGGTTCATTTATTTGGGAGATAATGTATCTAAGGCAACTAGCAAAAAAATCTGCAATATACGGATGCAGTACTTTATGGTCCATTTGATTACGTCTAGACGCCTCATCTTGAAGTTCAAAGCCTCCTGTCTGGTAGCTTCCCCATATACATTTATTGTTCTTTCTCCTTATTCAACTTAGACTCTTCTTGTCAGCTGGCTTGATGCTTTCCCATGCTACAGTGGTTTCCAATTTGGTACCCTCTCTCACACTATCTCAGCAAAAAAGCACTTTTACAAATCCCAGATACCTTATAGCTCTCCTGAGATTAAACTTCACATTAAGATATTCTACAAAATGTTTCTTACTAACCTGAGCTTTTAAGTTTTATAAAAAATAGGATACTATCCATACTCACTAAATATAAATTAAAAAATCAGTGAAAATCACATTTAAAAAAAGTCAATCTCTATTTTGCCTGATTTTATCATGTGGTGTATTTCTAGGATCCTATTTAATAATATCAGCTTATATTTTTCTCTAGTCATCCTAATTTCACTTGAAACTCTGATTTGACTTGGCCACTTAATTTAAATAATTCTTATGGACTCATTTTATAATATGTGGATTTAAAGGACCAAATTATAGGTTCTGTTTCATGCCCTACTATATATATTCTACATACATGTCCAGCTGATTGGATTTCTGCAGTTCTCCTAAACCCAGACACTCATTTTCAATAATTACTTTTCTATAAAAGTAATAAATAGGAAAAAATATGCAGCTCTGACATAGATTATGACATTAATAAATTACATCTATAGTTTTCTGTTTCAGAAGCTCTAATAGGCTAATGAAATTTAAAACTGTAACTGAGGTTAATAATTATTTACCAAAAATGTTTCATACCTCTGTCCAGAGACCCACATCGAGATTTTTCCATGGATACTTTTTTTCCCTTGGGGCTGCTGCAAGTAGGTGAGGACTAAATGTTGCCATTTGCTTGGGAGGAAAATATTTCCCTGTGATTCAACCTGTGCTAGTAAAACAGCTTTTGTATCATCATTTGAATCCATGCACACACTACACAAAAAGAGAAAAGGCATAGGCTGAAAACATGAAATTTTGATCTCAGTATTTAACACAGGCATAACAACCATAATTCTAAGTATTTGAGATAATCAATACCGAAAGATAAAAGTGGCACTATGGGGGTCAGTCCACACTTGGATCATCAATGCTTTGGATCCCAGTGAAATCATATGAATACAACCTTCTTCTATGAGTCTATCACCAGGATTTATGTACTCTGCACCTTCCAGTCTGTTGTTCTCTGTGATAAAAACATCAGAAATATCAGTAAAGCATTTGATAAATATTGAATGGAAAAATCAATTTAAAAAAATATAAAGCATGGTTGTTCATTTGTAGTAAATTATTTACCCAGAGTGTTCCAAACAACAATATTTCCAAAGTTCATATGTTAACTCCAAAAAAAGCAGGAGTCAAAACAGTAATTGAATGCTTTAAAAGTTATTAAATGTTTTATCAGGGTGGGGGTGGCAATTGTATGGGAACTATAACCAAGTTGAAATTGCATACATTGTGCAAAAATGAAAAATGATGTAAAAAATATACAAAATTTAAAAAATAATAAAAAAGTTATTAAATGTTCTAAAATATATGAAAACTGAGGACTAGTTACAGGCATGAATAAATCAATGGTGTCACCACCATTGATTTTTATAATCTGTGCCTAGTGCATTTAATCTTTACCAATTGGATTGGGTTGCTCTGTTAATCACAGTTGAGTCCAAGGACCATCATCGCTTGCCTTGACTGACAAAAATTCACCTTGTAATTATTATGATGGCATAATTTAAAAACAAAATTGATGATATTAAAATTCCTTCAAAAAATTGTGATGTTTGAATGTATTGAATGTATTCCTTGTGTAAGTTCCCTGAGAAGTGGTCTTTGAATATAACATTAAGTGAATATAACATTAAGTGATTCCAAAAATCTAAAATGTTTCTTTAAGGCAAATTACTAAGGTAAATGCCGATGCTTTGGGCTCTCTGGTTATTCATCCTTCCTTTTCCTTCCCACCACTTAAAACTTAGCACTACCTAAATATTTATTATGAGCTGAATCTTCAAACCATCTATGTTACCTTTTACTATGACTCATGAATTCACATAAATACGTTAATTAAAATGTATCAAAATACAAAATGCATGTGTAAGGCTCAGACTTATAGAGAAGATGAACACAACCAGTTATTAGACTGCATATATTTATTTTAACTGTCATTTTTCAACAGGTATTTGAAAGAATACCAATTTTTAAGAAAACTCCCCCTTAGCAATGTTAATAGTCTTTAAAAAGAAGAATTAAATCTACTGATTAACTTAAAGACTATTGCCTAGTATATAAGAATACTTTTGTATATATACTATTGTATATATACTATTTTGTATATATACTATTGCCCAGTATATAAGAATAAAGAACTCAAATCTGTTGTGATATTAAAAAAAGTTTTCAATTAAATCTAGACTTGTAGAATTAAAGGAACAAAAATATACCTAGGAACTACAGAACAGGAATATTACAAATACTTCTTTATTTAATGCTCATAATAATCTTATGAGGTAAAATTTCATCTCTGGGGGGGGGGTGACAGAATTGAGATGTTAAGATGTTAAATAATAACATTTAACATCTTAAGATGTTAAGATGTTGTTTAATGGTGCACACATGGTTTAGTGGCATAGGATGTGCTATTACTTGCAATATTTTCTTCATCTATTCAAAATTTTGTACTATTTTAAATGTTCTTTTTGAATGTTTATGTACAATTAAAATGTTTACTAATACATTTTACAAAAAATATTTTAAAAACTTTCATAATACCTTTCTCAAGTCATTGTGTATATTTCTTCATTATTATCAAACTATTTACATTGGGATTACCCCACTTAAAATATGAGAACATAATCTGCACAGTTTATAGTGTAGTAGTGATATTTAAGGCCTGGAATGAAATACAGGTGGGTTTAAGGCCTTTTCATCATTATGAGCTATATAAATTGGTTATACTATTTAACTTTATCTGCAAATACAGATAGTGTGAACATTTATCTTATTGAATTTTTGTGAAGATTAAAAATGTATGTAGAAAGAGATGAACCAAGTGACACATACAGAAAGCACTCACTGTACCTTAGATAGCATATCAATAACATCACATGTATGTTGTTTGAGAGCTCCCATTTCTTGGGGGTAATAAAATTCAATTCACAAAGAAAAATGCTTAAACTACCTGAAACATTATATATTCTCTGCCAAGATATTTTAAAACTTTGGCTTTCTAGGCTAGCCCTTAAAAGTATTTAAGTATGCTATGCTAATAACATGGAAATGTGTCTGTGGGAAAGTGGATTCAGAGTTTAAGTTGTGGCTATTGGGGACATTTCCCATTCTGCAATCTTGACAGCATTTTTTAGCACTTCCCTTTCCAGCTTATATCAGCAAGAGAAGACCTTCTGGAAACCAGACACGAGTGAAGGCCTTGTGTCCTAAAGCACAGGCTCCAGCAAGCTGGATAAGCTTCATGGGAGGAGGAGTTTGGGGGGCCAGCACCTCCATATAAGCATAGCCCCTAAACTTCTGTCTTTTCTAATCCCTTCATTTACTCCGTGGACCCTAAGAATAAACCTACCTGCTTTACTTCCCACAGCCATAAACTATTTCTTGATAAACATGTTCTTTCTGTGCCAGTCATACAAGGAACAAGATGTCATTTGACAGCAGTATAATAAGCAATTCTTTAGTTATAGAAAGGAATGAAATTTATCCTGATTTTGGAGAATTCCTAATACATTTAAACATTCTGTAACAGGAACTGAAGAGGAGGACTGAGGTGAGGTACAGAATGAGGAGAGCTTGAAATAAAAGAGAGAAAGGCAATGGGATGAGGCTGACTATAGGGGCCAGCAAAAGGTAGCAGAAGGAAGGAAAAGTGACTAAGGATTTTATCCTTTTCTCATTTTTGGAGTCACTCTAATGCAGGAAAGAGGCAGGAGATGGGGCTAGTGATCCCCAGAGGAGTTGTATGTGTTTGATCTCCCCTCAACTCCTTTATACTCACACATACACACAAGGCTAAAGTACAAAAGAAAATGGAGTTTTCAAGGTTATCTGACAATTCAGGTTTTCATAAGTGAACTGCTATCACTAAGTAAGGTATTTAAATTGAAGAACTATTAAGAGTAAATTAGAACAAGGTTCTTTTCTTACTGTTCAACCAAAATTGCCATCTGAAAATAGAGCACAATTCAGATAAAGCTATCATACCTGTTCCATCAAAACTATTATCACGTAAAATTAATGATCTGCTTCTCTTCTTCATCTTCCTTCCTTTTTCAGTGGTACTCTCAGTGTCATGGGCGCACTCCACATTAAACCACAGTGAAACACTGAAGCCTTCTGACAGGTGTGGCCAGCAGTTTTGTCCCAACAATGGCAGGTGGACTGGGGCTATGTGCCAAGAGGAAAGCAGCTGCTGGGGGAAACTTTCACTGTCAGCCTCTTTCTTACCCCGGGAAACTCGTGCTCTTCTCAGTAATCCCATGGCCTTACTATTTAGAATCCCAGGACACTTTTGTGATGAAATGCCATTGCTTAAATTTGGGGTATGCAGTAAAGGGAAGGTTAGATACTGTGAAGGACTCATAATAATATCACTTTCAATAATTTTCAGAATACCCAGAAGAAGAGTTTCCTGGAAAAAAAGTAAAACAAAATTTCATAATAATGTTACAAAGTACATGATTATCTTGAAGTTCAGGTTATAAATGAAAATACAAATAAACACACACATATAAGCATTCTTATTTAAATATTTCAATCTACCATATCATTAAAATTTTCCTTTTTGTGTAGTTAAGATGAAATATGAAACACAGATTTCCATTTTTAAATTTGTAATCTCCTGCTTAATTTGTTGTAGAATTAGATGCTCTTATAGTATAAACCTAAAATTAAATACAATGTCAGGAATCATTTCTACTGAAGAAAGATGTTTATTTCCAAGTAAATTATAGTCATTTCTATTGATAATTTTTGAATGAGTGATAGAACCAGAGACCTTACAAATTCTCCAGATTTCTGAATATTTATAGCATGACATATAATAAAGTTGAGTGGTCCATCACTTTTCAACCTATTTTATATGCTTTTTCTCTAGTCAAAATATTTTTTTTTGGCACCTCCCTGGTGGCACAGGGGTTAAGATGCAGCACTATGAAGCCACCCCAAGCCACTGCAGCAGGAGTTCGATCCCTGGTCAGGGAGATGACCCCCATGGTGTAGCAGACCTCTCCTGACTCACCTGCTGCTTCCCTTAGCAGTATATTTCTGTCCATCTGCCCGTTCTGTTCCCCACTCTGTCTCTGAATCCTCTCACTCCCCCCACCTCTGGTCTGTACCCCAGTTCTTATATGCATAAAATAAATAAATATTTAAAAAAATCTTTCACTTGTGTATACTAGATTAAAATAACATTTTTGGTTTTATTTATAACTTTTTGGTTAAACTAAAATGTAGAAAGTATAGAAAACAGAGGAAATGAGTAATTGAAGGGAAGAGCAATGATTAAGAAGACAAGTGAAAAATAAAAAAGGTTAGCCTAATACAATCATGCATAAAACAATACCTAATGATTTTTATGAGAAATGCACTCAGAAAATGTAATAGAAACATTCTAGAAATATATGGTCAGTTCTTAAGACACTAGTGGTTTTTAACTTCATGATCTACAGGGTTCCCTAGGGCCTGCAGGGCTGGAATGGAATGATAAAATGGCAGAGTTCAGGAATACCCAATCTTGCTTCAAAGAAAAGATGCTCCAAGGTATTCTATTTGCTTATGCTTCTAGCAAAGAATTCATTATAAAAATGGGTTTCTTAGCAAAGAACAGTCTAAAAGTTATTAAATTACACTGGTGAAAAACAATGATATAAGATAACTGAAGAGTGAATAATAATTTTCTAAAAAAGTATAATCCTCAAAATGGCTATAATTACTCATAATTAAGTTCTCTTCAGTAATTAAGATCATTTACCATTTCTTAAGCACAAAAATTGGGGGTGGAAAAGGTGATCTATCTGGTTAGCCAAAATAGAAGTGAAGTGGATTAAAAAAAAGTGCAAATAATAAATTGAGAACCTCACATATAACAAAGAATTGATGGTACAATAATTACCACATCAAAAGTGAGAGCTTAGTGATTTCCAAATAATTTTTAAAATATTCTATTAGGTATCAGTGAAAAAAATTTAATTATAGCATATTTACTATACAAGGAGATTTCTCCAGAAATATTCTCAAAAGAAGGGTTAGCTCTTCTGAACATGTTCTTGAACTCATCAAAGATACCAAAAGGTCGACCAATACTCTCTGGCATGCTAAATTAAAGAGAGAAAGGGGGGAAAAATTAAAGTCAATACACAATTAACTAAAGGAACATAACAAGCAATTTCACTGAAAGAGATAAAAATACTATTGTTATATCTTAAATGGATTATAAATGGTCTAATAATCCGAAGTTTTGCAGAGGAAATAGCAACATATTTTGATAGAATGGACTCATTGTAAAGTGATTTGATTGTATAATGGGCTGATTGTAAAGCAGGGGTCCACTATAATAAGAAGATATCATAAACCCCTAGAAAAATGCACCGAGAAGGGTAATCATCACTTTTGAGGTATGGCTGCCAAATTGTGTAAGCTGGAACTAAATCATGAGGAAACATATGACTAATCCAAATTAAAACTCTGTGTATATTAGCCCCAATTATCCAACTAAAATTTAGGTATCTCCAACTAAATTTAAGGTTTCTATATATTTATTCATTACATACATGTATTCATTATGAATTTTTCAAATGCTTATGAAAGTACAGAGTAGAAAGTAGGTGCTCAATCAATATCTGACATAGCAGTAATACAGTGTTTAGACTGGGTTGCAGTCCTCAAAATACATTGCTATGTATCTGACCCTGAAAAACTCACTCAATTCATTGAAATCTAGATTTTCCTTTCTATAGAACCAAGCTACTTATAGGTCTACTGCATTGGATATTTCTGAGGAATAAAGAAATGAAGCACATAAAGCTATTTTTGAAATCATACAACACTGCCCCACTGGAAGTCATTATTATCAACTCTTCATTGCATGAAACAACAACACAATTTCAACTTACTATCTAAAACTAAATATTAACGCACCTTGAAAATTGGAATCAGCTTGTGTTAAAATATTCAAGAAGCCTCCTAAAAGAGTTTTCACAGTTCCCTGGAGATTAAAAAACAATCCATAAGAAATTAAATTTCTTACCTCTGAAAATAACTAGAAAGAATGCTATGGTTAGCAGTACACATAATGTTTATAGTTTGTTTTCAAAACAATGACCACATATTGTAATTGAGTACAATATAAAGAAATACAACTCATTCTCAGAAATATACTGGATTTTCATTATTAGTTAAGTCAATGACAGCTGTAACTTTTAATGGTATTTTAAAGAACTATGAAATTAGAAGATTTTTAGAGTAACATTTTTAGGTGAAAACACACCTAACATATTATAAAAGACCACCTCAAATAATTTTTAGACAAGCTGAGTTCTAAATAAGGAGAGTAATTGGGACATGAGTGTGATAAAATTATGGATCCCATTTACCTGTTGCATGAGCAGAAAAACATTCTTTTCTTTCTGCCTGATGATTTTCAAAAAACTCTCAAATACATGGGCAAGTACATCAAGTTTGGCTTTACTAGTAGAAAGTAAATTTAATTCCAGCATACAAATCTCGGGATATATTAATTCCCCTTGAGTGAGGTTTTCAAGTAAATCATTTGGACTGCTTGGTGCACTGAACTCCTCTGCTTCAGGCTGTAAGTCTATACCTGAAAAGGGGAAAGAAAAGATTTTGATTCAATTAAAAAAGTACTTTAAATCTCATTGATCATTTTGGCTTACAAAAGTGCTATTCATAAGAAGATGTTCACAAAAACTTTACCTACAAAATTTTGATTATTTGTATCCTGACTGATCAAATTTTGGACATTTTTTTTTTTTATAGAGGCATGTTTTTCTTTCTTTCTGTCTTTCTTTCTCTCTCTCTCTCTCTCTCTCTCTCTCTCTCTCTCTCTCTCTCTCTCTCTCTTTCTTTCTTCTTTCTTTGTTTATACATACAAGCACTGGGTACAGTCAGAAGCGCGGGAGGGTGAGAGAATTCACCAGAGCCAGAGCGGGGAGCAGAGCAGGCAGAAGGACCGAAGTACACTGCTGAGGGGAGCAGCGGGCGGCAGGAGAGGTCTGCGCGCCATGCGGGACCCTCCTCCGGTGGCCGGGAAGCAGCCGGGGATCGAACCGGCGCCGCAGAGGCCGCGGGCAGCTTCGCAACCCAGGGCTCAACCGCTGCGCCACCGGGGAGGCCCAAATTTTGGACATTTTGAAGATAAATGTGTAGCCTTAAAAAAAATTTTGTTCATGTGCCTGTTATCCATCTGTATATCAACAGACACATGAAAAAAATGCACACCATCATTTATTACCAGGGAAATACAAATCAAAACCACCTCACACAAAAAGACCAGAAACAAGTGTTGGTCAGGATGGAAAATAGTATGGACAGTTCTCAAAATATTAAAAGTGGATCTATTATGCCACTGCTAGGTATCAACCCAAATGATGCAAAAATATTAATTCAAAGGGATATATGCACTCCCATGTTCATTGCAGCACTATTTACTATCACCAAGCTATTGAAACAACTTTAGTGCCCAAAGACAAATGAGTGGATTAGGAAGATGTGGTATATAAACACAATGGAATATTACTCAGCTATCAAAATAGATAAGCTCTTATCATTTGGGACAAGGATGAAACAGGAGGGGGTTATATTAGGCAAAATAAGTCAGAAAGAGAAAGACAAATACCAGATGGTATCACTTATATGTGGAATATAAGGAAATAAAACAAAGGGCCAGACAAAACTAAATCAATAATAAATCCTAGATAAAAAAAATCTAGGATTTATTTATAAATAAATTATATATTTATAAATAAATCTAACTGTGGAATTGAGGCTACCAGAAGGAAGCTAGAAAGTAAAGTGGGGAAGGAGCACAATGGACTATGGTGGAGGACCATGGGTGTCTTGCTGGTGGTAACAACACCTGAAAGAGGTGGTTCAATAGCTCTAAATCATATTAAATGTTGTAAACCAATGTTACCTCAATTTAAAAAATAAAAAAAGGCATTTTTTGATTTTCAAGAGAAAGACAAATATTATGAACAGTAATTTTTATAGACACATGATAAAGATTTAACACACTGCTTTAACAGACACCACTGGGGGGGGGGGGGAAGTATTATCCCAAACTTACCACTGTCAAAATACTTAAATCACAGTGCAGTTTATTTGACTACTCTCTCTATCAAAGTAGTAAGTGAGCTAATGATAGGATGAATTCTGTATACATGAAAAATTGCATCTTAGAAAATTCAACTGATATGCTCTTAAGAGAGAGTGCTGTGCTCCTAAAAACAAACAAAACTGATATATCTAAGAAATTTATCAATATCTACATAGATAAGAATTTTTCACGATCTAGTCAGCAAACCTTTTCAGAGATGCCTTCCCTGAACATTAACACATCACCCTGTTTTATTTTCTTTATATTGCTTATTTCTCATACTTGTTTGGCTTTTCCTCTGGAATATAAATGAAAGCAGGGACTTTACTATACATTACTATACTATACTATACTATACTATACTATACTATACTATACTATACTATACTATACTACTATACTATACTTTACTATACATCCTGTATACTTAGGCATTCAATGTTTGTGATAACAAGATATATCTCTCTATATGAACTGCATTTATGAAAGCAGGAATTTGTTGTCAATATCAAATAAAATAATAATGTAATGAACTTTTTAATTTGTAAGGCAATACAAAATTTTAAAGTGATACCATTTTGCTAATAAACAGCCTGAACTGCAAACCCAATCATAAGTATTTCAGTGATATTTTACCATCATCTCGGGTTTCACTATCTTCAGGATTGCTTTCACTATCTGCTTCATAACCTTCTTCTTCAATCAGAAGTCTAAAATTACAACACTGAGGATCCTCAGCTTCTTCTGAAAAATCAACAGGTTGGGACAATTCTTCTTCAGACTGATGACTCTATAAGATCAATGTAATTAAAAGGCAAAAGTTACATGTCCTCATTTTCAGTAATAGAATATTTATTATTTAAGTTATTTTAAGAACTATTTCTGTATTCCCTTTAAGAAAAGAATCTTAGGAATCAATATTAGCTATAAAAATTATGAAATTAAAGCAGCAAAAATTTTCAGAGTCTCTTAGACAACTTGATTCACATGTCAAATATGGAAGTCTCCAGATTAAGCTACAGATCATTTCAGTGTTATTGAAAAGTTAGTTTAAGAAATTTCTTTTTTGTTGTTAAAGATTTATTTATGTATGTATATATATAAGAGCTGAGCTGCAGGCCAGAGATGGGGGGGGGGCAGTGAGAGGATTCACCAGAGACAGAGTGGGGAGCAGAACAGGCAGATCTACTGAAATGCACTGTGAGGGGTGCAGCGGGTGAGTCAGGAGAGGTCTGCTGCACCATGTGGGTCACCTCCCTGGCCGGGGATTGAACTCGTGCTGCAGTGGCTGCAGATAGCTTCATAGTGCTGTGTCCTAACACCCTGTGCCACCAGGGAGGCCCCTAGTCTAAGAAATTTCATTCTAGTTACACAGTAGGAAATGACCAATAATCACAATGAGGTGGAATTATACTTCTTAGGACTTAATGCTAGTAAATACATATTTTTACATATTTATTGAGAGAAAAACTTTCATCACAGGATTTTTATAACTAAAATATTTCATAGATTAGCCAAGGAAGATATGAAAAATTTTCAAAGGGATTAACTTTAATATTTCATTCAGAATGCAAGCATCTCAGAAATTAAGAATTTCAGCACTAACTTCCTATGTAGTACCTTGTGGCATAAATTTTTTCTTTACTTATAAAGATACTATTAAATATCTTCACTTTAGAAAATATTTTTTTCTTTTTTCTTTTTAAAGATTTATTTATTTTTATACAAGAACTGGGGTGCAGGTCAGAGGCACAGGAGGGTGAGAGGATTCATGAGAGACAGAGCGGGGAACAGAACAGGCAGACTGACAAAATATACTACTGAGTGGAGCAGCTGGCATGACAGGAGAGGTCTGCCGTGCCATGTGGGTTTCTCCCCACCTGTCCGGGAATGAAACCCGCGCTGCAGAGGCTGCGGAGAGCTTCACAGCACTGCGCACAACCCGCTGTGCCACCGGGGAGGCCTTAGAAAACATTTTCACTTAAAGAAGCTCAGCTCAACATTAACAGAAGGTTGAATACAGTAGGTACTTTAACCATTTCCAGTTCACCACTGATTCAGTTATATAATGAAGGCTTAATATCTATTTCACTAAGTTGTTATGACAATAGTGACATAAAATAGTATGGCAGATATATGGCTAGACCAAGGAATTAAAAGATAAGTTATATATAGAAAAAAGATCAGAAATGATTAAGGGTAAAAGAAACGTAAAAAGAGGAAAATGAACTAAATATGCATCACAGTTCCAAGAAAAAAATTAAAATAATTCTTTTAGAAAAAATATGTTAATGTGAACAACTAAAAACTATAGTTGCTATTTCAATTGCAAGTACTAGTTATTTTTATATCAAAAATTTAAAATTGGAGCGAAATAAAGGACAAGATAGCTGAGTTGTCACATCTCTGAATTATCATTTAATAAACCATCATTTATATGTAAGACTTATCATCAAATGAAATACTACATTTCTATACTACAGGGAGTAATTCTCAGTAAATGTCCAGTATAGATTAAAAAAAAAAAGCACGTGTTATTTGTCTCCTGTTTTTTTAAGAGCTACGCATCCCAGATGATGGAGACATGACCCACGGAACTCACCTGACCAAAGCCTCACACGTATGTTCTAACTACATTCATTGGTGTCGCAAGCCCATCCTACACACTTGTGCTAGCCATATGTGAACAATACAGACTGCACGTTATTCATACCTTCTCAGTCATAGCATCATGTTCAAAGTCTGCTGAATGATTCCCCAGTGCAACTCGAAGCAGCGCGTCAAATAAAGGCTTTGCTAATTCCGTTTCAATCACCCTTGACTGGGAAAGGTGGTCCTTCACTTCAAACAATATATTTTCCACAGTCAAGTTCTAAGGTAAAATAAAAGAGTCTAAGAATATAATGACATATTTTATGAAAAATCTAAAACAGTAACAAAATAAATGATAAATTAATTTTCCTTAACAAGTAGAAACTAGTTCATTTATTTGCAGTTGCTATGAAAGGAAAATCACTATAAATATCTAGTTTTTAATGCAAAATCCTATTACAATTAATATTATTTCTATTTATTAAAGGCTTTACTCAACGTACTCGATTTTGAATTTCAGTGTAGTCATAAGCTAATTGTATCACAAAAAAATATTTAGTTCAGTTTTGATTAAAGTCTCCAGATTCTATAAATTCCTCATTCTTAGAGATTCCTTAAAACTAGAAGAAAAGCTTACATTCTAATCCTCTTCTCTCTCTCCTTTCATTACTCTTTGTGGCCTTGAAGAGAACACTTGCTACTCAGCAACATCCCCCAATATCAGGTGATGAGGCCATCAAGATAGGTAAGAAACTGACTTCTGCCTTAAGGAATTCTCTCAAACACAGATACATACTGACAAGCTATGACGACAACCACGCTATAAACCAATTTCTGTGAGAACAAAAAAGAGAGAAGGTGCCTGAGATCTGTCAAAGGTATCCCAAAGAAGGGTTTGTATGGGATGGGCAATAAAGAACAAATTACAGAATCAGAGGAAGAGAATATGCCAGGCAGAACACTAACCAAAGAACGGAAGTAGTAACAAAGAACAGCATCCTAAGAAGCTGTCGGCTCCGTATAACTGATTTCAGCATGGTGAAGAGTGGCAGGAATGAGGCTAAACTGTGAAGGGCTTTGTATGCTAGTCTAAGGAGTGCGGATTTTAATTGTGAGCAATATGTTAGATATTTTAGATAGGAGCTAATATGGAGACTGGAACTCCAACAAGGGGAATCTCTTGGCTGACAGAACAGTTAGGGGTGAGTCAGTTAAAAAAAGAATGTTTATGCCAACTTCAATGGTTCTGCAAGCGGAGAGCCTGAAATGGGGATTTCTCTTTTGTTAAGAAGTGCTTTCTGGAGAAATATGTAAGGGCACCAGAGAAGCCAAGTATGTTGGGGAAAGAACCCAGGCAAAGATGTAATTTCAGAAGAAATGTCTGCCTTGGGCTGATTCCATGGAAAGTTCTGGAATCTGAACTGTACCACAGAGTTGTACCCTACGCCTAGAGTCACATCCTTCAGTCACTGGTTATGAGCACCCTTCTTAGGCATTTTCTAGGCGGGCATCTCTCATCAGCCAAGAGCAATTCTTGGGAGATGGGTGCAGATGTGTCTTTAGCAATCAACACTTGTAACAGATGGCAGGTGGGTGCATCAGCTTAGTGAAGGGGATCCAAGCAGAGCACCAAACAGGATCACACCAAGATTTTAAACTTTTAAAAACACAATATCCATTATTTCTCATTCAATGTTTAATGCAAATTTAATGCCTTTTGGGGTTGATAGCTTTGTTGCATATAGGTTTTACATTGCAAACTAAACTCTACATTTTTTAAGGGAAAGAATTAGATCATGTACTCCTTTTGTGTCCGCCACAGTACTTGTACTGTGCCCAGCATATTGGAGCTTCCTAAAATTTAGAAACTTTGGAAAAACAATAATATCACATAGAAACTTTAAAAAATATATATTACATAATAATTGTACAAAGGACAAGTTATTACCTGATTAGGTAACTCCAATTCTATCTTTTGTTGACTAACTCTAGTGCTCTGAAGGCAAATGGCCAGAAGGGCTTCCAAAAGTCGTATGCTCTGAAGTGAAGTCTCACTTTCTTGACTTGTAAATATATTTGCTTCCTCAGGAGCAGCTTCAGTTGCTGAAATTTGTTCCACATTTATGGAAGAAATATTCTGTGATTCTAAGTTACCCAAACTATCAGCACTCTTTTTTAGATTACCCAGTTCTGGTGGTAGAGAATCACTTTCGACTGTCAAAGATAACACATCTTCTTTCACAAAGATCTCAGATTGAGAAGTTATGTTTAAATCCTGGTTTTCATTTACACTTACATCTCCTTCCTTTTTACCTTGATCTTCTTCGTGACTCCTAAATAGTTTCTGTATTATCATAAATATTAATTTATGGCACACTTGGAAACCACCAAGCCTATAAAACTGTTTCTGGAAAACTGGACTCAACATGTAGATCCAACGACACATGGACCAAATGTCTGCTGCCTGGTGCATATGTTCAGGAGAAGGCAGGACAAGGCTCTCGAGAGACAAACATGGCAGCATATGAGGCAAAGGCTCACTTGCTGTACTGTCATAGCCAGAAGTGTCTTCTGAATCATTGGCTGAGTCTCTATCAGATTCTGCTTCTTTACTCACACATAAGAATGCCACACAGAGGAACAGGTTTATCGTGTTGATGTGAATATCCTGGTTAACAGTCTTCCATTTCTTTGGGTAAGCTTCTTTGAGGCCAGCATAAAATTTGCTAAGACTCTGAGGAGACTCTGAATAAGCTTGCTGGTTATGAACAGTACCTACATTTACAGATGACAGCTCCTTCTGGTCAGTGTCTAAGCCATCAATACCTGGAACTGAAGACTCTTTCTTCTGTTCCCCAAGGCTGATTATCAGAGTTTCAAATGCTTTTAAGGAATGACTTCGAATACCATCTAAGTAATTTAATTCAATTATTTGATTTACTCCATTACAACTTAAAAACAAATCTCTTATTACTCTGTGAAAGAAAAACACACAAGAAATTTATATATGAAAACATCACTTGTAAACAGCTACATATACTAATTAAATGTTATTATACATGATATTATAATCTGGTCTCATCTCATCTTGCATAAATCTTTTTCCCTTTAAATACTACCTTATTTAATTCATCAATTATCTGGCTCAAGTCCTTTGACATGATCAGACTCCCAAGTTACTTTCTAATTATTTTCACATCCTTCTTCAAATACTGTATATATGGCTACAGCAACATTTAAAAAGAGGATTACATGCATCACAAGTTGAATAAAGCAATACATGAAGAACATTTCCTTCAAATGGCAAATTCTATATAAATTGTAAATGCCACAATCACCACCACACTTGAGGCAGACATCTCAAAAGCAGGTAGGCATATGTGTATCTGTTTACCTAAGACTTTTTGTTTGGTTTAAATCTGCACCTCCTAAAGGGAAAGAAACAAACTAAACACTTGAAGATTTTCAGCTGTCTCAGGTGGGGCTCAAGTATCTCACTAGGATCAGGAATCCTAGTAATAACTTAAATATAAATCAGCCCAGTAAAGAGGCAGGTTGTCAACAAATAAGCCAAGAAGTTACAAACTTTCAAATCAAAGTCAGGTCTATTCAAACAATGTCAGAATGTTGGGAATTAAAAAAAAATTATGGCAAATAGTATGATTATAAGTTGATTTAGAATCATTTATAGGTTTTTTTTAAAAAGATTTATTTATTTATTTAAAAAAATATATTTTATTTTTATATTCCCCATACAATTGCAACCCCCTTATTTTGACCCCCGTCCCTCCCCTCCCCGCCCCCCACCACCCATAGAGTGTCTCTGGTTCATAGTTGTTTGTTGATTTAAGCAAGAGCTGGTGTACAGGCCCGAGGCCCGAGGCTCGGGAGGGTGAGAGGATTCAGTAGAAACAGAGCGGGGAGCAGAACAGGGAGACAACCGAAATACAATGCTGAGGGGAGCAGCGTGCATGACAGGAGAGCTTTGCCACGCCATGTGGGATTCTCCCTGGCCTGCCAGCAATCGAACCCGCGCTGCAGAGGCTGCAGACAGCTTCACAGTGCTGCACTCAACCCTCTGTGCCCCCCTTTATAGGTTTTTAAAGTGGCATAATTATTGTTTGAAAGACCTGACTACCTATCAGAAGTGAGTATTACTTATATAATTATTGTTTAAGTACCACATATGATAATCACAAAATCTGGAAAACCTATTGGTGGAATTTAAATTAAAATTTTTTTCTTTAAAATTTATAATTTTTTCTAGATACATTACTCAGTAAATAAATGTAAATATAACATTAAAAAAACAATAATACCCTTAGTTACACTGCTTCAGTAAATACCAATTTAGCTATATACACATTTCACACAGTTGCAAACACTGGACGATATGCTCAATCTTGCATATTTTATCCATGAAATATATGAGTATCTTCTCATGTTCCAACATGATCTTCGTAAACATTTCTAATGGCCAATAATATTCCATTAAGTAAATATATAATAAATAATTTAACCCTGTTCTTGCTGTTGGACATCTGTATTGTGTCCATTTATTTCTCAGAAATATTTTGAAAACTTTACTATTTTGTTACTGAGAAATTAACATTAATCACTCTATCCCCTATAATCACCCTTCAAGAAAGGAAGGAAGGGAGTGAGTAAGAGAGGAGGCAGGGAAGGAAAACAGAAAGTTTAAAAAATCTGTCATGGGACAAGAATTTTTTTTTTGTTAGACTAAAAGTAAATTTCTAGCAAAAAATTAAGAGTAAAGATAATTTACTGACAAGACACTAGAGTTATCAGGGTTAGAAGTTTAAATGCATATACTTTATCACACATCTCAAATCATACAATAAGAGAAAAATATCTCCATACATGCACACATACAAACCTTGATTTAAGCAGAGCAGGCAGAGTTTTTAAATAAATCTGAAGCACTTCCTGAGGCAAACACTGGTTTTGATGGCTACATATATGAGTTCGAGTTGACATAATGCTAAGATGTTGACAGTGATGTGCTAATTCAACTCCTCTTTGAAGCACAGGATTAAATATGTAATTATACAATTTCCATTGAACAACTATATTGCCTTTCTGCATTAAATTGCAAATGTGAGTTGCAATTTGTATACTATGTAATCTGTCTTCTTCAAAAACAAAGTTCTGATAAGCCTCTAAGGCATCCCATTTCCAAAACAAATCTTCAGAAACACTGCTGGGCAGGATCCCCTGAAATCTGTAAGAAGGACTGGATAAACTCGAGGAAGGCTCAGCATCACATGAGCTTCCCTGCAGTGTCTCCTCTAATTTGGCTAGTTGATCAGAGTCAACAGTACAAATATTGCAAGCTGCTTTTTTAATTTTCTGTGATATCTCAGCTCCTCCTAGCTGATCCAAAATAAGCTTGTTAAGGATATTCAGTATGTGCTGCTGAAAATTTTTCAGTGCTGGCAATTTAAAAGCATGGAGCAAAGGAATGATTACAGATTTGGGATCCATACAACAGCATATTCCAACATTATGAACACCTGATAGAATCTGGACACAAGTGCTACTCAAGGAAGCCTGCTGCAGTAGGCGTAAACACTGATGAGCACACACTGCAATACAACAGCACCGCTCAGGATAATAAACATCTCCATCTGCAGTCTCTTCAAATGGGTTTTTGGAAACCTGGTTTTTAAAAGCTGAAACCAGAAGGCCTGAGAGGTCTCGGTGGTGATGCATAAAGTGAGAATATTCACATCGTCTGTGTCTTTTTCTTGTACATACTGAATGATGAAGTTGCTCTGATTTCACTTTTTTGACAGTGCTCATGATTTTCATCACACTATTTACTAGGACTTTTAAATGTTCTGAGGCCTCAGTAGGAATGCTCTCTCTTAAAACCAGCCATTCCATTTGAAGAACTGCTGTTTCAAATAAATTAAACCCATGATGCTGAATGAATTCTTGAACCAAATCCATGGCTTGACTGAAGAAAAAGGGATTTGAAGCTGCACTTTGAAGACAACAGATCAGGATCTGTAGAACTCCTTCTAGAAGCTCCGGTAAAAGAAGGGCTCTATGACGATACTTCGAAAATTCAAAAACTTCCTGAACCTCCTGTAGTGTTTTCTTTTGTCTCGGTGCAAAGGGGTCAGGCTGTTTTTCTAGGCAAGTTCTAATTTTTAAAGCTGCTCTAAGCAATTCAGTCAAATTTTTTCTAAGACTTTCTGGCATCACCTCTGCAGTACTAATATCTACTGACATGAGATGCAACACTGTTCGAAAAAGCATACGTTGAATCAAAGCCACCGGTTCTTGAGTCCAACCTGCAGAAACCATTTGATTCTCCAAAGTGTCGTTTTGATTACAACAGTCCCCAAAGCCTGCTAGGAATTCAGTCAGTGTGGGTACTACACTGGCTGCTAGAGCAGAATTATGATTCAAGGCAATGTCAAACTTACAAACTTTCTCTAATAAAGATAATAAAACATGACATAAATCAAATGGTGTATTGTTCATGTGACTGATAACAGACAAGGCAGCTGGCTCACTTAAAATGTCAGTGTTTAACTCCTGCCTTGGAATAATCTCTCTGGAATTTTCCAAAGCCATGGCGTCAGGAGGCGTCTGTTTTTCTTTGGTTGGTAAGTGGTCAAGTTTTGCTGTAAGGTGGTCTTCTTTAGGAGGCTGTGTTACAAACTGCGGCAGCAGATGGGACCGTCTGCGCTTAATCCTCACTGTACTTTTCTCATCCGAATTGACCTCTGAATCTGAGGTGGAAAGCTGCGTCTTTCTTGCATCTCTTATAGAATAGCGATGGGTAATTGTACGCTGTCGTCTGTTTTTTCGAAAAATGTTTACTTTTGCAGAAACCTGACCAGATGGGGCACTTCCTTCTAAATATAATTTTTCCTGAGTAGATCTTTGTGAACTTGAGTTCTTTTCTTTGGTCAGGATTATATCAATTGAGAATGGCAGATTAAAATCTAATGAAATGAAGAAAGGACTTTTAGAATACCATAATATGTTTGCAAACTGGATTTATATAGGCAATTATCCTCTTATCATCCCATTAGAAGTTTTTCCTCAGTATATTTTCACTGTGATTTTCTCTAGCTATTTGTTATGTCTCTGGGTTACTTACCCTCCACGTCCCCCATGTAGGGCTTATCCTCACATAAGTACTACATGGCATTAGTTCAAAGGATACACATTGATTTGGAAAAAAACAAAGGAGAACAAAATTAGGGAAGCAAATCTGATTTAAAGCCACATATTGCATTCTAATGTCTGCATATGAGGATCTTTAGATTATCTGCTACTTAGCACTACTATTCATGCCATTTTATGTCTCTTCTGATAGTGTTATTAAATAATATATAGAGGTATATTCTGAAAAATGGCATTAAGTTTATAGACCTGATATAACTTTGGAACTTTAAGAACTTCCAAAATTGTTACTAGCAAGGAACTATAAAGATGATCCCTGAAAGCACAGTTTTTATACAATAGATTCTAAATGTTCTTTGAGACAAGTTAAATGAATTCTTCACTCAAAATGTTTACTCTGTATGCCATGTATGCACCAGTAGAAGCATCACTGTTTTGTCCTCAATGTCTAGAGCCTAGGGAAGCAGTCAGCACTCAATAACTATTTCTTGGAGAAATGAATGAATCCTCCTCACTACTTAAAAGGATACGAAAATTGGTATTTCCCTTTGTAAATAATATAATAAGTTCTATGTGAAAAATATAGTTGCAATTTAGAATGAATAAAAATTTGTAAACAAAAAATGTGTTCTTTAATTAAGAGGAGGGAGGAATTACAAGGAGTCCGAGAAATTCCACCTATGCAAATGATACAGGCAACAAAGACAATGACCCCAAAAGAACACTAATCAATTTCTTAAGTGATTAACAACTTGCAAATTTTTCATATTCAGAAGAATATAAGAGTAGAGTTAAGCAGGATAAATATTACAAGACCTTAGACAATTTCCTAAAAAGAGAGCTTCATATCAGAAATATATTAAAAATGCATACATGATGTTAAAATACATTAGTTTTTTTTAACCTGAGAGATCCTTAAACATCTCACAATTCACATATCCCAGAAAATGGGAAGAGGGGGGAAATGTTAGTCTCTCCATGAGAACATTCAAGTTTCATATACTTAGTATTATATATATTTATTCAAAATTAGAAATATGTACAGCGTTGATCTTAAGTATAATTCTACCAGCCTTGAAATAAAGTGCTATTTCAAATTTGTCCTTCAAAAGCAACATTAGATAAACTAAACTAAAAAAATACTGCAAAGTCATTGATAGAGTGCTAATAACAGAAAGTAACCTTTTCAATAAGCAAGGAACTTTAATTTCTTTCTTTAAACTTTTCATTATCCTTTTCTCAGAAGTTATGTTACGTTCCTAGATTTACTCCTCTTGGTAAGTGCTTTGTTTCTTCTTATGTTTTCCAAACAAAATTACATTCAAGAAATACCCTGAAAGCACCATGGTTTTTATATAATTAGAAGAAATAAAAATGTGCTTGCCTAAAGAATTTTTCATTAAGCGTAACACTAATACATACTGCTCTGAATTTGAACTATGCAACCATTAAGGCTGAAGTAACTTTTCAGTGGAACATTTTTCCTCAGTGGAATTTTGATAACAGAAGTGATATGATAAAGAAACATACCTGTTGCCTTTTCTTCTTGAACAGGTATCTTCCATACCAGCGGAAGAAGTGACAGGAGAAGAGTAAGGAGTTCTTCTCTGCATGTCAATGCCTACATTTGAAACAAAAAAAGTCTTCATGTTCTGAGTTCATCAGACATTAATTCCTAATACCTGGTCTTGAATTGAACCCCCAAAATCCTTTTTCTTAAAAGGTTACATTTGAGAAGCTAAGAATTTAACCTATCTTGAATCCTATTAAAGCTGGATACTTTTCACTTTATAAACCTTTCCAGTGACGAAAGAATGTAAGAGTATTTGTAGGAATTTAGCACATTCTTGCTGATTTTTCCCAAAATGGTTATTATGACCATCATGCACATTGCAAGAATTCCTCACCTATGAAAAAACAAATGAGCTAGGTAAAAATGAAAAGTTAAGCCCTATTTCATTAGCAAACCATAACATGAAGTTACAATAAAAGTGTGAAATCTTCATGCAGTTAAATGTAAAAGTGAGAGAACACAATTTTAAAAGGGAAATTGACATTATTAATCAATAATATATATACAGAAAGACTTATTAGTGAAGGAGAGCCAAAAAATATTTACTGACTGCACACTAAATGTCCATAGCATTTACTGTCTTACCCTTTCTGGAGGATATGGTCCAAGCCCTGGCGAGGGTCCCCTCATTTGGTCCATCAAATACATACACACAAACAGTTAAAGAACAATAAAAGGCATGTAGTATAAGTACCCAGGTGTGGAACAGGTATTCAGTTTAGGAGTTTAGAAGAATGTACAATCATTATCAGAAATATGGAAGTGGGATTGAAGCCAGAAATTTGGGACACTTGGGTCATGGCAATCAAGGAATTAATGACAAAAGATTAAATTTCTTGCATCAATCAGTAGAAAGGGTGTTCCAGATGACAAAATCAGATTTACTTGTTAGAAAGACCATTCCAATCACTGTATAGAGGATCAAATTGGTGGTACAGGGGAAGGGATCCATCAATGAGAGGTAATGATGGGCAGAAGTCTATGACCGTAAAATTGAAAAGAAAAATGAAATATCTGAGAAATTACATGGAGAAGTGAAATGACCAAAGTTAATTTCTATGGGGTCTAAGGAAGAAAAAAAATCTAAAAGCACTTGCAGGTTTCTGGGTTTAGGCAACCAGGTGACTGAAAGTGTACTTACCAAGGATTTAGGTGTGGTATTAAGTTGAGATAAAGATGATGGATATGTTAAGATTATTTTAAACATAATGAGTTTAAGAGAGCTATAGGATATCCAGATGGAGAGGGTTTTTCAATAAACAGTTGGATAAAGATCTGAAACTTAAGAAAAAGATGTGAAAGAAATAAAAAGATTTGGGGGTCACTGGGGCAGAAGTCAAGGACATATATGAGACTTCCTAAGGAGCATATGTAGAGTAACAAGAGAAGAATGATGACAATGGAGCTCTGGAGAGCAACATTTAAAGAATTAAGGATGGTAGTGTTGAAGAGAAGTCTGCAAAGGAGCCCTCCCCACCAATCCCCAAAGAAGTAGAACAAGAGTAATCAAGACTCGAGACTGTTCAGGTAAGAAAAGAGCCAACCAAGTAAAGAATTGTGGGTCTTAATTGTATAAAATGGTGGCTGAAAAGCATTTAGCAAATAGAAAGTTATCAGTGACCCTAACAAACACAGTTTTAGTGGAGTTACTAGGGAGCAAGTCCGATGACAATAGGCTGAAGAGTTGAAGGGAATAAGAAGACAGAAACATAATACTTAGACTATTCCTTTTTGGTGTCCTGGTCATGAAAGACCTCAAAATTCTTCAAAAGTAAATAGAAACAGAAAATAATAGGCACAAATAAGAAAATTTCAGACAGAATGCTGTTTTTTTTTTTTTAAAGATTTATTTATTGGGAGGGATTGGGGTCAAAATAAAGGGGTTGCAATTGTTTGGGGAATATAAAAATAAAATTAAAAAAAAAGAAAAAAGAAAAAAAAAGATTTATTTATTTATTTATTTATACAAGCACTGGGTACAGTCAGAAGCGCGAGAGGGTGAGAGAATTCACCAGAGACAGAGCAGAGAGCAGAACAGGCAGACAGACGAAGTACACTGCTGAGGGGAAGTGTGGGTGGCAGGAGAGGTCTGAGCGCCATGTGGGACCCTCGCCTGGTGGCCGGGGATAGAACCGGTGCTGCAGAGGCTGTGGGCAGCTTGGCAGCTCAGCGCTCAACCGCTGCGCCACCAGGGGAGGCCCACAGAATGCTGTTCTATAAAGAATATTAAACGGGGAAAGGGATTACAGAGAGATGAAAAAGGGCACATATAGATAGGTTATTCAGGATGGGCCACCTGAGCAGATTCCTAATGAGACAGCAGCCACATAAAGATTTAGAAGAGAGCTCATACTTGGGCCTCCCTGGTGGTGCAGCAGGTTGAGCAGTGCTGTGAAGCTGTCCACAGCCTCTGCAGCGTGGGTTCGATTCCTGGCCGGCCAGGGAGATACCCACATGGCACAGCAGACCTCTCCTGTCGTGCCTGCTGCTCCCCTCAGCAGTGTGTTTTGGTCTGTCTGCCTGTTCTGCTCCCCGTTCTGTCTCTGGTGAATCCTCTCACCTTCCCGTTGCCTCTGGCCTGTACCCCAGTTCTTGTATAAAAATAAATAAATCGAAAGAAGAAAGAAAGAAGAAAGAAAGAAGAAAGAAAGAAAGGAAAAAGAAGAAAGAAAGAAAGAAAGAAGGAAAGGAAGAAAGAAAGAAGAAAGAAGGAAGAGGCCTCATAATAGGTATATAATAGGCTGGGAATGTGTTTAGTTTTTTCATAGAATAGCAAGCAGGATTGTGCGCATGGTGAGTGCTAAGATATGAAACTGGAAGGCACAGGTCCATGAGGTGGACAGTGCCAGAGCTAATGTGGCCTCATACAAAGAGCTTGGTTTGTAAATATTTTTCCAAACATACTTTCCAGTCTTTCTCAGAGCAGGAACTCCATGGCTTTACTCCTTAGCCATCACCCCCCATTTTCTGCTACCCAATGTCTAGTACATAAATCAATGTTCAAGAAACACCATCACCATCTGCATTAATGATTTTAAATTCTAGTTGCACAGTAAAAATTGTATGAGAAATCCCCATTTCTATGTGCTTTACTTCAAAATCAGCAAGACAAAGATGACTTGCTAACATTTCCATGTATGGCTCATGCTCAGTTTTCTTTTAAGGTGCCAGCAAAATGTATACAGTCTTAAAAAAAACAAAACTAATTTTTGGCATATCAATCCTAGTCTGACTCTTATCTTTAGTAGATGGACTAATAACATTCTGATAGAGCTGGCAGAAAACTCAAGAGTTCGTGAAGAAGTGCTTACAGACATGCTGTCCTTTTAATTTACTTCTTGCTCTGCAACAGTACACTGGCAAATCATCACTGCTATGTGAACAGAAATTCCTGCCTCCAGGCTTTGGTGTGACACATAGTCTGGAACTTCTGCCACGCCTTCCCAATTTGCCAAGAGCTCCTTGCTAGCTTCAAGGCCCCAGCCCCAGCAATACTTCTGCTATCAAGTTTTTCCTCCCACTCCAACCAAAGACCACGGCTCTCTCTTCTTTAGGACTTTCTACTGTTGCCCCACTTTACCAAGTGAATTAATTCTTGGAAACCATGGGTCTTTCAAAAGAATGACATTGAAGCAAGCAAGGTGTTGGTTTTTGCCTCCTGTGCTAGAATGGCAGCCTGGAAGAGAATAGGCCTCACTTCCAACTACAAAAGTGGGAGAACAATTCTTTTTTTTTTTTTTTAAAGATTTATTTATTTATTATTTATACCAGCACTGGTTACAGTCAGAAGCGCGGGAGGGTGAGGGAATTCACCAGAGCCAGAGCGGGGAGCAGAGCAGGCAGAAGGACCAAAGTACACTGCTGAGGGGAGCAGCGGGTAGCAGGAGAGGTCTACGCGCCATGCGGGACCCTCCTCCGGTGGCCGCGGAGCAGCCGGGGATCGAACCAGCGCTGCCGAGGCTGCGGGCAGCTTCGCAACCCAGCGCTCAACCGCTGCGCCACCGGGGAGGCCCACAATTCTTTACATTATATGCAATAAAATCATTTCTAACACCATTCATCAGAGTAGCTCTTTCTAATACTCTGGACCTATTACTTTTTCAGGTGTACATTTCCAAATTTACTTATCCTTTTGTGTCCCAAAGAAAGCACATACATAATTCTACCCTTGTGCAAGTCATAAAATCTTTTTCTCTTATGGGCACTCACACACACACAAACTATAATTTGTAGCCGTCTGTTTCAAATAAACTTCAAATTTTATTTCCCAAGGTTCTACATTGGATTTTATATTAATTGTCTATCTTGGCCATCCAAAAGTAGCAGTGGCAGAATGGGAGACAAAAGGCAAATGAGTCAAATGCCAGGGCTGGGAGCCCAAACTGGACAGGTGCTTATGAAATTGCAAAGGCCGGTAGGCACTGTATCAGTGAGATTTAAAGACCTCAGGATGACATGCTAAAGCAATTTGTACTGTATCCAGAATATGATGGAAAACTGATGAAGTTATTTTAATTGGTAATGGCATTATTTTAAATCAGAATTTTGATATGCTAACTAAATTTACTGTTCCAGACACAAATAGAAATGAGTATGTTTGCTTTAATTTCTTCCTTCAGAATTTTATAATTATTTCTAATATATGTTTATCTATACACAAACCAATGAACACTTCTTCATTAGTACTGCAAAAAAATATTTCCTAGGTGTGAAGATATAGCTCAAGGAAATAAAATTTATTTCTCTTAGTTTTATTATTTGGCAGAACAGTTTTCTGGATGATTGTTTAGATTTTTCTATACACATCACTTTAAAAATGACATTTTTATTCCTCCATCTTTCTCACATTCTACTTCATTGTCATATTCTACTTTACTATTGCATGTTTTTGAAACATGATATCAAATAGAAATAGTAAGTTATTTTTACATTGCCTCCATTATAGAGCTTCTTGTTTAAAATATTACTTTTTTTCCCTACAGTTTGTATATGAAACCCTGTATTATTTTTAGAGACTTTATCAAGGATAAATTTTGTGAAATTTTTTT